ATTATTATCTGATTTAATTTGGCCATTATCTTTTTATTATATATTTTTTATTTAATAATGTTTTAATATTTATTATACAGCGGGGATCAGAAGTTTGGAACTACTATTATTTTTAATGCTTTTTTTCACTTATGCTTTTTACCTAAAGTCACTTATGCTGACCAAGGTTGCATTCATTTGAAGAAACACAAAGCAAATTACAATTTCAAATATGTATTTTCTACTCTAATATATGTTTTATTATAATTTATTCCTGTAATGAAAAAGAGGAATTTTCTGCAGCCATTATTTCAGTCTTTCAAGTCACATGATTCTTTTTTAATCTAAACAGAATCATTCAATAAATACTAATTATTGATGCCTTTTTTTGTATTCAATCATGTTATAAAACATAGGTGTCTTCTGTGTATTCTGATTGTCAATTATTTCCTGTAGGGCACATTTATTTTCTCTTTGGTCAAATACAGTCCCCTGAAATTTAACAACAAATATATGTATCCATGGTGGGCATACGGTATCGGCTGGTTCCTGGCGGTGTCCTCTCTCTCCCTCATTCCCATCAACATGATCTACAAACTCCACAAAGGAAAAGGAACCTTCTGGGAGGTATGTGCCGTCAAGAAAAAGATGATTTTCCATCTGTTTGTTTTTTAAACATGAGTGGGTCTTAATCAGTGTTCATCAAAAATTTCATCAAAATATATATATATATATATATATATATATATATGGGCTCAACACTTTTTACGGCTCATTACTGCTTAAAATCATTATAAGGTTCAATGCAAATACAATATAGATTCAACTTTTTTATATGTAACTCTTTAAACTTGTAATCTTTTGTATGTGCTGTTGAAATCAGAGTTATTAGCCCCACATAGCGTATATTGAACTTCATTTGACGCTCAATTGTTTTTTTTTGTGAGCATGTGCAGTTGTAAGACAACTCTAACCTTTTTTAGATAAAAAATCAAGTTATGTGAATATCTATATAACAAATAAATACAATTGCTTTATAAAGCACCCTATTTAATTTATCTTAACAATTTAAGCCAAGTACATTTTAGGTCAATTAAATTACATTAAAAATGTCTTATTTTTCTGTTTCAGCAGAAAAGTCGTTTAATTACAGTAACTATTTACTTTCTAAGTAATTACACCCAAGACTGATCATCATGCTCTGTGGTCATGCTTTCTAACATTAGCTAATATACCAACATTTACAGTTTTTGCTCAGATGCTTTGGTGCATTTCTCAGATCAGAATTGAAATACTCAAAACTCTGTTCGATCTTCACATCATTGCATCACTTGTGCACATCAGAAAAGCAGTTTCTCTTTTCTCTGAACAAGTTGCAAATGCTTGCCTATATCCATGCAATTGATTATGTGCAATTCTCTGATATTTCCCACATTATCAATTGCTTATGTCAAGTTGATCAAACTGTATCATTCTCAGTAGTATCTGGGTGCAGCCTTTATGGTGCAAGCTGAGATTGCATCACTCAGCGATGCAATGTCAGACACAATGCACTCACATGGAGCGAGTGACGTCACTGTGAGGGGTAGGGTTAGGGGTGGAGTTAGGTGAGCTCATTAAAAAGCATTGGATGCAGCCCAGATTGCACTGCACCAGGTCTGCATCTAGACCCCTCTCATCATTTTGATCTCTGTTAAATAGTCTCACTCATACAACATTAAATCATTTGTTCATGGCATAAGTTTTGTCATAACAATTTGTCAAAATATCTATATACCATATAATATAGACCATTTCAAGGGATGTAAACAAAAGCAATGGTCCTGATGTACTTCCTGTTTTACATTTTTACTTTCTGTTGCTTCTGAAAATCCTAAAAGGTCCACATTTTGAAAAATAACATTATGACAGCTGTTTTAACATTGAGATATGAGAGAATTGCTTCTTGTTACAGTTATTAAAAGAGTTTGACAACAAGCAGGAAATGTTCATGGGCCAATGGTCTATACATTAGACTTTTTTCTAAATCTGCCTACAATTGGTACATTTCTCCTATAGTTGAATTTTTTTTTAGAAAAGCTATGGAATTTTTCCTAACAACGTGCTTTTAAAAGGGAATTGTCCTATGTTCACACCTCTACTTTTGTTTAGTTTTTTCCTTGTGCTATGCAGTGCTGTCCTTCCTGTATTACAATGACATGATCTGGCAACAAATTATAGTACAAACAGCAAAAAAACTGCCATAGTTTACATTAGAACAGCCCTTCAGAGTACACTGTTGTATTGCCCACATGACTGAGTAATTTGACTGTCATATCCATACACAATGACTTGTCATTCTGACAGCACTGACATGTTCATTGACACAGAAACTTAGTTTTGAGAGCTGAACTAAGGATTTTAAGCAAGACACTGGGTATTGCAGGTAACCCATGGTGTTTCACTATTTGTACGCATTTGTTTTGAAACAAACTGTAAAACATTAGCTTCTGCAGTATATAAATGTCTGGAAGTGTATCTGAAAACCTTTCTGAGAAACTAGCAGGCAACTGTTTCACAGCAGGAATGCATTTCTTTCATTTCCTTTGGAATGAGAGGAGAGTTAAGTGAAAAATCGTTATTGTGTGTGTTTCCCTCAGCGTCTCCAGTTGGCCTGCAGTCCAGCAGAGGATCTTCCTCAATCTCAGAGACCCTCAGCACATCATTACACTCTCTCAGCCAGTACAGACAGAGAAAAGAGCCCAGACAACCTTTAATTCCACAGATTTTTTTTTCCCTTCATTTTGATCAAACAAAGCATAGATTACTAGATTAAAAAGGCAAAAGATCCAACTGGATATATATACTGCTCTTCGTGAGACCAAATTTTGACTTAAAAATCAATGATTAATTTTTTCCCCTCATAAGAAACACTGATGCATCCTAAACTATGCAAAGACATACTGTACATAAGCCTCGTGTATTGCCTTAAAGCAGAGCAGTCATGCGTTTTGACAGCTGAGGACTCTCAGGGTGACAGGTTATTAGAGATTTTCTGTAGGTTTTCTGATGCAAGTTAACCTGTTATGAGATAATTTGACCCTTCAGGCACTTTAAATGTGATCCACAGTAAGAGCTGATTGATTTCAGTTTCTTTCAGTGTTTCATTTACCTCAAGGGCATTATGTTAAATGTGTTCAATCAGCACCAAGTTGTTTTGAAAAGTCATGGACAAGCTAGACATATGTGTTTTTTAAGTACTGTTGTACGTTTTGTTTAGTCTATATATATATATATATATATATATATATATATATATATATATATATATATATATATATATATATATATATATATATCACAAATTTTATCATTATAAAATGTTCTGGGATAATATTTAACTGAAACAGTATATGAAATTTATAAGAAAAAAATAAAAGTATACAGCCCTCCTGTTACATTTGAATTCTTTTATATTTTTCCCAGTTTCTGTTTAACGGAGAGATTGTTTTTTAACACATTTCTACACAATAGTTTTAACTCATTTCTAAAAACTGATGTATGTTATCTTTGCCTTGATGACAGTAAATAATATTTTACTAGATATTTAGGATACTAGTATTCATCTGTATAACGGATTTGTCCCGATGCCAATTGAAAAAATATTGCTTAAGGGCTAATAATGATTTAAACATTGAAAAACTGCTTTTATTCTAGCTAAAATACAACAATTAAGACTTTCTCCAGAAGAAAAAATATTATCAGAAAAACTGTCAACTAAATATCACTTGAGAAATATTTTTAAATGAAAAAATTTTGCACAGGACAAGAAATTTTGCCCTCAACTTTATATATGCAGAATAAATATATATGCAGAATATGTTTATAAATATGTAGAGTAAATGGCCTTCAGGGTGTTTCATGTATTAAGAGGTACAATGTTTCTCTTTCTGTCTGTTTTCTATATTATTTGCCACATGATAAAAATGCAATGCTTTTAAATGATTCATTCAACTCGTTTGCTATGGGATGTGAAGTGAAGCTTACAAACTCTTCTTATACAACAACAACCAATTTAAAAGGTTTTAAATTCCAAAAATAATAGGATCGTATAGGTCAAAACATCTTTAGCTTTGTTTACTTTGGCACACAGATTAAGCCTAATCCAGGATAGTTGCGCTCTCAATTGTGAGTTTTCAATAAAAATCCTTTGAAAGCTAGGATTGAGAAACATCTGTCCTGAAACCCTGGATTACAGAGAATCGCTGCTGTTGTTCTGCCAAAAAGTCACTGCTGGGCCATGTGCCCATCAACCACATATTCTGCAAAGTTCATTCATTTTCTTTTCGGCTTAGTCCCTTTATTAATCAGGGGTCTCCACAGCGGAATGTACCACCAATTTATCCATCACATATTTACGCAACAGATGCCCTTCCAGCCCAAACCCAACGCTATGAAAGACCTATACGCTTTTACATTCACACATATACTGTATACTAGGGCCAATTTAGCTTACCCAATTCATCTGTACCACATCATTGGACTGTGGGGGAAACCAAAGCACCCAAAGGAAACCCATGCGGAGAACATGCAAGCTCAAGCCAGTGACCTTCTTGCTGTGAAGCGATCGTGCTACCCACTGCGCCATCATGATGCCCCTATTCCTCTAACCTGTGAGTAATATTTACATTTCAGATTTTCTCTCTGACACACACACACACAATATATGCAGTTTTCTATATTAAATAATTGAATAGTTGTTCATAATCTTTTGCTGTGATGCGAGTCTGCTCTACTTTGAGAAACTTTACAAATATATTTTCAGTTCTGATCAAAAGTGAGAATCTGTGAGCTTCTAATGTAGTGTAAATGTGTTTAAATCATTCGTCATCTACAATAACATGTATAACACTTTCTGTGTGTTATTTGTGATAATATATAGGAATGTACACATTAAGACATTTTTATAAAGCACCCAAAATTCAGAGCTAAAGCACCACCTTGTGGCCGTGGATTTGTATTGGTGAAATAAAGAGAGCACATTTTTCTGAGAATTCCGAACGTTTAATGTAATAAAATGGCTGTACAAAAATAAAGCGTAAAACATTGTGCAAGCACAAACGTCTTAGCTGGGCAGATTCACTCTGAGGATTTTAATGTCATCCACAGGGCGGTCCTGACTGTTGGTTTCCACCATGCCGATTCGATTAAGAACACCAATGCCCTGGCAGACCCGTCCAAATATAGTGTGTTTCCCATCCAGCCATTGTGTGGGAGCCAACGAGAGAAAGAACTGGCTTCCGTTTGTATCCGGCCCTGCATTGGCCATAGCCAGAATTCCAGCACCTACAAAAAATAAAAATAAGATTATTTATTAAAAAATACCCATTAAAAAACTTTATAGATGGCTTACAGTTCAAATACATAAGCCTTTAAAGATTCACGTAATGTAATGTAATGTAAAATTGCTTCACATCCATGGGTGGGGGTCTCTCACCACCACCAGTGTGCAGCATCCACTTGAATGATGGGATGGCAGGCAAAGGACAACGGTGCTAGTTTGCTTACCACACACTGACTATAGGTGCAGTGAAGAGACAGTGATAGAGCCACTTTGATGGATAATGATGACTGGAAGGCCATGATGAGTAAGGGCTGATGGAGGGAATTTGGCCAAGACATTGGGGTTACACCCCGACTCTTTACGAGAAGTGCCATGGGATTTATTATTTTTAAAGATCCCAGGTTCTGCAGGTTGCAATCTCCCGAATTTTGCTTGACAATCTTATGCCAATTGTAATGGTTTGTTTTTGTTTCAATTTAAAAGTTTCCCAACCAGCACAGAGCCCGGGGGCGCTCGGACTTGGCCCCCCTGGTCCTGTGTCATGGGATTTTTATACTTTTTTATACTTTATACTTTTTTATCATATAGGTACTTCCATTAATGTAAGACTTATTAAAGCCTAGAATAAAAAAATAATAATTGGATGCAGAAACCCTAAAATTCAAAACATTTAAAATGTAAAAGTGTGTTTTTTTAATATAGTATGTTTGAATCATGGTTTATGGACAATCGTTTCACAGAAACATGACAAGTTCTACAGTTTATAGATATATTCATTCATTTTCTTTTCGGTTTAGTCCCTTTATAAATCTGGGGTCACCACAGAGGAATCAACCACCAACTTAACCAGCATATGTTTTTTACGCAGCGAATGCCCTTCCAACTGCAACCCATCTCTGGGAAACATCCATACACATTCATTCACAGACATACATTACAGACAATTTAGCCTACCCAGCTCACCTGTACCGCATGTCCTTGGAATTGTGACCCCTGATGAATTAAGGGACTAAGCCCAAGCAAAATGAATGAATGAATATTGGAAAACATTTTTTCAGTGTATTCCCCATTTAATTTCTTGACAATAAGAATAAAAAAGACCTCAACTGTAAAAGCCGGTTAAAGTAAAGGCCTTTACTGCCTTCCTCTAAATTGTCACTGTTAAATGATTAATATTTTCATTTATTAATTCATTTTCTTTTCAGCTTAGTCCCTTTATGAATCTGCGGTCGCCCTGGCAGAATGAACTGCCAACTGCACGTTTTACGCAGCGAAAGCCTTTCCAGCCTCAACCCAACACTAGGAAACACCCATACACACTCATTCACACACATACACTACGAACAATTTAGCTTACCCAATTCACCTATAGCGCATGTATTTGGGCTTGTAGGGGAAACCAAAGCACCCAGAGGAAACCCACGCGATCACTGGGAGAACAAGCAAACTCCACACAGAAATGCCAACTGACCCAGCCAAGGCTTGAACCAGCAACCTTGTTGCTGTGAGGTGATCATGCTACCCACTAGGCCACCGTGACACCCCTTTGATTAATATATTACTTTATTAAATGATATGCAACATACAAATAATACATATTTTTCAAGACAAGTTCAGGTGTATAAAACAAAATGTATCAAATGTGTTTTAGAAATTGTTTTATAACAAACTTTCATTTGTAATAAAGTGAAAATTAAAGGGGTTTAACTGTAAAAAAAAAAAAAAAAAAAACTGAAGATACACAGAATGCCCGATAATACGCTTACATTTAACATGATCTGTAATAATTCTTACCTGTAAATTTCAACTCTGGATGAAATTCATCCTCAAACTGCTTGCCATATATTGATGCACCACCACGACCTGCAGGAATGCATTGAATATGAATAACATTAACAATAAGTAACATTAAATTCATCTGCTGTTGTACTAATGGTAACATTGCTAATATTTTTTACACTTTTCCTAGAAACATGCATGTTTAATTTGACTTTTCAGCAATTACTGTATCAGCGTAAGTGATTCATCTTACAGTATTTTCAAATGAAATGTTGAATGCGGAGTAATGCTGTTTTCAAATGCTCACCTGTGCCTGTTGGATCGCCTCCTTGAACCATGAAGTCTTTAATAATTCGATGAAACTTTGTGCTGTTGTAATATCCTCTTCTGCCCAGCTCTGCGAAATTCTTGCATGTTTTTGGCGCATGATTCCAGTACAGCTCAAGCACAATAGTTCCCATCCTGAAACGGAAGAAAAGGAATCAATGTTAAATTACTCTTATATCTTTCATAGCTGACTAACTACGGCAAGCCATTTTTACATACAACATTTCTTTTAAAGCTAGTAGTATTTTTTCTTTAAAAGCACTATAGTACACATTTTTACTAGTGCTTATTTTTGTACTAAAACAAACTTAAAATGTTATTATTTAGTTATTAGATAAAAGTACTTATTTCAACAGTGACTGGTAACTATTATTGTTGCTACTAACATACTGAAAAGTTTTCCCATTGGCTTCTATAGGCAACTTTCATTAAGATCAAATACTCTTTAAACTATACTAGTTTTCACTAGTATTAATCCAGATGTGAGTAACTCTTTTATATACTGTAGTTCTTTTTATTTTATTTTTTAGAGTTTTCAAAAGAAAATACATATATTACTTACATAATCTTTCATACAGAGACTTACAGATCTCGTATATGCTATGTATTTGTATGTATCTGTAACAAGAACTATAAACAGTAAAACATGGGGAGCTACAAATCCTTTAAAAGATTTTCTTTAAAGAAGAAAAGATACTTATTTTAACATAATATTACATTTGAAAGTTACAATTCAAGAAAGTTTTGGCATATTGGTGAAATATACTAAATCCATTTACTCCAAATTACAAAAAAGTATTCAGTCTGTGATCTTAATGAAAATATACTGTAGTTCTTATTATTATTATTAATGCATTAGTAGATACAACTTAGTACTTATTTAACAGTTACTACATTTTTTTTCTTTTAAGTGCTAGTACCTTAGATAGTTTAAGTATATTTATATACTATTATTATATTTATATTAATTATTATATACTATATTGTTTGTTGGTTAATATTGCTTATGTTTAGGTGTTAAAAAACAAAGAAAAAATAACTTTAAAAACTAATACTTATTCATTAACTTGAAGAAAAACTGTGACCAGTTACTATTTCATACGACTAACAAAATTTCCATGGGTTTCTATAGTGAACTGTCTGTCGTTAAGATCAACTATTCAGCGTTTTGACTAGTAAATACTTTTCAGGTACTAGTAGTAACTTACCTATTAATATTCCTAATCAAGTAGATACTAGTACTTATTTATTAGGTACTTTTATTTTATATATTCTAGTATTAATAAGATATTTGTCCCTGTTTTTTAGATATAGTAACTTAGGCTACTTATTCGTTACACCTTCTGATAGGCAGTTTTATCGAGCACAAAAAACACGTGTTTTATTTTATCAGGTGTTAAATTAAAATCTTCAACAAAACTTCAACTTTAAACAAACATGCGACAAATATTAACCTTTATTTGCATTTAAAACCAATGAAAGTGTTAAAAGAATGACCACAGATTTACTTTTATTGTGAAGTGAACGTCTTATGAAGTCGTGGCTAATTCATTTAAAAACGAATATTCACATTGCGACTTACGTTGTGTCCAGCGAAACAGTAGGAGGTTGCCATGAATCCGGCGGTATTCCAGCCATATCTGCAATTTAACAAATATACGTCTAAATATATTACTTTTGATTTTGAATTGTGCCGCAAAGCGTGATGAGGAAGCAGCAGTCCCGTCTGGCTTACTCGTTTATAATGTAAATAATCACAACCACATGATGTAAATGCTGCCATCTAGCGGACTGGATGATAAGACATTTTGTCTGAATAATACAATCATTCATTAACTTTGTTTTGGTTTGGTCTGTTTATTCAGCAGGGGTCGTCACAGCGGAATGAACCGCCAACTTATCCAGTATATTTTTTACACAGCGGATGCCCTTCCAGCTGCAACCCTGTACTTGGAAACACCCACATACACTAGGCATATTTTGTTTATAAATTTCACCTATACCACATGTCTTGGGGGAACGCGGAGCAAATACTGGAAGAAACTTATGCGAACACGGGGAGAACATGCAAACTTCACACCCAAATGCCAACTTACCCAGCCAGGACTTAAATCAGCGACCTTCTTGCTGTGAGGCTACAGTGCCACTCAGCCACAGTGTCGCAATATAATATAATATAATATAATATAATATAATATAATATAATATAATATAATTTAATATATTTTCCAATACTGGGTTGCAGCTGAAAGGGCACCCACTGCATAAAACATATGCTGGAATTTTTGCCGATTTATTCCACTGTGGCAACCCCTGATAAATAAAGAACTAAGCTAAAAATAATAAATGTTAATAAGTACAAGCCAAAAAATGTATAAAGCTGAAGGAAAATGAATGAATAATATAATATAATCCAATATAATAAAATATAATATGATATTATATATTATATATGATATACTATATATATATATATATATATATATATATATTTTTTTTTTTAAGTAGCCACCAGTTCTGTCTGCAAGCTTCTTGTTTAATTATTTAAAGCTGTTCATTACAGAAGAAAGAAAGAAACTGGCATAAAAATCCAAATATTTAATTTTTAATGTCTACAAATAAAGAAAAAAAAGGGAACTTGTTATTATATACTCACTACAAAGTTTATGATGATCATTGTTTCAAACCAACACACAAAGTCAAAAATGTTTTTTGAATATAATTGTGCTTTATTGCATTTGTTGATTACAAAACTGGATACATGTACAGTCCATGTCCTGCATTTATGGAAAGTATAAGAATCTTATTAAGCAATATGACATGCTTATTCTTTAATATATACATCACAAGACTAAATCAAAACTCTGAATGCAAGTTATTAATCAAAACTGTTCCATTGTGACAGTGCAGGTACAGAGTGAAAGGGGAAAATGGCGATCAAATTCCCAGTGATTGATGGCATTACCAGGCAGTATTAGACACAGTATCAACATCTAAACTTGCCTGGTAAGACACAAATCAGAGGATTTTACTGCAGTATAGAGGCAGAGGGAAAATCAGATGTCATGTGACTGTAGAAGAGATGAAAGCAGACATGAGGAAATGACGTCATTAAAGTGGATATTTGTTATTTCAGGAAATAGATCTGGGAAGAAACTGTTAGTAAAGGATAAGGTGCAAGCAAAGACTTATGGTAGAGTTTATGAATATTTCACAAGCAGCAAATGTCTTTTTGAGATGCATTTCGTCTTTTTGGTCTTGGCAAAAACAAGACTAAATTTGGGCTGTCAGCGAAAATCTAATAGACATCCAAGAATAGGCCAAAAACTAGGCTAGTCGTCAAATAGACAGATTAGGCAGACTTTATATGTGTAGTCATTCATTTCTGTTCACTTGATAACTAGTCTAGTTTTGGCCTATTTTTAGACGTCTATTAGACATCTGTTAGATTTCGACTAACAGACCAAATTTAGCTTTGTTTTAGCCAAGACGACTATGTTTAGACGTCTATTAGAAATCTATTAGATATCTATTAGACATCTATTAGACATCTATTAGACATTTATTAGACATCTATTAGATTTTGACTAACAGACTAAATGTAGCATTGTTTTAGCTAAGATGACTATGTTTAGACATCTATTAGACGTCTATTAGATTTTGACCAACAGCCCAAATTTAGCTTTGTTTTAGCCAAGACGACTATGTTTAGACGTCTATTAGACATTTATTAGACATCTATTAGATTTTGACTAACAGACTAAATGTAGCATTGTTTTAGCTAAGACGACTATGTTAAGAGATCTATTAGACGTCTATTAGATTTAGACTAACAGCCCAAATTTAGCTTTGTTTTAGCCAAGACGACTATGTTTAGACGTCTATTAGACATTTATTAGACATCTATTAGATTTTGACTAACAGACTAAATGTAGCATTGTTTTAGCTAAGATGACTATGTTTAGACATCTATTAGACGTCTATTAGATTTTGACCAACAGCCCAAATTTAGCTTTGTTTTAGCCAAGACGACTATGTTTAGACGTCTATTAGACATTTATTAGACATCTATTAGATTTTGACTAACAGACTAAATGTAGCATTGTTTTAGCTAAGACGACTATGTTAAGAGATCTATTAGACGTCTATTAGATTTAGACTAACAGCCCAAATTTAGCTTTGTTTTAGCCAAGACGACTATGTTAAGATGACTATTAGAAATCTATTAGATATCTATTAGATTTAGACTAACAGCCCAAGTTTAGCTTTGTTTTAGCCAAGACAACAATGTTTAGACGTCTTTTAGACATCTATTGGACATCTATTAGATTTTGACAAACAGCCCAAATTTAGCCTTGTTTTAGGCAAGACGACCATGTTTAGACGTCTATAAGGCATCTATCAGACATCTTCTGAAAACAAAAAAAAGGTTGCTGGGTTTGTTTGTGTCATGTAGGTTTGTATGTGATTAAATGATGACAGAACGACCAACACATCCCTAAATTATTTAACGAGAAGAAAATAACATTATTTCCATCTTCCAAAAACAAACATTTTTATTGGTGGCACATATTTATTCATAAAAAACAAAAATGTTCAAATGAGCTGACAGTCGGTTTCTTCTTTATCATTTAAATGGCTAGTTTACACTAAAATGAGACCGTAAACATGTATTGGAAAAAAGCAAAAAAACTCAAATGGGGTTGAGATCAAGTTGAAAGTGAGCAAATAATGACTTTTCATTTTGAAGTAAATCAAATCTCTTTTAAAATGTGAATTTTCTTTGCACATTCCATCAGACAACACATAGACCTGTAATATAAGTGTCAAATCACTAACATGAGAGCCGCATGTCTACCAGTCATTTTAATATTTTACCGACTGGCATTACTTCCTCCTCCAGCACAGCGAACAGGAAAGACGAACTGTGTAGGCGCAGTTCAATTAGTGTTTGTCACACAGATCTCAGGTGTCATCTACACAATAAGTGACAAGAAAAGAAGGATGAACTGATCATTGACTGGCACGTCACACATTAGAGGGTGTGTGAGTGTGGAGGAATTGCTTTTGTGGCAATTATGAAGACCATTGGACACAACAGGGTGGAGTTTAGAACTGAAGGCTAAGGGGGAGAATCTATATTTATACACACACAAACACACATACACACACAAAAATTAGGGATTCAATATAAAGTTTTTGCAGTGGGATCACAGAAGAGCCATTTTGTGCTCCTTAAAATTATTTCTCAATCAGGTTTTTTAAAATAGGTAACTAAATTAAATGCAGGGGATCCACACATTTCCTTCACGTTGTCCCAACACAAATCGATTAAGTTAACTTAATTGTTTTGTTTAAGTGGATTGGACATAAAATAATTAAGTCGTCACTCATAAAAATTAAAGAATTGTGTTGTTTCAACTTATTTTTACCTAAGTAGTTTGAACAATGATTTTTTGAGTATAAGGAAAGTAATGTGTATGTATGTGTTACTGTTTTTTTAGAGTTTTATTAGGGTTTAAAATTGTAATCCTGTATGTCAATGTGTCATATGTTTTCTCTTGTTATAGAGAACATTTCAATATCCTAAAGAACTTTTTCCTCAGTTTATGGATGTTTAGATGATAAAGGGTCTTCATGGAACCACCAAAGAGTATTTTCTTCGTTATTTTACTTGACTACATTATTTCAATCAAGCAGTCTTAATGCAGTTTTAAAACAATTTGTTTAAAAGACCAAACTATGCCACATTTGCTAGTTCTTTGAAAGAATTTTATTTGTTTTCTCATATCATAATGGTTTATTGAGTCACCAGAGTGCATCGTTACCAGACAGTGTTAGAACATCAGTGAACAGCCAAGCACTGTCAGGTAAGATGTACCCTAGAGACAATGAATGAACTCCTTCAGCATCACAGGACCTGAGAACACATTTCACCATGGCATATTTTCCATTTGTATGCATATTTGCATAGTCAGCATGTCCACACCCAGATGCAAAGTTGCCTCTAGATGACCATCTGCATCATTACCAGGCAGTATTAGAGAAGATATAACATCCAAAACTGCCTTGTAAGATGGAGCCAGGCATCCATTGTCCGTTCCCAAATGATCTGTTTTGATTGATGGTATATTGTGGATAATTTCCATATTGTTTGTCATTATAAAATGAAAGCTAGTGTACTTTAGCAAGGCGCTTGTTAATGATTATCTATTTTCCCGGCCGGTCCTGTTTTACAGCTTTATATATTTCCTTCAAACTGCACTTATTTTGCATATTACCTCGCACTGGACCACTTCCAGTTTCACTATGCTTCTGAATCATTTTTGCTGGCAGCTATTATTAGAATGGATAAAAACATTGTAACCACAGACGTCTGTTTCTTAGGTGTACGCCCTGGCCTGCTTCCATGACAACTGTGACCTTTGAGACGTCTCCATGACCTAGGAGAGTTAAGCTAATTGGTCGCACCATCATCAAAACAAAATTGTGTCTACAGCCTCTGAATCCCACTGCAGACACTCAACGTAGGTGGTAAGGAAAGCGCCTAGTCATGCTAATCAAAATGGCTGATCTTTGTCACCTATACCTGAGTGTGCACCTGACTGACCCTTCACCTGTAGATTAGATAAGATTGGATTAGATAACTCGCTTACTACTGAAACCAAAGTAAATGAGTCTGTTTATGTTAGCGCCAAAATGTTATTTGAATGAGGCATATTTTTTTATATTCTTACTTGAGTTTTTTTCAAGATAAGGAAGAAAAAATGTTGATTATGAGACAATCAAAGTAAACATTCATCAATGTTTTAAACCTAAACAATTGTTTTAGGTGTAGGAAGTCTATTATAGGCTTAACAATAAACTACACCTTTGTTTAATAGAGTTAAAAAGTAATTACTGAATTATTTAATGTCATTTCTGTAAATGCTTTGCATATTCTACTTCATACCCCTTTGTTTTAAACTGAACAAACAGGTTTGACAAATTACGGAAGTGAAAGTTCACATCCTGTGCACTTATTTGCCACTATTTTAACAAATCTCTTTCAAATTTCATACTAAAATACATCAATTTTATAAAAAAAAAAAATTAAAGAAATCTGTATGTATTTATTTTATCATATAACATTAGCATTGCATGTAAACAACAACAAAATTATAAAACCACTTAATAGCAATGAATAAGTATTATTTAGTTGAAATGTTTTCAAATAAAAAAATATTAGTTACCCTTTCAGTTCCAGTTGCAGTCGTTCAGTGTGAAGTCATGGACAAGAGATGCCATTGTGTCGCAGTGTCGCTTCAGCAGATGTAGATCACTTCCTGCTCCTTCCACTTGTTAAATGTTGCTTCTTCCATGCAGGGCCATACCTCTCAAACCAGTCTGAAGATGCCTGATGAAGACACAAGGGCAAGAGTAATGGAGTCTCGAGCATGAGGAGAAACACAATCTCCTAAAGCTCCTGAAGCGAAGAAACTGCTCCTACAAAACATCTAGGTTTTCAGGTATACCTTGGAGCCCTGCCCAGGTGTCATTTTTACGTTGTGGCCAATCCCTGTCCTGCTTCTATGCGTAGGTGTGTCTTGTGCTCTTTGATTGGCTGGTTTGGTGTTGAAGTGCCTCTGGGTTTCTGAGTACACAAGCTTTTAACCTTCAAAAAGACCACGCCTCACTTGCGCTGTCTCTTGTTCTGGGTCAGACTTTAGGGCAACAGGCAAGAATAAACCTCTATCTTGCTGTTCAGGCTTACTTTTTCTCTCTCTATTGTTCATCATTAGATAAGAGTTTTGAAACGCATTTGGTAAGTTGTAAATATGTCCTCTGTGAGATCCTCTGATTATACTCTGTGCATTGTTTACACTGAAAATAAACTCCTCCTGGTGATGAACACACAATATGAAAATAGCTGAAATTAAACACAAGGCCTAACTGAATTTTTACTCAACGTTATTTACTCATTTGACCATACAAATTTAAAATAAAAATATATATTAACACTTTCCAATAAGATTCCATTGTTAGCATCAGTTGATACATCCATTGATTTACATACTTAAAAAAATATTTTAAAAATGTGTATTATTTTTAGGTTATGTTAATTTCAAACACCAATGCAATGTTTGATTTTAATAATACAATCAAAAACTGTTTTTGCTACTTGTTCAATCTGCTTGTTTAAAATGAGCTGAATCAACACAATTTTGAGTTTTTGGAGGGACAACTTCCTTGTTTTATGTTCAATCCACTTAAAATTTAAAAACAATTAAGTTCACTTAATCAGTTTGTGTTTAGACAACATGAAGGAATTGTCTGAAACCCATCATTTTTTACAGTGTATATATATATATATATTATTTAATGTAACTTAGCTAACAGTAAACAGTTGTATATTTATTAACTAATAACAAGAGAATAATAAATGCTGCAACAAATGCATTTCACTGGATTTTAGTTAATGCAGGAACTAATGGATATAACTGTGCTACACTGTAAAAACTGTTTAGTTGACTTTACTTTAAAAAGTGAGTAAATCTATTGCCTTAACACTTTTAAGTAAATTAACTATGTGTGTAATATAAAAAAAAATAGAGAACCCTACAGTTACAGCATCATTACTTACATTTTTGAAGTAAAATCAACTTGTCACTTTTAAGGTAACAGATTGACTAACTTGTTTAAGTTATCGATTTTTACAGTATACACTCAAAAATGACTTTAGTTGCTTGTTCAAACTACTTATTTAAAATGGGTTGAACCAGCACTATTCTTAGGGTTATTTTGGGGGGGACAATGTAATTGTTTTATGCTTAATCCACTCAAATTTGTGAAAATTATTAAGTTATATTAATAGATTTGTGTTGGGATAACGTGAAGGAATTGTGTGAAACCCAGTATTTTTATAGTGTGTTACCACAATATTAAGATTAATTTCTAGTGCAAACACATAAAACAAAAACGTAATAGATCAATTATGTTGTTGTTTTTTAACAAAGAATGATTATACAATATTAACAATATTTATATTATAGTATTAACTTATTTCAGCTTGCAATGTGAACCTGATTTTTAGAACTTAAAAATTTAAAGGTAAAAAGAAAACAATAAACTGCTCACCTGCAATTTCAACAAATGTGAGCTTAAATCTGGAAAATATATGAAAAAGGATCTTTGCCGGCAGATTATTGACTATAAAAATAAAGATCCACTCCTTATGCCTTTCATAAAAGCCCTATAAAATCCAGTGTTTCGTATTTGGAGCTATATTTAAGGTTTCATTGGGACAATGAAGTGCTTGTGCTCAAGGTCTGTTTAGGACAGGCCCACTAAACAGGTGTCAGAGAGCGGAAGAATCACTTGCATGGGATACTTACAAAAAAGGAAGCAAAATTATAGTGACACACAGTATATTGCTGGCTATATTGGTCATTTTTGTAAGAATATTAATTATAAGCTGATAAATTATGAATTATTTCTGCACAAAGCTAGAGGTACGACAAGATTTCAACAGTTTGGGAGTATTTTTCAGTAGAAAAAAATGACTTCAAAATTGCATTTTGCAAATAATTTTGGGAAAAGAAAGATCTAGATGTTTCCTTGCTGCTTTCTTGTTCCCTACAGCTACATTATTTCAGAAAAATCAACTTTGTGCTGTATTGTTTACTTTTTGTAGTCAGGCTCAGAAAAAAATATTGAACTATTTGTACTTATTGGTAATCAGCTCCTAAATATAAAGAGTTATTGGTTAAAGCATCATCCTAATTTACAAATTAGTGAATGATTTAAAAGATTATTGTTTGTTTGTTTGTTTTTGTATCTATTTGTATTTAAGATCCCTATAAAGTAATAATTGTTTAAAATAACTGTGCTAGTTTCTGATGCTATTTTGATGCTTAACTTGTTCAGTCAGTAAAAATCTAGATTTACTGTACATTTTGCCTATTTTTTCTAAAATTACAATTCAGAATATGGAGTTAGAACAAAGGATCTGAGACTTCCAGCTTCAGCTGGAGTTTATGCTGGGACACAGGGACTGCACTGTAACCCAGGCAACAGGTCAATGCCTCACCACATCCACAAGCCTGTGTGGATTGTTAATGAGATCTCTGGGGTCTGATTTGTGAGGCGAGAGGATGGAGAAACATGGGGATCAGCTGGCTGTCAGGAAGGCCTCCTGAGATACCTTGTACCTGAAAGAAGCAGCAAAGAATCAGCTGTCAACCATTTCACACAAAACAAACTGTGCATGAGGGAAAATATGCACCTGTATATGTGAGACTGGTGACTGATCTAAACTAACATGGCTATTTCTAGGAAGTATAAGAAAAAAACAGTGAGTTATAAAAAGTGTGAGAGGGAGAAGGTGGAAAGAGAAAAGGATAGAAAAGAGGGAGGGTAAGGGCAATGACCTGAGGGATTACTGGCCCAAGGGAAGGAGTTGCCAGGATTCTCCAGCACACAAACACTCTATTGTGCGTCTTGTCATTGCATCACATTCCCCCTACAGACAAGAATATGATAAAATGTTAATGCTTTTAAAATGGGAGATTTAATATTTGACGTATTATTTACATCACTTTCAGAGCATGTGCCCAGCGGGACTGTGCATTATACGCCCCACTGTTTGATAACATTTTGATTAACTACAACTTTATTACAATTGGGCAATAATGGTTAAAATGTTGTTTGTTATTCTGTCATCATTTACTTACTCTTCACTTGTCACAAACCTGTCTAAGTTTCTTATTTTCTGTTCAACAAAATAAAAAAGACGTTATTTTGAAAAATGTTGGAAACTTGTAATAATCGATCTCCTATGGTAGGCTATTTGATTTTCCTGCCATGGAGGCCAATTATTATAGATATTAACATTCTGTCTAAATACTAAACAAACATTTAACCATTTTAAATTAACTCTGATTAACTCTTCTAACTGACTCTAAAATTTTCAATATTGCTGGAGAACTCACAACAAATTTACCACTGGAAAAATGTTGCCATGTAATCATTATTTCCCATGAAACAAACCTGTTTTCCTCAAGAGAGCGCATGGCTGCTCAGAAAGCCGAATTCTCCACTGATCTCCATTCAAATATCTGGAAGTTTTTGTCTAGTTGTAGACACTTTTACAATTAATAATTGTAATCACTCTTATAACAGTAAATCTACTAATTACAGCGATTTTTAGACGCCATCAAATTTAAATAAACAACAGCAATCGCTATTAAATGTAACATTAAGGTAGCGTAAACTAATAAAACATCAACGACATTGATTGGTCAAGATTGAACAGCATTGAGAATAGCCACGTGTAACACGTGATATCTCAGTCCCTTGTCGGCAGCATTCTGCGCACTAATTTATAAATAATGGTCATGGAAATGATATCAGCCAATAAACCGAAGATACCCAGTTACGTGTTAAAATAGAAGAGTTGCAGTTTAAATTACGTAAAATCCGTCCAAATAAGATCAACTTCCAATCCATGAAGCCACGCCCCTTTACTAACACTTGTTTCAAGACTGTATCCGTTCTTCCCATCTTCTCCTTTCTACGGTCTTCCCAGTGGGCGAGTTTTCCTGAGAGTGAGCACGCAACTGCAGACGCAGGTTGTAACTGTTAGTTTGACAACTCATTCTGTCGTTAATTTATATCGTTTCACCAAGGTAAGAATTTTTGTATTTTTACCTATCTGCTTACAATTTTCTAGACTTCTTATGTTTTGTTCAGTCTTGTTCAGTCTCAGCTAATATTAGATATTTTGGTAAAGCATTAAGTTCTCGAGTGAGACACTAATGAAGTGTGCTGGATGAGAGTCATCGTGAATAAGCACGTGACATTGAGAAGGACCGTGATGAGTCGTGCTTTCCATCACGCCCACTCATATTCACACACTGTAATGAGATTAAATATTTGCAGAACAAACTTTACGAGAGAGAAATCCGATTCCAGGAAAGGAAATGAATGAGACTGGTTATTGGCATTGAACAAATTGTAGTTGCACATATTGTTATGTTTATATATGCTCATGCGAAAATAAAAGCGTCATTAAAAAAAAGCTCTTAGACCAGTTCAGTAAGCTTTTTGTTTTGTGACAGCTGCTAATCCAATTAGACCTGAGCTTCCCGTGATTCCCAATTGGAAATCACAATCCCAAATACAAATTGTGCATGTTGGAAACCTATTAATCTCTTTTGAATTGGGTATAATTTTACCAATACAGATGTTCCTTTTCAGCTAGTATTAGGCTTATTAGCAGGCAAGAGGATTTGAGAAAGTGACCCTGTAGGTCAATGGCATTACTGTAAGGCAGATGGCGTACTTCCTTTGAAATCTCCTTGTGATGTGTAGTCATTCACATTCACCAGAAACTGTTCCCTTTGTTTTTATAATCTATCTTTTTATCAATTAGATTTTTAAAGAAAGATGTCTATTCTGAAGATACACGCTCGTGAGATTTTTGATTCTAGGGGCAACCCCACTGTGGAGGTGGACCTCTACACAGAAAGAGGTGATTCTCCTGATGTCTCTTTAAAAACCAAACACTAGATTAAGATGAAAATCATTTTCAATTCAGTTGAAGATATTGAAGATCGTTTAATTTGCTGACATGCAAAGAAAACTCATCTGCTTTCTAACAGGTCTGTTTCGAGCTGCTGTCCCCAGTGGAGCTTCTACTGGGATCTATGAAGCGCTGGAGCTCAGAGACAATGATAAGTCCCGCTACCTGGGCAAAGGTAACTTTCCTTTTGCATTTCTTTAATGAATTCAGTGTACATGAGAAATCAAGTTTCATTGAGTCTTACTGAATTTATTGGTAATGTTTTGGAAATAAAAGACGAGTTGTCAAGCTAGATTTTGTTTACTGAACACAAGGGACTGTTTCTCTATTCCCAGCTGTGTTTTATTTCTCTATTGAGAATGAACAGGTTAATAACTGGGTTCAGCATTATGTTAACAGCTTAATGAACAAGTAAGAACTCATTTTTATTTTTGTTTTATCAATTTGAATTGGCATGGCAGATTTATCTGATTGGTAATTTGTGAACTAATATGAAAAAGGTGTACTTTCTGAAATGCATGTGGTTTTAAATGAGCAAAAGTCTTTATTGTTGTACTGCAATATTATTTAGTGCACAATGTTTGCATGGATTAAATTTCTTATGAACAGTTTTTTGTTAAAAACACTTGCCTGATTGGTGTAACAAATGTTAACAAATTAAATAAATATCTGATCGTTAGCGTTGTGACTGCACATAAACCAATCGAATGAATTCAGAGATGGCATGTATCCAATTGCACTAACAGTCAATCCGCAATTAAAATATGCATATGCCTTTATTCCTCATATCTGCTGTACTTTTCTGTAATCTAGGTGTATCAAAGGCTGTTGAGAATGTGAACCAACATATTGCACCTGCTCTCATTGGCCAGGTTAGTATTTCAGATATTAATATTAAAATCATATAGAATCTGTTTTATAAATGTAAGTTTGATTGGTTGATAATGATTTGTTTTCACTTTTTGCTCTTTCTCTTTCACTTAGGGAATTCCTGTTGTTGAGCAAGAAAAGATTGACCAGTTCATGCTGGAACTGGACGGAACTGAGAATAAGTGTAAATCCAAATATTTACATTTACACTTTTAACAACATATTAAATTGTGCTCTACATTAAGATTTTCTCAACAGTTGTACTACCATGTAGTTTACACTACCACTCAGAAATGTAAGGCTAGAATTGTACATAGAAAGCATTGTAAATCTGTCCCTGTGCATTTTATGCATATCCCTTTAAAAAAATAAATAAATACAGCCTTCCAGTAAATAACAATTTCTACAATCACACTATTGATTCCAACATTTTTAACTGTAGTGTACATAAATGGTAGAGTAAATAAGCCTGTGAGCATTTGTAAATATTGTGGCGGGTAATATGATTGTGTGTAGTCATAGTCCTTTAATTCCTGTTTCTGTTTCAAACAACAGCCCGATTTGGTGCCAATGCCATCCTGGGTGTGTCCCTGGCGGCGTGTAAGGCAGGAGCTGCGGAGAAAGGTGTTCCTCTGTACCGTCACATTGCTGACCTTGCTGGAAACCCAGAGGTCATTCTGCCTGTGCCGGTGAGAACACTCTTGTGTTTGAAATTCTACAGTAAGGAAAAGTGTTGTGAGACTGTAAATGTAGCCCAGGAATACACTCACATGCCACTTTATTAGGAATTGGACTCCATTAAGACTTTATAACTACATTAATTATTCTCGGAATTTATTTAAAAAAGAGCTATAAATAATCTTTAGGGTACACTATGGATGCTAATTTGGTACTAAGGGTTCAAAGTGTCCCAAGAAAACATCATCCACACCAGTCCACCATCAGCAGCCTGAACTGGTAATGATTGGGCTGGATGGATTTATGCTTTTATGTTGTTTATGCCAAATTCTGACCCTACCATCCGAATGGCACTGCAGAAATGGATAATTAGACTAGAAGATGGCTTAAAAATCAGCCTTAGTTTTCAGTTTACAGGAGTAGCACTGGTGTGGTCTTTTGCTGCTGTATCTCATCTGCTTCAAGTTTTAATGTCTTGTGCATTCAGAAATACTGTTCGGTAGACCTCAATTTTGACGAGTGGTTATTTGAGTTACTGTTGCCATTCCATCAACTCAAACCAGCCTGGATATTTCCCTCTGACCTCTGGCATCAGTGCAGCATTTTCACCTTCATAAGTGATGCTCACTGGATATTTTTATGGTGTGTTTGGCCTCAAAGAGATTAAAGAGACCTTGAGGGTATTTGAAAGCAGACATTAATAAGATATTTTTCTTGTTTGCTTGTTTGATCTACAAATAATGGGTCACAGTTTACAATAACGTTGAAGTAATCAACATTAGTTAATGTAGCATGAACTAATAATGAACAATACTTATAGTATAGCATTTGTTAATCATAGTTCAACATTACAAATGCATTATTAAAATCCATATTTATGCTTGTTAACAATTAATGCACTGTGAGTTAACGTGAGCCACCAATGAACAACATTATTTCTTTTAACTAACATTAACCAAGATTAATAAATACTTTAATAAATGTATTGTTCATCGTTTGTTCACTCTAGTAAATACATTAACACAACTTTATTGTACAGTTTTAACACCAAATGATGGTTTTTAATGTTTTTATCCTTTCAATCAGTTTTGCATTTTACATTGTTCTTTCCAAAGGCCTTTAATGTGATCAATGGCGGCTCTCATGCTGGCAATAAATTGGCCATGCAGGAGTTCATGATTCTGCCGGTCGGGGCCAGCAGCTTTAAGGAAGCCATGCGCATTGGTGCAGAGGTGTACCACAATCTGAAGAACGTTATTAAGCAGAAATATGGCCAGGATGCCACCAATGTTGGTGACGAGGGAGGATTTGCACCAAACATTCTTGAGAACAAAGAAGGTATTAAAAAAATCTAGAATCAAGACTTATCTAGCTAAGATGACTTATTAATATATTATCTGTATGTCAATAATAGCTCTAGAGCTGCTGAAGAATGCCATCAGTAAAGCTGGATACACTGATGAAGTTGTGATAGGGATGGATGTGGCAGCATCTGAATTCTATCGTGACGGACAGTACGACTTGGACTTTAAGTCTCCCGATGACCCCGATCGATACATCAGCCCCGATGAGCTTGCTGACCTTTACAAGAGTTTCATAGAGGATTATCCAGGTATCCAACAGTTGTTTGCTCTTTTCCGTTGTTTCTTAAGCACTAACGTAGAGGTGTGAATAATTTTTTAACCACCGTTCCAGTGGTCTCTATTGAGGATCCCTTTGATCAAGATGACTGGGAGGCCTGGACCAATTTCACCAACAGCACAGAAATTCAGGTGGTGGGAGATGATCTCACTGTTACCAATCCCAAGCGCATAGCTACTGCAGTGGAGAACGAGGCTTGCAACTGCCTGTTGCTCAAAGTTAACCAGATTGGTACTGTGACAGAGTCTCTGCAGGCGTAAGTTCAAAATAAGATCCTACGTTTGTACAAAGATTCCCAAAATTTACTGTATTAAAGGTGTCATGTAAATTAAAATTGCATTGACCATTTTGACATATAATAGATCATTGTATTATAAAAACATCCTGTGAGTTTCAGAATTCAGTGTTTTCTCATTAGTCTAAAAACAGCTTATATTAAAACCAGTTTGGCATTATGTCAGCTTATGAATGTGCCACTTTGGTGTAATAGTGTGGCTAAATTCTGCATCCACAGAAGTTCGATGCCTGCTACTTCATCACTGCTTGTGTAGCTTTGTCCACTGATTTATGCATGCAGTAGATCAGGGGTCACCAATCTCGGTCCTGGAGGGCCGGTGTCCTGCAGATTTTAGCTCCAACCCTAATCAAACACACCTAAACAAGCTAATCATGCTCTCACTAGGTATACTTAAAACATCCAGGCAGGTGTGTTGAGGCAAGTTGGAGCTAAACCCTGCAGGGACACCGGCCCTCCAGGACCAGGATTGGTGACCCCTGCAGTAGATGATTATTGAGGAGCAAATGCATGTCTTTAATAATAATAATAATAATTCCTTACATTTATATTGCGCCTTTCTGAACACTCAAAGCGCTTTACACATTGGGGGGAATCTGCGGCCATATTGCGCCAGCCGCATACCACACACCAGCTGATTGATGTAGAGGAGACAGAGTGTAATGTAATGTGTATTTATATAGCGCACTTATTGTGTATGGCCATACACCCAAAACGCTTCACAATCATGAGGGGGGTCTCTCCACACCCCCACAAGTGTGCAGCATCCACAGGCCAACGGCGCCAGTGCACTCACCAAACACCAGCTATTGAGGAAGTGGAGAGACAGTGATGGAGCCAATTCAGTGGATGTTGATGAGTGGGAGGCCATGATTGGTGTGGGCAGATGGAGGGACTTTGACTAGGACACCAGGGTTATACCCCTACTGTTTAAGGGTAGTGCTATGGTATTTTTAATGACCACAGATAGTCAGGAGCTCGGGTTAATGTCTCATCCGAAAGACAGAGCCCACTGGCTGTATACTGTCCCCTTTACTTTTAATAGGCCATTAGGACTCACGCAGACTGCAGGTTGAGTGCCCTCTGCTGGCCTCTCTGACACCACTTCCAACAGCAATCTAGTTTTCCCTTGTGGTCCCCTATCTTGGTTCTGACCAGGCTCAGCCCTGCTTAGCTTCAGTGAGTAACCGGTCTTGGGCTGCAGGGTGATATGGCTTCCAGTGATGAAGCCAATTATGATATGGGGATGGTTAGATGATGGACAGAGGCCAGTGGGCAAATTTAGCATACTGGGATTTTTAACGGCCACAGAGCCACCTAGCTTTTCCATGTGGTCTCCCGATCAAGGTACTCACCAGGTACAGGTACCTGCTTAGCTTCAGTGGGCGACCATGTGAGAGTTGCAGAGAGCTAGCTGCCGGTCTACACAGAAACCAAACTATAAAGATTCTCAGAAGACGGCAAGAAGCTGTGCAGTGGCAGACTGTGTAAAAACACACTCTTTTTTATCCCTTTCCTTCTCATATCAAAGTTGACCAGAGGATGTATTTTATTTAACATAATGAAGTTCCAGACCACATCAGTAGGAACTTGACCCTTTGTTCTCTCAAATATGATGTATACATTTAGGAAAAAATGCAATGCTGGATTTTTTGAAAGAATGAACTTTAAAATATGATGCATAGCAGGGCATTATGCAGTGCCGGAAATTAGTCCCCAGCTAGGTAACTAGATAACAGCTCATGCTTTAAATAAGAAAAGTATCGAAATTGTTTTATAATTTTTTGATAGAAATTCTAATGGTCTAATCTGATTCATTGATCTATGCTAAGCTAAGCTAAGCTAAAAGTGCTCCCGCTAGATCAGGAGATCAGCTGAATGGATTTAGTGGTTTAAAACTCAATAGTTAAACTTAAGCGTTTTGCCCTGAATCAAATCATCATCCATCTATGAAGGATGTAGCCTGTAAAAAATACAGACGTTTACATTAGTGGGCTCACAGCTGTACTTTTGAACTTTAATTGAAAATTTAATACAGTACAAATGATAGAAAAAAATCAATTCATGACCCCTTTAAAAATAAGACGAGTCACACCACACAACTGGAAGTAACTTTTAAAATTATTTGTTCACAGTTTCTTTGTCATTATAGATCATTTGATATGTACTGAGTATCACTGCGCTTTTGCTCTTAATGAAATCAGCATCCATCTAAGAAGGAAGTAGGCTGTAAAAACACAGACGTTTACATTAATGGGCACACAGCTGTCGCTTTAAACTTTAAAAAATGTAATACAGTACAAATAGATTTTTTAAAAATCTCTTCTTCATGATCCCTTCAAAAATAAAACGATCCTCTTTTTGATAAAGTACAAAATTAACAACGTTTTTGTACCATCTCACTCCACAGATGTAACATGGCTCAGTCCAGTGGCTGGGGAGTGATGGTGAGCCATCGCTCAGGGGAAACCGAGGACACATTCATTGCAGACCTTGTTGTGGGACTGTGCACTGGACAGGTACAACATTCTTTAAACATTTTAGGTTTATCACAACAATTGTGATTTTATTTCACAATTAATAACTAATTTTACTCTTTCTGCTTGCATGTGTCTCATTTTATTTTATTTTATTTTTTGCATTTAGATTAAAACAGGAGCCCCATGCCGTTCAGAGCGTCTGGCCAAGTACAACCAGATCCTCAGGTAAGACTTCTGTTAAATTATTCTTAACCAAACACGGTCATAAATGGGCATAAGTATTTCACTTCTTCTGCATACCTGCTTTCTTCATTTACAGAATTGAAGAGGAACTGGGGGAGAAAGCTCGCTTTGCTGGGAAGAACTTCAGAAATCCACTGAACTGAGACCACCACAGTACAGTTAGAAGTATTTAACCTCATCCAGTAAATATACTAATAGTATATGTTTTAACTTATGATTAAAGAATGGGTTGATGCTGAGACCATATCATCAAGGACACTAAAACAAGAATCATAATCGTTATGTGGGTGACCATTTGGATGAGTGTCACGTGTACTTGTGTCATGATGATTATATTGCAAAGAAAGTGCAAACAGTGTTTTCCTGTAAATGCTGCGTAGCAGATTTTTGAGGACTGTGCTTGTAATAGTGGATACTGTTAAAATAAAAACATCACCTCAACTAGTGAGAGACTTTTGGGTAGCGTTATAATTTAAGGGGTCTCTGCTTTGCTTGTATCTGACAGGTTTGAGCTTGTCTTGTGCAGGCAAAACACCAGTGTTTTAGTTATGATGGGTTAATTTTTTACACCACAGGAGTGTTAAAAGGCTTGATTTGGATTGGTTGAGTAATTCCAGATCATGACACGATTACAGCTGCATATTGCTTTTCCATATTTAGGATATAATGATTATTAAATAAACAATATGAAAATTAATAACAGTACATTCATTCATTTTATTTTCTGCTCAGTCCCTTTATTAATCAAGGCTTGCCACAGCTGAATGAACCACCAACTTATCAAGGCATAGGTTTTTTACACAGCGGATATCCTTCCAGCCACAACCAAACACTGGGAAACAACCATACACTCTCCCATTCACACACATACACTACGACCAATTTAGCGTATTCAATTCACCTATAGCTCATGTCTTTGGACTGTGGGGGAAACCGGAGCACCCGGAGGAAACCCACACCAACATGGAGAGAACATGCAAACTCCACAAAGAAATGCAAACTGACTCAACCTATTTGCTGTGAGGCGATTGTGCTACCCACCGTGATGCCCAAACAACAGTTAATTGTTATAAATATTAATTACGGTTATAACTAGCAATAATTAAGTACAGTGGCACAGTAGTTAGCATTGTCACCTCACAGCATGAAGGTTGCTGGTTAGAGTCCCAGCTGGTTCAGTTGGCATTTCTGTGTGGAGTTTGCATGTTCTCCCTATGTTCATGTGGGTTTCCTTTGGGTGCTTCGATTTCCGCCACAGTCCAAAGACATGCGCTATAGGTGAATTGAATAAACTAAATTGGCTGTAGTGTATGAGTCTGAAGGAGTGTGTATAGATGTTTACCAGTACTGGATCGTGCCTGGAAGGTCATCGGCTGTGTAAAACATATGCTGGATAAGTTGACGGCTTATTCCGCTGTGGCGAATCCTAATGAATAAAAGGACTAAGCTGAAGGAATGAATGAATGAATAATTTTTTTCAAATAATACTTGTAATATTCTATATTACTACTACTACTACTAATAATAATAATAATAATTACAGAAAATAAATATACATCTAATCAATACGTATTATTGAAAATACCATTATTATAATTACTAGAATTAAAGATGCTTTCAATTTAATAGTAGCAACTACAACAATATTAATCTTTAAGTACTAATAACAATAACTGTTATTTTAAATAAAATGTGCTGCTGACTAAAATTATTGTATTACTGTCATTATCATGAGTGTTATTAATGCAAAGTACTTTTAATTTAATAATGTTATAACTAGTAGTAGTAATACTGTTATCACTTATAATAAATTGGTATTAATATTGTTATTAATTAACTATATAAAACATTCTGCATATTGTCATTTTGATTGACGTTTCTCTCATGAAACGGTAGAGATGTATGGAGTCATCAAAGCAGACAGCGCTGCATTAAAAGCGTCTATAGCCTAATTCCACTGAGCCGAAATAAATCCACAGTCTCTTCAGTGGCTGTCCTTTAAATCTACACGCTCTGTATTTATATCCCACAACCCACACACCGACCAGATTGTTATTATTCTTCTCCACTCTTCATGCCCGGTGCATTCAAATACAAACGAATCAAACATGCACAGGAATGCCACCATCAAGACTGGGCTGGTGAAATGCACCGAGACGTACGTCCATGTTCTTGTGTGAATATTGACTCGGGAGGACGGCCAAACACATCTCCCTGAAGCTGATCTCCATAGACAGCGGACACGGAGATGATCCCATTAGCGCTGGCTGCAGCGGCACATGCTCAGTTATGCTTGTTGAAGGGGATCTCAGTAGGCTGTGCGTGAACACTGAGGTCATCGCCTGCGCTCAGGAAAAAATACTCCGCGCAGCCTCCATTTTGAGTAGTATGAAATAGAGGAAAGCATAGTTTGGAGCCGCCGCCGCAAACAAACTGTAAACACTAGCGAAACAGCCTCTGCCATGGACGACTTGTTCAGTCCGCGAAGGTTTGTTGCTTTCTCTTATTACACATTTTCGCTTTTGCTCGCGCTTGTGCTTCTGGAGACGCCGCGGATACTTTTGCATTCTAGTGCAAACCGAGATGATTTTGAACTTGACAGCTCGTCTCGCTCGGCCACACACACATACACACACACACATACACAGACACACACGCAAAGGCCAGCTACGAGAGCCCGTCGTCGAGATAAAATGGGGCAGATGTTTGGTGCTGAATGTTGAGTATGTGTAATGCAGGTTCAATTGCGAATTACTTTGGTTCCGTTTGTTCTGTAAATATTTGTTCGGCAGATTGTTTTTAGCACGCTATCTTCTTTCGCGGAAAATTTGGCTGGACAGCGAGTGGTGTTAGTGCATATCACATATCATAAGTACTGATTTGGATTTGCTCTGTAATGGATTGTGCACGCAGATAGTGTAATGATTTATGTGTAAATACACGGACTGGACGTCCAAGCCCCCGTTTATATAACCTTTGGAGGGAACGGAGCAGCCGGACATTGATTGGGCGATTTTGCTGTGTAGGCGGGATTTGGATTGATCATCGCGAGTGCTGATTGGCAAATCACGATTTATGATTAACACTGAAAGGATGCGATTTAAAAGGGTGGAAAGACATTAAACACTCACCTGATATGAAACAAGTTTTACACTTAGTATTTGTTCTGTTAAATTGAATAAAATGTTACATTTGTGAATTGTTTTTGCATGTGGATTTATTATTATTGTTGTTATTATTATTACTATTATTATTATTTACTTATGGGGTAGGCTACAGACTGTAAGTTCTTCTGAACTAATAACCAGTTTTATGTTATTTAGGCAGCTGAATAGCACACAAGGAGAGATTCGAGTTGGACCAAGTCATCAGGTAATATGATTACAATCTGTAATCTGTACATATATGGCATGCAGTGTGTTATTAAGTAAAACTGTACCTCAGGTTCAGAACTGTCAGCACTTTGTAAACAAACCTATCTATACTAAAAATCCAACCCTAATGCTACAAATGTGACAAATCATAGAAAATAAATGTAAACAAAGTTTATTTACTGAGTGCATTTGTCTAAAAGGAATAATTCACCCAAATATTATTTATCATTTATTCATTGTCACACGCTTTGAATTATCACTCGATTGAATGGGTGTTATCAGATGATAGATATAGGCCAGTAGGGGCCTTTTGCGCCTACTGGTAGGCTCACAGGGCTGCTATCATCCATCCACATGGTTAATCAGCTATACTAATAGAGAAGACTCCAGATCTAGATCTGTGTTTACATTACTGTGACAGTTGGGTTTAGAGGTGGACGTTAATAAAATACAATTAATGGGACATTTAATAAATGATATAAATAATACTTGTTCACTTACGGCTGCAGCAGTATGTGATCTATAGCTGCTTAACCATGTGGATGGATGATAACAGCCTTCTAAGCCTACCAGTATTCTCAGAAGACCCCTACTGGCCCATTTCTTTCAGCTGATAACCACTAATAATGCCCATTCTATCGAGAGATAACATTCAAAACGGCTGGTCAAATCCAAGATTTAGGAGACTTTTTTCTTTAGTAGGACATTAAAGAAGTTTTTATTTTTAGATTTTGCTGAAACAGAAGTGTTTAATGATTTATAAAATCCATTTCAAAAACTAGCGGCACAGTCAAAACAAACAAACAAATAAACAAATGCAGGCAAAGCAAAGTTAATATGTGGCTGCTGATGATACTCTGAGGTCTTATGATGTGAAACTATCAGTCTGTACAAGAAACTGGACATTCATTACAATAGTTTTGGTTACGTTTTTTTAACATGTCCTACTAGGGCTGCATGATGTATCGTTTTAGCATCAATATCGCAATGTGCTCATCTGCAATAGTCACATTACAAGATGTTGAGTCTGAAATATAACTGACCAGGAGCCACAGAACGCATGTGATTTGTAGAGTTTGCATGTGTTTTTAAAGCCTGTGACTGGGCATTTCAAGAGAGTTTAGAACATTTAAGCACAAAAAATGATGATGTTTGACATTTATTATTTTTCATTATTCATGCAGAATTATTATGATTTATGCAACAACAAAAAAGTATTTCTTACTCAGAATTTTTGTCTTGTTTCTAGTCCAAATATCTACATTTCAAAGCAAAACCTAGATTATATTACTTTACACATCAGCAGATAATTTAGCTTGTTTTAAGGGAAAGAAATATTAATTTCTTCTGAAGGTGAAAACAAAACCATATTTTTACTTGATCTAAGAATATTTAGGTATTTGGATTAGAAACAGGACAAAGCAAAGGAAGAAAAGCGTTTTTTGCATCTTGATTATTCAATTTTTGTACCTGAATACTGATAGACTGTTAGAATTCTGATAGAGCTGTTTAAACCATCTTTTCATATAGCAATATTTATCGCAGACAAATAAAATATCGCAATATCAGATTTTTTCAATATCGTGCAGTCCTATGTTCTACTGAAGGAGAAAAAATCACATTAGAGTGATTAAATTAACAGCACATTTTCATATTTGCGTGAACTGTACCTTTAAATGAAATGTTATTTATCATTGTTATATTGTCATGCTCTAATATATTGTATGCAGGCCAAGCTCCCAGAATTACAGCCGCCTCCTGCTCACGGTACAGAGTCGGTCACAGAAAATGAGGATCTGGTTTGGGCACCTGGGGTCAATGACTGTGACCTTCTCATGTATCTGCGGGCTGCCAGGTAATGTCTGCTTGGCCGGATGCCAGTTCCTGTTCACCGTTTTACATTTATCTTAATAATCGCTTAAGGGTAATATCTAAAAGGGGAACTGAAGTGTCTTTTGATGGTGTATGATTCAACATGACTATTTTTCTGTGTTAAAAAACAGGAGCATGGCAGCTTTTGCAGGGATGTGTGATGGAGGTTCAACAGAAGATGGTTGTCTTGCAGCTTCACGGGATGATACCACTTTAAATGCTTTAAATACGGTCAGTTTATTACGTTTACTTTCAATAATTTAAGGGAATAAATCCACTGAATTATTAATTCCACTGGCTTTAGTATTTCAAGCTAAGATTGTACGTATCATTTAAGTAAAGATTGCAATTTATGATCCTTTGTAACTGAAGGCAATGACAACATACAGTAAGTTCTTTAAAACTATTTATGAAGGATGATTTATGATTTGCAGATAGTAAATGACTTCTTACCTTAGCTAATGTAACGTTCCTCTTTTGTTTTTGCACACAGCTTCATGAAAGCCAATATGATGCAGCCAAAGCACTTCAGTGCCTGGTGAAGAAACCTGTTCCAAAGCTTATTGAGAAATCCTGGTCTGAAGATGAAGTGGTGAGAAAGTGATTATATCTGGTTGGGGGTTCCTCTGTCATAACATTATTTACCCCTACAATCTGGGCAGGATAAGATTTTTTTAAAACACTCTCTTTATTGATTTTAGGAGCATTTAACATGTACTACAGAAATCAATACCAAACATACTAAACAATAATAATAATAAAATAGAAAAAAAAATACAAAAATAATAATAATGACACAATATACACGAACACGGGGAGAACATGGAAACCCCACACAGAAATACAAACTGACCCAGCTGTGACTCGAACCAGTGACCTTCTTACTGTGAGGTGACAGTGCTAACCACTGAGCCACCGGTTCAACAATTTTGTATATTCTGTTTTAATACCATTCATTCATTCATTCATTTTCTTGTCGGCTTAGTTGCTTTATTAATCCGGGGTCGCCACAGAGGAATGAACCGCCAACTTATCCAGCAAGTTTTTACGCAGTGGATGCCCTTCCAGCAGCAACCCATCTCTGGGAAACACACACATTCACACACACACTCATACACTACGGACAATTTAGCCTTTGGACTGTGGGGGAAACCGGAGCACCCGGAGGAAACCCATGCGAAGGCAGGGAGAACATGCAAACTCCACACAGAAATGCCAACTGAGCCGAGGTTCGAACCAGTGACCTTCTTCCTGTGAGGCGACAGCACTACCTACTGCGCCACTGCCATGGATAAAAAATGTAGAATTTTCTCCCAAAAACGTTCAACCAAAAGCCATTTCCATAAACAGTGAGATAGAGTTCCTATCCCTTTATTTCATTTTATACAACAGTTCTGTCTGGTTTTTGAATCTGATTGGCTGATAGCCGTGTGATATTTTGCAATATCAGAATTCATAAAGCCTCCTCACCCTTCTGTATTGAGGCTATTTTAGGCAAGAATTTAGTTGCTTAGATTGCATCTATGGAGTTTATTTATTAAGAAAGGACCACATGTGTCTAGCGTTTTTCCTTATTGCAGACAGAGAAATAGTGGGGAAATCGCAGTAGACTGATGGCATTTCATGTCCTTCAGCCTTATAATCTTAAAATATCAGCAAAATCACCTGTTTTGTCATCATTTTAGACATTACGCTAGAGAATCATTCAAATACTAAGCTCTAAAATGATGCTGGTAAATTAGTAACGGCTTCTGCTGTTTTGACGTCAGCTGCAGATGTGAATGAATGGTGGAAGAAAGTAGTTCCTCATATAAAAGGGTTTTTAGACTCCTGTGTTTGATTTTCTTTTTTATATACATGATTATGCAGTCAAACTGTTGTATAAACGCGACACTTGTAGCAGTGCAATATGGCTGTATATCATCACTGGTGGGACACTTAGGCACTCGGCCTGTGGCCTTGTGCCAACACACGCCTCCCACTAGTGCTGATATACAGCCATATCTCACTGCTACTCGTGTGATATTGCTCATTTTATGCATTGATCAGGAATGTTTGGGTTAAATTTGTGAAGTAATTCTGGAGTTATGTAAATTTTCTAGAAGAACTTACTTAAGAATCCTTTTTTCCAACATGTAATTACAGAAACGGTTTATCAAAGGACTCAGACAGTACGGCAAAAACTTCTTCAAGATTCGTAAGGATCTACTGCCTAGTAAGAAAACGGTATGGAAATCTGCCATTTCAAATCTATTCATAAATATGTGTCAATTTTTAGCCTTATCATTTTGAATTCATCCTCTTAGGGTGAGCTGATCACATTTTACTACTACTGGAAGAAAACTCCAGAAGCTGTGGCGGCGCGACCTCACCGTCAGCAAAGAAGACAGCCAGTGTCTCGCAAAGTGAAAACTCGCAATGCAACAGCTGCAGCCAATGCAACATCTCGCACTTCTTCTAGTGAGTGTGACACTAGTATGCACCATATGCCTGCTCATTTATTGCATAAACACGACTGACATGACATAACAGATGAACATAATAGCAAATGTAATACAGTTTTAATTTCAAGGATATAACTTCTGAAGAATTAATATTTTTCGATGATACTTTTCTGCCTATAGTGGAGCTCAGTTCGGCCAGTGAAGATGATCTGGACAGTGAGGATAGTGAGCAGGGTGGCAAACGTCAAGCTTGCAGTCACTGTCTATCCACTAGTAAGTTTATTTTACTATTCTCCAGTGCTGGGTTTTGAGAATACTGTACTTCATAATTTGTTCATCGTGTCCAAAAACATCACATGCACTTGAACAGTAATCCTACATTGGATTCAGCCTTATACGTTTGCATTTCTATAAGTCAGTATGAGATCAAAATTGACCCTAATCTCCATAATATATGTTTAAAAATGTTTGTCCCAGTTTTTTCAAAATCCAACCAATTCCCAATGGATGTGATTCTACACACTGCCCTACATTATTATCATATTGATTTTTTAGTGCAGAGTTGAACTAATGTTCAAAAGTTTGGAGTCAGTCAGATCACTTAAACATGTAAATTAATGCATTAAGGATGCATTAAGTGATGAAAATGTAAAAAGATTTTTATAATCTTAAAAAAGATTATCTTGATCAAAGAGTTGTGATTTCCACAAAACATTAAGCTGCAGAAGTGTTTTTAACATGAACTGAAATGTTTTCATGAGTAAAAGTAACCAGTATACTGAATGATTTCTCAAGGATCATGTGACACTGAGATTTGAGAAATCCAAAATAAATGGATTAATGTTATTTTACAAGAATTTTAAGCTGTTATTATGAACCAGTATTACCAGTATTAGTATTTTGAAAAAAATAGATGCAGCCTTGGTGAGCATTAGAGGTTTCTTTCATAAACATCTTTTGAATTAACTTTGACTTTAACTTTCAGTCGTATATACCAGAGATACCCAAACTAGGGCCCACGGGCCAAATCCCACCTGAGAAGAGAGGGAGAATAATGGGAATCCTTTCGAGATTAATAATTCAAATTTTCAGTAACAGTTTGTTTGTTTTATTGTTAAAAGCTAACTGAAATGCAATGTTTCAATTAAATGGTGTAAATTAATCAGATTTAGTTTAAATGTACATACTGTCACCCAATAATGCATAGACTTTTGTTAGCAAGGCAAAAGCAGATTCTGCTTGACTAGTGTATTCAGCATTGAACTCCACTCTTATAAATATGATTGTTTATGATTTATTGCAACAAGTTATCATTGAAAAAGTTTTACTGCATTAGATAATACAATTTAACCACTTAAACTCTGCTGCTATTTGGGGATTTCCGCCTGGATTTTGCCTACCCAAATTTAAAAGCTTTCCAAATCCACATAAAGAGGTGTAAATGCAAAAATTTGGTATCATTTTAAAGAAACCCTTTGAATTTTCGTAAAACACTATTGAAAGTGTTTAAAATAACTGTATATGTTGTCTGTGTTATAATAAACACATAAAAAGAGGCACTTTTTGTATTTTTTTAATAAACTCAAATTTGAAAGTGTACCTTTTAGGTTCTGTGTGGTCTAGCGTGCTGTAATTAATTTTGGTGATTCCTGCACATGTTTGTAATCATAGGAAAAAAGAAAAATGTCTCTACCATAATCTATGCAAAAGTTATTGCATTCCAACTGATTAGAGGTGCTGTACAAGCCACAGGGACCGATCATTGTTTTCATATTTCACTATTCTTTTGTTTGATCAAACATAATTCACTGTGTTTGGACCACATCAGACATGTAAAAGGATTACGTATGCACATCACCTTAAAAACAGCGGAGAATGGCCCTGAAGGGCACAGCATAAAGTAAGAGATGACAGCTGTCTGTGCTATCTGGGGCTGCTTATTGATCATAAATGTATTGTTTACATTTCTGCGCCATGGAAACACCACAATTTATTCAACAAATGTTTGGCATATGAATATAATTCAGTAAAAAGAATGCTAGAACTGTATGAGCACCGGCAAGAGCTTTAATTTGAGCTATAACTTCTACATGTGTCATATAAAAAAATATGAAAATGAACCAATGTAAAGTACCTAGCTCGGGTATCCAAAATACTGTGTATTTAAGTGTAAATAACTTTTATACAGTAGAATGAAAACCAAAGTGATGCATATGTGCATAAAATATAGATTCTACACTTTCAAACGACACCACTTACGGGGGTCTGGTGCAACGCTAGCTCTTTAAATCTGAAAGCGAATGTTGATGACGTCACGGACCCAGTACCGGGTCCGCAGAGTTTAAAGAAATGTTTTCTGTTTATTTTGTAATTTTATTAAATAGATTACGGCAACTTTAATGTAAAATAGTTTGGTATATTTATCCTCGGCCCACGGCTCTCAATTATATTTGGTTTTTGGCCCTTCTTACGAAAAAGTTTGGCTACACTTAGTATATACTTTCTATTAATCATTTTCCTTGTGATTCACATAGACTCCAAAGACTGGCATCATGGTGGAAGAGATAATGTCTTGCTGTGCTCTAGCTGCCACACTCACTTCAGCAAACATCGGCGTCTGCCACCCGTTCCCAAACCAGCAGACCCACCGTATCTCTTCAAACCCGTCAAAGAAGAGGAAGAGGAAAGCAGGCATGGCATGAAGACCCGCCGCAGCCGCGTGCCCCCACATGTAATTCTAATTTGCATATTGGTGCAGTGATGTATAAAGAGTTGCATGCTTAATTTAGTCTTCATATGTTTCTATAGATGTCATCTCTTCGAAGCGGACGCAACAGGCCAACCGGGAGTCCCGAGAGGGGCCTCTCTCCGCCATCTGAGGATGTGCGGCCTAATGGTCAGTCCTCTAGAGCCAGTTCCACTACAATGACAACCAGGGCGTCCAGCTCAGATATGAAGAATGGAGTTGCTGGCAAGACCAACAAGGTCTGTGATTTATAAAACAAAAATGCTCGGTTTATAGTTTGCATAGAGTGCAAAATTGTTTATTGATTCTTTTTATTTTCTTTTTTCTGCAGAAGATGAAAGTAGAGGCGTCTGTTGTAAAGGGTGTGAAAAGACAGAGAGAGTCAGCTGCTCCAGATGCTGACGAACCGGAGAGGAAAAACATGAAACGACCAAAGAATCAGGCAAGGAGAATTGTACATTTTTATTTAGATCTTGTGGCTAATGAGATTAAAACTAAGCATTTAAAACTTTACGGAGCAATCAGACTTGTTTGTGTGGAAATCGAGCCTTGTAAAGAAAAGAATGTCACCCCAGGAAGGAAAAGAAAAATAATATACTAGAGAAGCTGCACGGTTGCCTTACAGCTGAATACAGAATGACTTCAGTAGAAGATCACTGGTTAGAATCCCAGGTGGACCAGTTTGGAGTTTGCATATTCTCCCTGTGTTTGCGTGGGTTTCCTCTGGGTGCTCCGGTTGCTCCGGTGCTCCGGTTTTCCCCATAGCCCAAAGACAAGTGAATAGGTGAATCTGATGAATTACATTGGCCGTAGTGTATGTGTTTGTGTGTGTGTGTGTGTGTGTGTGTGTAAGATTGTGAGCATGTATGGGTGTTTCCCAGTACCGTGTTGTGGCTGGAAGGGCATTCGCTGCGTAAAACATGCTGAAATAGTGTGTGGTTCATTCTGCTTTGGTGACCCTTGATAAATAAGGGACTAAGCTGAAGGAAAATGAATGAATGAATATACTAAAGGCTTTTAGATTTTGGGAGTTTTGAGTAGAGATTTACAATATACTATCACTACGTTGAACATCGTCCACTTGGCATTTTTTTGTTCAGTTGGATTGTTCACAAAAAAATGTACTGGAATGCCCTTTAAAGTTTTTATAAAGAGGTTCTTGACAAGTGTTAAGAGTCAGTAAAACGAGAGATTATTAAATCTGAACATGTCGTCAACTAATTCCTGTTCTAAATATGCCTGAAAGAATATTTTGGTTTATCAACTTTCTTTACCGTAAATGATATTTTACTGGGTGTCTTTATTAATCATGTTTAAAGTTTCTGATATTTTAAAACATTACGTAAATGTAACAGATTCTAATCTACAGGAAAAATCTATAAAGCTGGTGTATATACGGTAAATCCTTTATGCCAAATCTAATATTTGTAGAATTTCTGTTTTACATTTTATTGACAAACTTATTTACAATTATAATATCCACCATAGCTATTAAAATGTAATATAATGTAATAATGTCTGCATTTTGTCCAACGTTTCTTTAACCTAGGAGGGTCCTGATTCTCCATCAGAATGTGAGGGTGAAGGCGAAAGCTCTGACAGCCGCAGTGCCAACGAGGATGGCAGCAGTGACACTAAAGACATTGATCAGGACAACCGCAGCTCCTCCCCGAGCCTAGCTAGTCCTCTGCAAGCCAATGAAAGTGATTCAGACTCCCCAGCACCACCGCCTGCATCAGGCCCAATTACACAAGCCCAGCCCCAGCAGCCTGCTGCAGCCTCCACAACACACACCCCATCTGAATCTCCTCCATCTCCTCAGCCCACTCTGCCTACATTTTCATCAGCACCTTCGCCCGGAGCGGCTACAACTACTGTTACATCGAAGGCACCATCTGCGGAGACGACCCTGGATGTTCCCTCTCCATCCCCTTTCAGAAGTGGCCCCAAGGCACCCGAGGCTCCCACCTCTTACTCAAACTCCTCATCTCAACAGGTGCAATGTCCAGGACAGGGGCAGTCATTGCCTGTGCCAGCCCATTATCAGCACAATTCAGGTCAGCTACAAAATCCTTCATCTGGAGCCAATCAGCCACAAGGATTCACTTCCAGACCACTGCACCTTCAAAGAGAGAGTCCTTTTCCTCCTCTTCCTGCTACAGCAACATCCCAAATCAAGCCCCCTCCGACCACTCCAATTCCACCTTCTCACAAGCAGCCACCTCACCTTTCTGCACCTCCACCCCATTTCCTACAGATCCACCCTAATTTACCTCCACCTCCAGCTCTGAAGCCACTCGCTTCCTTGCCCTCACAGCATTTGCCTTCCTCCCAGCCTCCTCCACTGCATGTAATTCCACAAAATAACCCCGCTCCGCCTTCAGTCCTAACTCAGACACAGAGCCAGCAAGTTAAAAGCCACAGCAGTGCTGCACCTCAGGTCGCAGCTAGTTCTCACCCACCGCTGCCCCCGAATCGCCCTTCTCCTGAGTCTACTGCTTCATACCCTCTTTACACTTCTCCCATCCCTGTCCCAGCCCATCAGCCCTCCACATCCTCCTCAGCAAGCACTCCTGTTGGTCAGGCTATAATCAAAGAGGAGCCAGTTGATGAGGAAGAGGAATGTGATAGTCCGCCTCCTCCTCGCAGGAGTCCCTCTCCAGCACCAACAGTTGTGGACATTCCCAGCCATGCAAGTCAGTCAGCAAGGTATGGAGATCACGTATTTCAGTTTTTGTTCTAAAACATTTCTTTAATTAAATTTTAATAACATTGAACTTGTTTTTTTAATTATTTTTCTGTATTACCATTTGAAAACAATTAAAATGCTATGCAAATTCACCAAGATGTTATTGCAATAATTATTACAGTGCACATTAGTATTTGATTTTGTCTATCAATTGCAGATTCATCAAACACCTCAACCGAGGCTACAACTCCTGCTCTCGCACAGACCTGTACTTCACCCCCTTGACCTCCTCAAAACTGGCTAAAAAGCGAGAGGAAGCTGCCGAACGGTCCAGAAGAGAAGCAGAGCTGAGTGCTCGACAAGGAAGGGAGAGAGAAAGAGAAAGAGAGCGAGAGCGGGAGAGAGAAAGAGAGCGGGAGCGAGAGCGAGAGAGAGACTCTGATAAAGCCTCTGTAAGTTTACTTTAACATGTTTCATTAAAAAAGAGAAAAAAAGACAGTTTGCTTAAAAGAAAACTTGTTCTTTTACCTTGTGATGTTGTGAAATAGTTTATATGACTTTACAAATTCTCCTTAACTGTAATGTGACGTAATCTAACCCCAAACACTATAATATGAAGAGAAATACATTCAAGTGTATTGGGGCCCATTCTTGTCTAGATTATAATTGACCCCTTTATCCACACAGCGTGCTTCAAGCTCATCCCACGATGGCCGCATAAGTGAGCACCTTCTTGCGGCCCACGTGCAGCCAGGTCGTCCATCATTTGAACCTCCCCCACCCACCACCGTTGCTGCTGTTCCTCCTTATCTTGGCCCTGACACTCCAGCTCTGCGCACACTCAGCGAGTACGCCCGGCCACATGTCATGTCACCCACCAACCGCAACCATCCCTTCTTCATGCCATTGGGCCCAGGTGAGCACCTGCTAGCTTATCACATGCCTGGGCTCTACGCAGCAGACCCAGCGCTCAGAGAGCGGGAACTTCGTGAGCTTCGAGAGCGAGAAATCAGGGAAAGAATGAAGCCCGGATTTGAGGTGAAGCCGCCAGAGCTGGAGAACCCACTTCATCCATCAGCAAATCCTATGGAGCACTTTGCCCGCCATGGTGCCCTGCCACTGGCTCATGTGGCTGGACCTCACCATTTTGCCCAGTTCCACCCAGCCATGGAGCGCAATGTAGCAGCTCCACCTCGACCAGAAATCAGCTATGCTGAGCGTTTAACAGCTGAAAGGCTCCATGCTGAAAGGATGGCCTCTGTTGCTGCTGGTGACCCTGTTGCACGGCTTCAGATGCTCAATGTCACACCGCACCACCACCAACACTCACACATACACTCCCATCTTCATCTGCACCAACAGGACCCTCTCAACCAAGGTGAGAACTTTATTTAATTAATCAACTGCAATTATCTAGATAAAAAATTTTTAAATGAAAATGTTGGCATATTTGTCTTTCAGGCCAAGGGCCTCATCCCCTAGTGGACCCATTGGCTGCTGGCCCTCCACTGGCACGTTTCCCTTACCCTCCCGGTGCCATCACTAACCCCCTACTCAGTGAGTTACCACACGAGCATGAAATGCTCCGCCACCCTCTGTTTGGTGAGTCACCAAATAGACTCCCATTTCACTCTTTCATGTAAAAAAATGTTCAAAGTTTACTAACAAAGTAGCAAGTTAATCCATATAGCCAAGCTTGAGTGAGACAGTGCTCTTGAGTGCTTTTTCTCAGCACATGTTATTATTAATATTTATATTTTTTTCCAGTATTCATAGATACAGTTGAAGTCAGAATTATTAGCCCCCTTTTGTTTTTTTTTTTCTTTTTTAAATATTTCCCAAATTATTTTTAACAAAGCAAGGAAATTTCCACAGTATGTCTGATAATATTTAAAGAAATAAATGATAAAAAAAAGAAAAGAAAAAGATAATATTTAGAGAAAGTCTTATTTGTTTTATTTCGGCTAGAATAAAAGCAGTTTTAAATTATTAAAAATCAATTTTGGGACAAAATTATTAGCCCCCTTTAAGCTATTTCTTTTTCGATAGTCTACACAACAAACCATCATTATACAATAACTTGCCTAATTACCCTAACCTTCCTAGTTCACCTTATTAACCTAGTTAAGCCTTTAATTGTCACCTTAAACGATACAGAAGTGTCTTGAAAAATATCAAGTAAAATATTATTTACTGTCATCATGACAAAGATAAAATAAATCAGTTATTAGAAATAGGTTTCAAAAACTATTATGCTTAGAAATGTGCTGAAACAATCTTCCCTCAATTAAACAGAAATTTGAGAAAAAAATAAACAGGGACGCGAATAAGTCAGGGGGGCTAATAATTCTGACTTCAACTGTATATAGAAATAATATAAGAACAGTTTCTTTCAAAATCGAAATATTCTGTAATGTTATATTTTTGTTACTTTTGATCAGTTTATATATCTTAAGCTTAATATTAATATAAACACAGATGGCCCTATCATACACCCTGCACAAGACGTGTTTGGCGTGATTTGTTGCTATTTTCAGACCAGAATAACAGTAATTTTTAGAGTTTTGCACCACGTTGTTTAAATAGCAAATCCATTTGCGCCACTTTGTGGACTCGTGAGTGTGCTGGTCTGTAAAGGAGGTGTGCTAAGGCGCATTGTTTTCACGTTGCTATTTGAAAAACAGAAAAAGACTGCGCCATTGACTAACTGTAAACTGGTCTTAAGTCTAGCGCAGAGCACGTTAGTTATGCACATATGCATGTCCAAACAGACAGGATGTACAGCAATACACCAATGTCTTTACACACACACACACACACACACACACACACACACACACACACACACACACACACACACACACACACACACACACACACATATATATATATATATATATATATATATATATATATAAAAAATATTACAAAATAATTCTTTTCTACATAAATATAAAAACCACTACCTCGATGCCTTCCTCATTTGTGGGGTCTTTTTTCAGTATATTCATGACAATTTGCATTTGTATAATGTTATTATTGTTAGCAGTAGTTTTTATTACATGCATGTTTTTATTTGTTTTAATAAAAACAAACTTTGATTTGTCCACCTTTCGGGTTTTGGAGACTTATACATCACCATTTGTGGCATAAAATTAGGTTGTGTGTTTGGATATAACTCAGTTTTTTTACCACACTTTGTTGATATCATTTATTTATTCGTTTGCTGAAAATAAGAAATTAATTTAGAAATAGTTTTGAATCAAATTTGAATAAGTAGGCTGAGGGTTGTTTTCAGTAGAGTGCATACAACATCGTTTCCTAACTCCACAAAAGTAAAGGAGTAAAGTAAAGAGAAAAAGTAAAATAAAGAGAAAGTAAAGAGGCCAAATGGTCTTTATCCTTGTACTGCAGATGGTCTGTTTAACTGTTTTCTTGCTAGTGAAGCATTCAGTTTATCCACTTACAAAGTCTGCCATGTACAGTAAATAGCAAATGTGCCATGGTGCGACGCAACTGACTCTTAAAGGGAATGTGAGATGAGACTGATTGTTTTAATGCATGTTATACCTAAATCACACTCATAACTCATTAAGAGAGTAAGCACATCCCTGTTAGACCATGCGCAGGGTGCAGAGTGTATTGTTATAATTTTTTTAAATATTAAAAGTGGATCCGTTTGCACCGTGTGCTTTAGACTTTGCCCCTAGATCGTTCAAATAGAGCTCAGAATTTTGGTTATTGAATGTGAAAAAAAATGTTTGTTGCTGAAACCATTTTTTTTATTATTATTATTGCATCACATACAGTATGATGTGAAAAATTCAGTAAAGTTTTCTTGATTGTGAGCACAGTGGCATTACATTACTAAAATAGACAGAGAAGGCAAGAAAATGCATTTGCGACTTTTAAAATAGTTCTACTTCATAAATTGAGCCTCAATTTGAAGTCCTAAAAAGGTTAGCTTTTGTTTTACCTTCATTGTTTTGACATCAAATAGACAAATATAATGTTACACTTTGAGTCAACCTGTTGTTCTGTTTTCTCACAATATCATCCAGCATCTGTAACAGTTCCATGAAAGGAAATCTCAGCTGTTTGTTCACACCTATTTGAAAGAAGAGTAACTGGAGTAAAGTTTCTTTCACAGGAGCACCATTCCCCAGAGAGTTACCAGGCCCACTGGCTCCGATGTCAGCTGCGCATCAGTTGCAGGCGATGCAGGCACAGTCAGCAGAGCTGCAGAGGCTGGCACTGGAGCAGCAGTGGCTACACGGACACGCACACTTACACAGCGCTCCTCTCCCCAGCCAAGAGGACTATTACAGGTGAACTCAACGGCATTAGATTACATGTGTAATCAAGCATTTTTGGGCAGCTCTTTATTTTATTTAAGAGAATTTTCTTCTTAAGCTCCACTATGCTGAATAGACAACTAAACTAACGCAATTTAATGCAACCTGTTATCATTTTAACAAGTTATTAAATGACATATATGTGTTTAACCATCAGTTGTTGTCAGCTTCTGACGACTTTTGCACCATTTTAAGCTGTTATAATACATTTACATTAGTACTTCTGTAAAAAATGTGTAATAGAATCGAAGATATTGTTTGGTTTAAAACTCTTAAGACTGAAGCTATTTCATAACTATTAATGATCAATGCCACTGTGTTGTCTTTTAGATATAAAGTTTATTGGACTTTTTAATAAAACTCCAACCTTTTAAAGGAGTACTCAACTTTTTTGGAGTGAAACAGTTGAGCTTTACCATTTAGCACTGAAGAGTCAAGTTTTAAGTAAATGATCTAAACTCTTTTTATAAAAGTGTGATGGTAATGGTCTAATATAAGTCAATGATTTATGCTAAGCTAAGCTAAATGTGCTTTCGCCAGACCCAGAGATCATTTAAATGAATACAAAATAGTAAAACTTTAAGAGACTTGTAAATGAGCCTTTAAAATGTTCATTTAACAAGTCATGCAGCTTAGAACATGTTCAAATAAAAAAAAATCCTTAAGTACTCATGTGACAAATAGGTTATTAATCTGGGGTCGCCACAGCGGAATGAACCGTCAACTTATCCAGCATATGTTTTACGCAGCGAATGCCCTTCCAGCTGCAACCCATCACTGAGAAACATCCATACACTCTCATTCACACACACACAACGGGCATTTTAGCTTATCCAATTCATCTATACCACATGATTTTGGAGGAAACCCACACAAACACGAGGAGAACATGCAAACTCCACACAGAAATGCCAACTGACCCAGCAAACAAGCAAACAAGAACATAAAGAAATGTCTTAATTGATCTAAAAGACGAAGGAAAATTCTTCCAGTCAAAAGGAGCTTTGTATTGAAAGGACCTGCTATGGCCACTTTCTGTTGTATTTCTTGGAACAAAAAGTAATTCTGTTGCATATGTTGAAGAGAATATAAGGAGGTAAATGGAACAAAAATCTTCTTTAATTAAGAAGGGAAACTAAAATAAAAAGAAACAAATACTAATGATATATTGTCTACGGAAATTAGGTTAAGCAAACCAAGAGATACATATAATATGCAATGATGGGTTCTACTTGGATATCTTAAAACAAACCTACACAGAGAATTGAAGACAGTATTTAAAGGTTTTAAATTAATATCATATGTGTTGTCATAAATAATATCATCGTAATCAATAATAGGGAAAATTAATTGAGAAATCAACCAGTATACAGTCAAAGTCAGAATTGTTAGCCCCCCCATTTATATTCTGTTTAATGGAGAGAATTTTTTTTTTTTTAATTTCTAAACATAATAATTTTAATAACTCATTTTTAATAACTGATTTATTTTATCTTGGCATGATGACAGTAAATAATATTTGACTATATATTTTTCAAGACACTTCGATACAGCTTAAAGTCACATTTAAAGGCTTAACGGTTAATTAGGTTAACTAGGCAGGTTAGGGTAATTAGGCAAGTCATTGTATAATGATGGTTTGTTCTGTAGTCTATCGAAAAAAAATTGTTTAAAGGGGCTAATAATTTTGACCTTAAAATGTTTTTGAAAAAATAAAAACTTATTTTATTCCAGCCGAAATAAAACAAATAAGACTTTCTCCAGAAGAAAAAAATATTATCAGACATACTGTAAAAATTTCCTTGCTCTGTTAAACATTATTTGGGAAATATTTAAAAAAAGACAAAAAAAGGTCAAAGGGGGTTGATTAATTCTGACTTCAACTGTATGTATATATGTCATGTGTATTACCTGTTTACTTGGATACTTAAGTGACTAAATGTTTTGTTGTCTTTTTGACAGCCGTCTGAAGAAAGAAGGAGACAAGCAGTCCTGAAATGAACAAATTCTCCACTGTGGATTATAGAGTGAATTCTGTGTTCAGGGTATCAAGCCTTTTGTTTCCCGAAAAACCCAGCGTGGGTTTATCCCCATTTTGGCACTTATGAACGTTTGACCGACTCCTTTGTGCTGTACGAAATAAGTAGCCTTTTGGAGCTCACTGAATTCGCTTTCCTTGCATGAACACTATTTAGAAACGGTTTCTGTCAGAAATGATATTCCCATGTAATGTGGTTATTGTGCTGAAAGCACAGTACAGTAGATTTACTAAGTATTTGAGAAGTGCTGTCCATTATCCAGAGTTTATCACAGTTTAGTTTCAAAGTTTATTGAAACACTCGTTTTAAGATTGTAAATACTATATGTTTAAAATAATATATTAACTGTTAAAAGTTGCAATGATAGATTTGGATACAAAAATTTCAGATGACTTGTGTGCAAAAAGTGCATGCTTTACATACGCTATCCTTCCCTTTCTCTGACAGCCTCTTCATCTATGCCTCAGAGTGCTCATCAGTATAAAATCCACTTTATTTTTGTCTGTAATTTCAATTTTTTAACCGTTTGAAACGTAGACCAAATGCAGCTAGAGTGTTAGCATCCTGACTGTAGTTTTGATCTTGCCCTTGTTCGGCTCTACAGAACAGTCGCTTCACTGCCGTGATCATTCAATGCAGCAGACAACTGTTCAGATGGACCTGTTTGCAGAGTTTACACTGAGATACATTGTGTGCAGGTCAGTTACTGGGTCATCTCTAATTGGGACAGAAGTTTAGGAAGATAGCAATAAAGTGCACATTTGTGCACTTAACCATTTGAACAACCAGGCTTGTTACTTTTACATAATCAGGTTGGTTGGGAAGGAGCACAACATTCTCACAATAATATGAAATCCAAGAGAAACACAAGAGTCAGTTTGTGATGGTTTACTGCAATACACGTGTATTGTCGTGCACTACTATCAATTGTTAAACTAACAATAGGAAACATGAAATGGAGTGCCATTGTTTTGTACTGTATGTGTACAAGCGGACATGAGTGTTATCTGTTAACGCTTTTCATAGTGGAGCTTTGATGGGTCACTTTTTTCCCCAAAACTGCCAAAAAGTCATTATTACCTTCAATTTAACACTAAACATTTGTACTGGCGTATGGATATTTTAAATGAGGAATATATTCTCATTTTTACTATTCATGTCTTTCTGTATATTTGTCTTCACATGCACAGCGTTGTCTGACTGTAATTACATTTCAGTGACAAATGCATGACTATTACAAACAGCTTGTATTATTTTTTACTCTTCCTACACTTCAGTACATCCATTAACGTCATACAAAATCTTTTTTGTTATTGTTTGATCAGTACATTTTTTTCCAGTACTTAATTCATTAGTGTATATATATTTTGAGGCTGTTTCATATACTATTTCCCCTATCACACTGACATCAGTCTCTGTTTACGTGTGATAGAAACATTTGACACTTAGCAGCAGTCATACTTCTGGCACTTTCTGATACCTCCTTAACTTCCAACTACATTTTATGTGCAAATGTATATTCTTTACAAATGTACTCAAATCTGTTTCTTCATTGAAAAACTATATGGATTTTTAAAAAAGCTTTTGCCGCATGATTTTCTTTCCCTTTCCTTTTGCATTTAATAGATACATCTTGAGCGGTAAAAATGTTTTTTTATATATGTACACTGCAAAATAGTTTCATTGTGAATTACATAAATATGTATAGCACAGCTTGAGTCCTGAATATAACTGACGCAAAACTTACCAGTGGTCACTTCTGGTCCATATCAACATATCTAAAGCAATACATGTCTTCTAACTGAACAAGCGTTTGTATGGGAAAAACTAGACAAGTGTTTCCTCCTTTGCTTTGTATGCTTTTCTTTAACGAAATTGTCCTTTGATAAGTTATTTATTGACCGAACACCTATTTTGTAACATGAAAATATTACATGAAAATATTAGACTTTTAGGAAACATGGAATACAACCTAATATGTGTATTTACTAAAGTGTTTGGTGTGAATTTGTGCAAAATTAACCCTTTCCTGTACACTGGCCCCCTTGTGAGAAAGCTCTAATACTAGATTTTTATGGTTCATCCTTCTTTTACGTATCGCCGCAAGTACTGGATGGCAGAGATCGCGCTCACGTTTGCCAGAAGAGCTGAGAAATAACAGAGGGAAAAAAGGATCATGTTAATTTTGTGTGCTCATATTATCTGAATAAATTGCCTAATTTAATATGGAACAGACTGATCATTGTGTCTCATTGCAGAAATACACTACTTACAAAACTTCGGGCTTACCTGTTTTCCACATGTCTGTAGATTGTGGGTTGCTTGACTTTAGTACCCAAGATGCGAAAGCAATGCAAACAAGGCACATGTCTGCCTGCTTTAAGGAAAAGAGGAAGCGATCTCTGTCTGTAAACAGAATTTGCCATCATTAGACTAGGCCTTTTCACATATCAAGAGTTAGTTCAGCCCAAAATGAAAACACCCCTTTTCATTATGTCCATTATGAATGCATTATTTGTTCACCTTTAAAATACATTTCTTTAACCAAATCTCTCAGTAATTTGTGTCCCTCCATTAAATGTCTATTCACAACTTCCAAAATGCATGCATATCAGGTTTAATCAAAGTCTCCTTAAGAGGTTTGTTTGCATTATTATAAACAAATAATAAGGTTTCTCACAGCATTTGATGTTTAGTGAACAGTGTTCACACATTCAGTCATAGAAGCTCAGTTGATGATCATTTTGCAGTGGCATTTCTATTAAACTGAAGTGAATGAATGAATTTAGCTTTACACCAGCATTCTACACTAATCTCCTGCCAGCCTGATATGCTGAAATGTTCAACAATCTAAAGTATTGTTATGGCTTTTTATTGTCTATGCTGTAAAATAGAAATAAAGATGAACAAGGTCGACGGTGCTTGTTTGAGAACCAATGACATTGAGAAAGCAGGCACAGGACATTGTCTGATGTTGCATTTCTTTTGGAAATGAAAAGGAAACGTAAATTGGATAGACGGTGCATTTTGGTGATTTTCCAAAGCAACCAAAAAAACAACAAAATATCAACGCCTAATTATCAATAAGACATCTACAGGCCCCTAGCCAGCCTGGTTTGCCTCATTTTCTATTGAATTATGAGTTTTAAATAAAGCATTTTAGTGATATTCAAGCACTATTTTTAGCTAGATTAGCCTGTCAGATGGTCATAACCACACATTTTGAGGTACCATAAATAAAAAAATACGAAAAAAAACTTATTTTTAAATATACATTTATCATATATCATTAGAAAAAGGTTGTTAAAGTTTTAAATGAAAAACAAAAACTGTAGCCTATTGTCATTTGTTCGGCAAATAACAAACTGGCCACCACATTCAACTTTCCTCACTTAGAATTTGGCCATTTGAATAGTAAAAAATTAAAACATAACAATATTAATAATGTAGAGCTTGACAATTTTTCTAGTCTCTTCTGAAAGTTCATAACAAAAATAGCCTAATTAGTATTAAAATAAACTTTAATATGGGCTGCTTTTGGTGCTTTTAACCTTTTAATTATTATTAATTTATTGTATTATTAATTTATTGGTATTTTAATTGGTATAGGTTCTAGATTTAGAATAAAAGTTGGTCTACTCGTAGTGAAAGATGACCACTTTCGTCAAATTGTTTGTTTTCTTGCAAAGCTGGATGTTAGACTCATAAAATTTAATTGTTTGCTTTCAATGGAAGCCTTCTCCAATTGGAAATTTTCACAATTTATGATGGCACAGCAGTTGAAATAAGAAAAATGAGCTCCTGTGTGTGACAAATTCTGGACCTTTTATCAGTATAGGGTGGGTCTTTCAAACCACCTAAACCCCCATCCCCCCACCCCCACCCCCCGCTTTCTTTCAGACGTTGGATTTTAGTTGTTGGCTCGACATTGGATTTTGGTCACTTTCCAACACAACCTAAAATCAACTAAATATCAGCATCATTTCATGTTGTTATTGGATGTCAAAATAACGTTGTCCTTAGACGCTGGCAACCTAAATCTAACCTAATATTACTATCTCATAACATTGTGTGTCTGCTGGCTTTGTATGCATCAGTTGGGTTGGGTATAGCTGAGCTTCTGTTATATCTGTTTAAAATGTAAAAGCCAAAATCAAATGTGTTTGTCTTAGTAAACGAATGTGTCTTATGAGAAGACTTTGAATAAGCCTCTTAAAACATATACATTCATTTTGGGGTCTCTTTACAAATGTTTTAAAGTTAAGATAAACAGACTGAGTGTTTTGGAGAACAACATGAGAATGAGACAAAGTTATTTTGGAGTGAACTAACCCTTCAATCAATTTAATCTTCAAATATGTGTTAAAAATGTACCTGCCGATGCTACAGTTTCCCCAATATGTGTCTTATGTTCTGTCATTTGACCGAGGGCCTGGTTTTCTAGAAGAACCGGATGACTTGACTGAGCTATAGAGGAACTTAATGTTGTTTTTGTTCCGTAATTGCAGACAATGTTGGCTGACTTAGGAAAACTCCAAGAGGTGGCCATCCTGCACCACGTCCTTCCCATTAGAAGTTTGGTATGTCTCAGAGAAAGGTTTCTCCAGGTGCTTCTCTGGCTAGTGATAAAGCACATGTTTGATGTTTCCGAAGGGTTCATAACTCTGATAGGAGCATTTTCATGTATCACCTCATCTACTTCTGAAAGTTCTAGATCTCTTACAACTGGACGAGAAGAGGAATAGATAGGAACCATTGATTTCTCACTTTTTCTTGAACCTTGCAAGGAAGGAAAGAGAAAATTGCCGACCTCAAAATCTGAGAAGAAGTCATCATAAGTCTCAGCCAATGATACATTTTGTGAAAAACAAAGCAAAGACTTTCTACGTGGGATCCAAGTCTGGTATTGTTCCAGTTCAGTGTCACTGTTTGCAATTTCAAAGAAAGACAGCAGACACTGATCATCTAGAATATCAGAAACTGATAAAACTGGTGAAGGCGTTGATCTTCTCACGCTACATTGGTCCAGTAGTAAAGTATCCATGTTGTTGTCTTCTTCAGTTGTTAGAAAAAAGTCCTGCATCTCTGTGTCTGAATACAGATATACTACAGGTTTACTTTCTGGAAACATCCTCACCATCTCATTTGATTCACTTGGCAAAGTTTCTTTCAAATCCACGGGGAGCAAAGACTCAAGAAACGTTTGTTCTTTGCTTTCAAAGAGATCAGGGCTAGGGTTTGCACTCGCATGAAGAAGTTGTATGAACTCCTCATCAAAATCGGAGAAAGTGGAAAATTCGCAGCTGGATCTGTCTGGTTTAGAGTCATCCAGATGTGTGAAGTAGTCTGAATCTGTCATGTCGTCAACCAGGCCATCTTCTAAACTCTCATTTTTGGATTCTACCTCATCCCTTTCTAAAAGCTGAGCGTTGATGACGTCTACATGGCTGCTTTCTTCTGGAACGATGTTCTCTTTTGGCAGGGACCTGCTGTTGGCTATTCTAATTTGCAAGATATCATTAATTGTCAGTTTTTCCATTTCATCCCAAAAGGAGGAAATGGCAAATATGGGTGGAGTTGGACCTGGAGTCTTAAAGGATTGCGTCTCTTGAGATGATTCTTTTCCATTATAAGATAAAAGTCCCAAGGGCTCTTGCTGTTCTGATTTTTCTTGTTGAGAATCTAAAGATGGAGCTGTACCCAGAATAAATCTGAGATTTTCTGTTCCTGTGTCATTATTAAAGTGTCTTAAATTATCTTCTGTACGTTGACATTCAAAGTTATTATCTTCTATGGATTCGTCAAGTTTATCTCGTGCTGTGCTCTCATGATCCCCATGCTGTGGCAAAGAGCCACTGAGATCTTTAAATATCATTTGTGGCAGTTGTTTGAGTGTTAAATGCGAATTTGGGGAGTCGACAGGATTTCTTTCTAATTTAGCTTTTGGAATTTCTGTCATGTTTTCCTTTTTTAAATCAAGAGCACAGCTTGCTTTTTCTTCTTCATCTTCAGATAATCCAGTGGACGAATTATCTTGGATTTGGACGTTATGAATATTGGGTGAGTCAGAAGAATAATTTTCTTGTTCAAATGTGTCCTGTGTTGTTTGCCTCTCAATAATTTCTCTGTCTGCCTCTGTTTTGTTATTTAAGGACGAGCAGTCCTCCATTACTCTGATGTTCTGCCTCATGTTTTTACAACGTTTTTTTTTTCTTCTTTTTTTTTGAACTGAATCTGAACGCTTAACTCTCAGACGGACTGGGCTGTCGTTTACAGTGACAAACCAGCGTTCCTTCTCTTTTATGGTGGCTGCTGAACTCTCCGTCACCTCAGTTTGCATTTCTATACCATCCGTACTGTTTCCATTATTTAAATTTGCTGGAGACATTTCAGAAACTCTCTCTGTGGTGTCATGGTTTGATTTATCCTCGCTATTTTCTTGATTCTCATCATTTTCTTTTAACTTCTCAGTCAGAGTGTTGTCTTCATTAGCTTTGATTTGACATTCCTGCTCATGTGCTCCAGCATTGCTCATGTGCTCAGCATTCTGTGGCTCTGTTTCAGGATTAGGATTTTCTGGATACTCAGATGGATGCTTGATTTGACAATCTCCTATTTGATGCTGTTTTAGGCTTTCATCTTTTTCGCAGTGCTGGTCAGGGTTGTTTGTAATGGGAAGAGATGACACATGGATGGAGGTTTTGTCATCGTCACTGTCACTAAAGCCGGACTCATCTAAGGCTGCAAGCTTGGCCTGCTCAACAGAACATTCCTCGCTCTCCGTACAAAAACAGTCCCAGTCCTGCTCCGCTATCAGCACACTGTGGTCTAAGTCATCCATTGCAAGTGAGCACAAAAGGTTTATTACATCTGAAAAAAAAAGAGTTATGAATAAAAATTAATATACAGTAGTCAACATTTGAAGTGGTTACTTTTTTCTCCAAATTGTTTTAAAACACGAATAGATTGTTTAAATAGTTTTAGGTCAACTTTGATAAAAGATTCTTATCCACTTTAAATGTTGACTACTGTGCATTCATACAGTCAGTTTTTAGTGGAAAAGCCCATCATATATAAAACTTTTTGTACTACTAAATGTTTTACTTAATTAATCACACAAATACATCATTGCTAAATCATTTATAAATGTATCAGTTCTTAATGACTCTATAATTTGAATTATAGAATCCATAGCTAATCAATATAGACTTTCTAGGAAATCATTTTCATGTGTTTTATATAGATAACAGGTCCCTTAAAATCCTCTCATCCTAACCCTAAAATGTGTAAATTGTAATCCATTAACATGGATCATTAACAGCAGAATATAAATTTAGGAAATCCACAAATAATTTATACAGAATTTCTAACAAAAAGATACCAATACCTTTTTAGGCAAAGCAAACTGTACAGTTGTAAATTCAGTTTTATCAGCAACTAATAACAATACAGGATTTTTTTCATGGTTGTGGTCATTTTTTGGTTACAAAATGAAATTTGTGAAACTTATTTGAAAGATTCTCTTAATATTAATTAACTAATAAGGTTTTTAATAAAACTACCCTATGTTTAAAGAATATATACATGCAGTTTAAGACATAATTATTAGCTTTCTTTATTTGTTTTTTAGAAATGTTTATATTTTTTCAAGTATTTCCCATGTGTTGTTTAACTGACAAACTTTTTCAACACATTTTGAAACAGAAGTTTTTTTTTTTTTTTTTTTTTTTTTTTCACCTTCATTACATAGGTCAGTGGAGGAAAGACAGGAAGCATTGGGAGCAGAGAGAGGGGAATGATCAGCACATGGACCTCGAGCCGAGAATCAAACTCGGGTCGCCTTGAGCACCATGGAGCCATATGTCAGCACACTTAACCACTAGGCAATTAGCACCAATAACAGAATAGTTTTAATAATTTTGTTTAATAAATCATTTGTTTTGTGTTTGCCATGATGACAGTACATATATTTAACTGCTTGTTTTGCAAGATACTAACATGCAGCTTAATGTGCAATTTAAAGGTTTAAGTAGGTTAATTAAGTTAACTAAGCAAGTTTGGTTAATTAGGCAAGTCATTGGTAGCCAGTTGAATCAAGTATTTCTTAAAGAGGCTAATAATATTTGTCTTAGCGGTATTCACATAAAAAAATAAAAATAAATTATTCCATTCTAATTAAAAGCTTTCTAAATGTTTTCTCCAGAAGAAAATTATAATAGTAAATATTGTGAAAATATTCCTTGCTCTGTTAAACATCACTTGGGAAATATTTTAAAAAGAAAAAAAATTCAATAAAATACAAAGTTTTATAAAAATACAGAATCTTCCTTGTTACATTGTTTTGGCAAAGTACTAAACAACTGTTTGTCTCCATGTATATGACAAAACACAATAAAACTGTCTTATAAGCCCTGTAAAGTTCTTGGTTGAACTGTAAACTGACTCCAGAGCAGCAGTCACAACAGCTCAGCGCGCGATGATTTGTTGATTAAAACAAGACAATGAGAGGAAGCAGCACCGCAAGACTCCCATAAAACACACCAGCATGGTGTTTAGGTGACCTGCCTTGAAAAAATATTTTGTATAGTTAAATTCCTCACAAATGACACACTGTAGACATGTCTGGTAATCCAGAGAATGAAGATCACGGTTTACAACCTTCAACAATAATAAATCTTATCTTATCTAGCTTTTGGGGCGTTTTCATACAAACACACGTGGAGATGCATTTTGCATACAGTAAAATTCTCATTTTTAAATTCTTCCTCATTTAAAGAAAGCATAGTTTCCAAGGAGCATCATAACTGTTGTGCAAAAGCCAAGAACTATTATTTTTATTAGTATTAACAGACAGTTTAATACTTTATTAGTGTGCTAAACTCTTGTGTATGACTTTTTTTTTTAATCATGAAGGGCTAATTGGTTGACTTTGGTACAGTAATAACCAAATTGGAAAACATTTCCAAACACAAAACCCTCATATTAGAAATACCCACAGTCTTGCAAACTCTGCAGCATTTTCCCTACCTTTCGTTGTTATTTTTGCTTTCGAAACACTTCAGCATTGATCCGACACTGGCATTGCACACCTTCAAAAACCCCAGTGCCCTTGTGTGTGTGTGTGTTTGAGGGGCCCAGCGTCCAGCTCTGTTATTAATAGAGCAGTGTGTCTGATCACATGGAAGTGTGCGTGCGTCCTGCATTCTCAAAGGGTCATCCCATTTCACTTTTATAAATAGAGTTTCTCTGGGGAGATGTTGTGTATCTGTCGTTGTGCACACTGCTGATCAATGAAGGGTTAACTCGCTGAACAATGTGCTGGGAGGAAAATTCATGGCTTTTATGGTTTAAAGGAAGTGATGTTGTGAAAACAAGTTTCTAGGATTAGCACTTATCTATAGTAATAAAAGGCAAATGGTGTGTCCTCAAGTGTTACTGTAAATCAGGGTAGAAAATTAACAAGGGCCTGTGACGAAAATTTCACCAAAGTTAATAAATATTGTCAGAAAAATGAAAGAGGGGAAAACCACCAGCCACAATTAAATTTTAAGATTGAGCTGTCATTCATTGTTTATAATTTGTTTTTAGATTACAAAATACAAATGTTAAATTCAGAATACTTCAAGACAGTGTTCAAAAGAAGAAATACTGAAGAATGTTGGAAACTTGTAACCCTTGGCATATATATTATTTATTTTGTCATGTTTCCAACATTCTTCAAAATATGTTATTTTGCGTTTATCAGAGTAAAAAACTCAAACTTGATTGGAAATAGTCATGGGAGAGTAAATGATGATAGGATTTTCATTTTTGGGGTGAACTATTCCTTTAAGAAATCAATATTGGTTCAGAATATTGCTCATTTTCAATCATAAATCAAAAACAATTCTGCAAAAAATAACCAAGAAAATATTATATTTTTGAAACATTTATAAAATACACCCACCGGCCACTTTATTAGGTACACCTTACTAGTATCTGGTTGTACCACCTTTAGCATTCAAAACTGCTTTAATCCTTCTTGGCATAGATTCAACAAGATATTGGAAATATTCCTCAGAGATTTTGATCCCTTTTGACATAATAGCACCACACCGGCAGCACACCCATGATGTGAATCTCCCGTTCCACCAAATCCCATAGGTGCTCTATTGGATTGAGATCTGGTGACTTGTGAAGGCCATTTGAGTACATTGAACTTCTTTGTCATGTTCAAGAAACCAGTCTGAAATGATTCGCGCTTTATGACAGGGCACGTTACCCTGCTGGAAGTAGCCATTAGAAGATGGATACACTGTGGTCATAAAGGGATGGACATGGACAGTAAGCTGTGGCATTGATCCGATGCTCAATTGGTAGTAATGGGCCAAAAGTTTCCCAAGAAAATATCCTCTATACCATTAAACTATCATCACTAGCCTGAAACATTGATACAAGACAGGGCGGGTCCATGCTTTTACGTTGTTGATGCAAAATTCTGATCCTTCCATCCGAGTACTGCATCAGAAATTGAGACTCATCGGACCAGGCAAGTTTTTTCCAGTCTTCTATTGTACAATTTTGGTGAGACTGTGTGAATTGTAGCCTCAGTTGCCTGTTCTTAGCTGACAAGAGTGGCACCCGGTGTGGTCTTCTGCTGCTGTAGCCCATCCGCCTCAAGGTTGCATGTGTTTTGCGTTCAGAGTCGCTCTTCTGCATACCTCAGTTGTAACGAGTGCTTATTTGAGTTGCTGTTGCCTTTCTATTAGCTGGAACCAGTCCGGCCATTCTCCTCTGACCTCTGGCATCAACTAGGCACTTGCGCCCACAGAACTGCCGCTCACTGAATATTTTCTTTTTCAGACCATTCTCTGTAAACCCTACAGATGTTTGTGCGGGAAAATCCCAGTAGATCAGCAGTTTTTGAAATACTCAGCCAATATACCAAAATACCAACATCCGTGCCACGTTCAAAGTCCCTTTGACCATGGGATTGACTGATTAGAAATTTTAGTTAACTAGCTGTTGCACTCCTAATAAAGTGTACCTAATAAAGTGGCCAGTGAGTGTATAACAAATATTATTTTACTCAAACCATACTTATAAATTCAGTAAATCCAGAGAAACTCTGAATTTTCAAGTGGCCTCCTGATATTAATTTTCTTAGCTGTGTGTATGCGCACATTAGAATAATAATAAACAAATGCAATAAAATATGCAATGTTCATATAGTTTATTTAGTTGTAAACAATGAAATAGACACAGTAAGATTCATTTCACAAAGCATTAAATGCAATTAATAGTTTACACAAATAATACTTATATATTGTTAACAATCCAGTCATTTAATTTCACAATATACACATTAAAAAATAATTTCGCAAACAATAATTTTGCAAATAAGCAGTGTACAAAAGAATAAAAATGAATCTCTGATTCATTATCATTTTACAGAATGTGCAATGCTTTTAAATAGTTTCAGTCATAGCAATCACACCTGCAAACAGAAACCTATTTCAAAAGGGTCTATCATTTACATTTATGCATTTAGCAGATGCTTTTATTCAAAGCAATGCACAAAATAAAAACGTTCTACCTTTGTGTTCATTATGATCATCTGTTTAAAACACAGTAAATTATTTCATGTATTGACAAAGTCATTTACGAAGTACGTAAAACAACAATGCAATTTCAAGCAAGATTTCGGAAATCACTTATTAATTCTGTTGACATGTGAAGCTGTTTTGGCGTAGTGCAGTCAGCTTATCAGTCAAGTCCTTTCCAGTTTTGCAGTTCACAATTCAAACTCTTCATATTTTTAATAAAAATATGCTTCTGTCTTTTTTATTTTTGGCTCAGGAACTCAATGTCGGTTTGGGACCTGCAAATGTTGTTGGCATCTGTGGTGATTCCCCGAAGCACTCTGTCATGGAACCTGAAGTGACAAAACACTGGAGAGGCCACAGTATAATGAAGAACACCACCATGAGCACTATGATGAAGACCACAAGCCTCTTCCAGTTTCCATGAAAACCCAAGAAGTGCAGCAGCCGGTGTCCACAACTCCTCCTTCTCGTCTCTTCTCTTCTCACGGTCTCTTCTAGTTTTTGCTCGCCGATGTCAATGCAGACGCAGTTGGGTATCATTGGGTTCGAGTAGCACAGCTTTTTTCCATCTAGGTAAACTCTCTCCGCTTGTTGCTTGTCGCTCGGAAGTTGACCCAAAACCTCTTCGCTGGTGGCCAAATCTGGGGTGCCATGTTCAGGCACGGATGTTGGTTGGCGGCAAAGTGGGCAGGTGATTTGTGTGCCATCCTGCTCTGGGGAAATGGCCACAAAGCGTGCCAGGCACTCCAAACAGAAGGTATGGGTGCATTCTAGAAGTTTCGGTGTCTTGAAGGTGTTGTCGTAGGCGCAAAAGCAGATTGAACATTCAGGATCAGCATCCCAGGCATTGTCCTGGTCATTTCTGGAGGCTGCGCTCTGGTGCTGGTGTCGTGATGAACTGGTGCGTGTTACTGGGGACACTTCTGGCTCTCCCATTCTGTGCTCAGAAGAAAATCTGAAATGAAAAATAAAGCAAATGAGTTTAGTTCAACAAGTGCTATGTGTACAGTGAGCAAATTCACAAAATATGGTTCAATTGTGGTGAAAAAGGAACTTAAAATCTAAATTAATTTCAAGAGTTCACACTTAGACCCAGGTAGCAAAGAGTTCTGGCCCAGATTTGACAAAGCTGGTACAGCAGGTATTCATCCGGCACTGGCATACAGCATGTGGGCCAAACACGGCTCGGGTTTGGCAGAGGTGGCACCGTCTTTAGGGTGGCACACAAGATTTGGGCCAAATGTAAAATGCAGTATTTGGCCCAGATGTTAAAAATCTATTTGTTAGTAAAGTAATGTGTCTTGACCCACATTTAAAATACATTAAAATTTTTTTTTGAGTGAAGAAAAAAATTCTACCGATTAGGTCACTTTGAGAAAAAGCACAAACCGGAAATTGTGGGAAACCACAAAACCAACTTGTGGGACAAAGATGGGCCAGAGAAATTTTGCTATGTGGGAATATGCTTGGCGCTAATAGCAGGTTTGGCATGCTCTCCCAGGAGAGAACCATGAGCTCGGAGATAACTGAGCCCAAGGCTCCCGTCTGGTCAATAAGCATATAAGGGGATCTGAGATCAGGTAGGTCTCGAGAGCTCCCTTTAGTACAGGAAGGAATAGGAGGAGATAGGGTGGAAGGGGGGATTCTTCCAAAAGGAAGATAAGGCAGTGAGGCAAAATCGGTCTATTTATTGTAAGCTTGAATCTATATGATTGAATTATTACTGATTATAGATGAGAGGCCAGCCGTAGTCAATCATATCACGAGCTCCTCTCGAAATTTGTTTAGAAAACTTCACCTAAAATGGATTGCTTAATGCGCTGCTAAGTGTTTTTTTTTAAACACTCAAGTTCATTTTGACATGCACTGAAAAAAAAGATGTCTGCAAAACTGTTGGAAACAAACAAATAAAATTTAGTAATGTTCAACTTATTTTGTTTGTTTAAATTGAGCCCAAATAAATAGTTTACAACCACTTACTTTAAAAAAAAAAGTGTAAATCCAATTAACCATCTTTAAATAATTTTTTTCAGTGTGGAAAAGATACATTATTTATCAAAAATAAATTGTTTTTATAAAGTGATATGATCTGCAAATTCTGCCCAATACATTTTACTATCGTTTTGTATGAAAATTTGGTTTTCAGGGAACTACTTCATTTGTAGTTCATGGAAAAAGTGGTAAATGCAGTTTCAGCATCATAAAATTCATTCATTCATTCATTTTCCATTGGCCTAGTCTCTTATCTATCAGGGGTCACCATTTCGGCATAAGTTTTACACAGCAGAAGCCCTTCCATACAATTATTCTCACAAATTCAGGCCTTTTAACTCATCAAATTCATCTATACCGCATTGTCTTTGGACTGTGGGGGAAACCAGAGCACCTGGAGGAAACCCATGCAAATATGGGGAGAAAATTGCAAACTTCACACAGAAAATGCCAACTGGTCAAACCAGGACTCGAACCAGTGACATTCTTGAAAATGTAATAAAAAATTAAGTTGATTATGATTCTTTTATTTAATAATCATTATTTGGGTCCAAATGGATTAATTATCTATTAGGTTGGAATTAGTTTATTGGACTAAATTGCAGTCAGTGCTATGTCTGTTGCAAAACCATCAAAATACGCATGTATCAGCAGACTGTCCACTAATACTGCTAGTGTACATATATAAAAAGTTGTTTACGGTCAATAAAAGTCTAATAAAAAAGTGATACCTTTATTATTCTGATGCTTTTGATTAGATCAGACTGAATAAGAAGTAAGTGCTTTAAATGTTTATTTTGCCATTAAAGTGAATGAAAAAAGCAAATTTGAATTTTAGAATCCTAAAATAGTTACGGTTAAAGCTGTCGATATCTGACGGCACATAAATGTGATTGATTTGGGCATCATTACTGAAGTGTTGTGTCATAAAGGATACGCGGAGACAAATCATATGCAAATGTGTTTCAGACAGGTAGTGTCATCATGCAGAACATTTCACAAATATTCAGCATCATGTATAACAGTTCACCATGACTCAGTTGTTTTACATTTGTACCATTACTAGACAAAATATACGAGTATCCATTTTAATATATCCATTTTATATATAATTAGAACTGCCTCAACAAATTCTAAAATTGACTGATGGGTTTAAAATGCAAGGAGACTAATAATAATAACAACACTGGCTCAACAGCAAATGATTAAAGCATGGATCAAAAACAAAACATATCTGTTGGGTTATTGTAAATAAAGTATATAAAGCAAGAAAAAATGATTACCTTTTAAAGGGAAGACAATATTCAATCTTGTTAATGCTTGCTTCTTCTTGTAGACGCAGACTGAGATATTCCTGAAAAGTTCCCCAAAAGCTGTAAAACTGCTCTCTCCTGCTCTTCAGAAGTCTGAACTCTACTTCTGAGCTGTGACTGAAGTGAGTAAAATCTTAAATCATTACCTTGCTTACTCTCTCCCAACCCCCACAAATCGACTGATACATGCATGGAAAAGAGGGAGGGATGATTAAGACAGGGAAGTAGGAACAGGTTTTCTGACAGTATTAGGTTGTACTTTGTCATTCAATACCTTAGTTAACGTAGGGATGACAAAGCATGGAGGCTGGAGAATTGAGGATGACAAAGCAGGCCTTGGTTGCTCACACTATTCATATCACACTGTGGGGAATTAATGACTAACACTATTTTCATCCAGACAGACATCTCTTAAAGAGATATAGTTCAGCCTAAAATGTGCATTTACGCACTATTTACTCACCCTCTTTTGGTTCCTAATGTTTATGAGTTTCCTTTTTTTGTTGAACACTAAAGAAGAAATGCTGAAGAAAGTTAGAAAACGGCAACCATTGACTTTTTATAGGGAAAACAAATAGTATGGAAGTCAGTGGTTAGCAGGTTTACTCCATTTTCCAAAATAACTTCTTTTCTTTCAACAGAAGAAAGAAACTCAGGGTTTGTGGCGAGTGGATTGGGTAAACGATGACAGAATGCATGTTTTTGGTTGAACTATCCCTTTAAAAATAGGCACTTGAGTTGCATGTTTAGAACTTGTACAATGAAACAAGTTATTATTGTAAATTAAATGTGGATTTATGTATGATACTACCTGACAAAAGTCTTGTCACCTGTCCAAGTTTTAGGAACAACAAATAATAACTTGACTTCTAGTCGATCATTTGGTATCAGAAGTGGCTTACATGAAAGGCAAATACCAGTAGATTACGCTTGATTTTTGATTACTTAATTAGGACAGTAAGGTCTGACTTTGCTTAGACAAAAGTCTTGTCACTTAATAGAAATAATGTACTGTATAGAATATTAAGTCATGTTGCAGTGAAAAAATTAAATATTGTGTATGACTCCCATGAGCTAGGAGGACTGCATCCATACATCCCTGCAATGACTCAAATCACTTATTAAATCATCTAGAATGGCAAAGAAAGCGTTCTCGCAGGACTTCCAGAGTTTATCCAGATTATTTGTATTCATCTTCAATGCCTCCACCTTCATCGTACCCCAGGCATGCTCAATAATGTTCATGTCTGGTGACTGGGCTGGCCAATCCTGGAGCACATTGACCTTCTTTGCTTTCAGGAACTTTGATGTGGAGGCTGAAGTATGTGGTTTGTAATGTAAGGGGCAGCACAAGTGTCTTTATACCACAGGCTGTTGATGTTGCCATCCACTGCAGGTTCCTCACACGCACCTATACTGAATGTAACCCAAATCATGATTTTTCCTTCACCAAACTTGACTGAGTACTGTGAGAATCTTGGGTCCATGTGGGTTCCAATAGGTCTTCTCCTGGATTTGTGATGATTAGGATGCAGTTCAACAAATGATTCATCGGAAAAAGAAAATTTGGGCCACTTTTCCCAATGATCAACTAGAAGTCGTTATTATTTGCTGCTTTAACAACTGGGATCAACAACAACACTTTTGTCAGGTAGTGTATATTAATTTACATTGATAAAAAAAGATGTAAGAATTGGATAATATTTGGCTAAGATATACAACAATTAGAAAATTTGAGGGTTAAAAAAAATTGAATATTGAGAAAATTGCTTTTAAATTAGTCCAAATTAAGGTAATAGTTTTAGGTAAAGCTTTGATATTTTTACAGTATGAACATTTATAAAGTATCTTCAATGAGCATGATCTTTAATATTCTATTTTTTTGACATAAAAGAAAAATCTATAATTTTGCCTAAAAGTGTTAACTTGGTTATTACCATAAATATAGCGGTGTAACCTATGAAATGGTCCAGGGTCACATTTTTAATTGTATATTCAAATTGCATTACATACAATCTAATTGAGTTGGATTTGTTTATATAAACATATAAACAATATAATCTTGTAAACAAATCTTTTTGATAAGCTACAACATTCTGCAACTTTACTGTCATTGTTAAATTGGTCCTACAAAGCAATGCTTTATTGCTGGTTACTGATAAGAAACCACACGTGCATAACAGAAACAACATAATCAAGAAATTGGCCATAATTCAAACAAATCAAGTCACATGACTTCTGAATGATCAAATATAATACCACTTTTTGCCTCTCTTCGAGATAAGCTGCCAGAAGAGGAAAAATAACTGGGATATATTTACATGTGCAACTAAAGTCACGTGTTCTCATAAATGTCCTGAATGTGTATGTACAGTATTGTGTATTTTACTAATAGTTTGCCAACTATTGTTGAGCCAAATGTCTTAATCCCTTAGAAATGTGTGTATTTGCAGTTGTGTCATATAGTGAGACATAACAAACATCACAGTGGTTTTAGCAAATGGAAAGTCTGACACATTGTTTTTGGCTCTATTCACATCTAGCATTGTGTTTTATAAGGAAGTGCTTATAATATTATTGGGAAATGGGATCAAAGTCCTTCCATCTGTTTACTTATGACAGATGTAAACTGGTGAATGGACACATTTAAAAGAGTAGTTTCCCAATCACAATATAATTAAGTCTGATTATACAGAATTGCTTTTGATTCAAGTCCAACTTAATATGCGCCTATTTTAACAATTATTCTACACATGATAACGCAATGATAGTGCTTGGCAGCAATTAAACTGCTAAAAACAGCTTTATAACCACCACTCCCAAACTTTTCCAGAACTTCTAATGTACAGTGCTCAGCATATATAAGTACACCCCTCACAAATCCATATTTTAAATTCATATATTAATAGGAAGCTATACAATATTATATTTGTGCACGTACATCAGATTAGTCAGTACTGAAGCCAAATCTGGAGATTATCTAACAAAATAACTTACGATAACTGTCCAAAAACGAGTACACCCAAATTTATATGTTAGAGAAAAAGGTAAATACAAATTTAAAAGAGAAAAAAATCAAGCAAAAAATAAATAAATAATAAAAAAATTGCAATATTTTGCTTGAATTTAATTGTATTATCTTTCAATTTCTAAATATGTTTGGTGAGTAAAATATTATTTTAATAAATATGTATGTTTAATAAATCTGTTTTGTTTAATTGCACCAAAATATATTGCCTATTCACTGAGAAATTGATAAAAATATTAATTTTTAAAATGGGTTGTACTCGATTATGCTAAGCACTGTATATTATGATGACACCAGTCACTGGCTGGACTGTTTAGTTTCTGCACTGTGGCTCATTGCAGGATAATCACTTTGTAAAGTCCAGCCAGTTAGTTTAACGATAGTGTCTACTCACCAGTAGTGAAGGTTCATTGCATGTTCAGTCTTTCCAGTGAACAATGTTAAATTAGTTTAAATATAACCCATATCTGATTCCATTTTTAATATAAGATGGTTTAGAATATTAATATTTACCTTCGTTTTACCTGAAACTAATTCTAAAACATTAAGAAGATTATTTACAATATAAATATCTACAATATCTAATTATTAGACAGAGGTAAAATTGACTTACACCTTAAACTGCAGCTCCTGCTTCCTCGATCTAAAGTATGTTCATTAGTCCCCTTAGATGTACACCCTTGAATTAAAAGCAATATCGTTTCTAATCATAGCATGCACATTCTGCCAAGCTATCTACTAAAAAATAATCTGAACAAACTTTTTTCTCATAAATCAAAATATTTTATTTCTGTAAACACTGAAATCTTCATCAAATATGATTCAACATGATCAATACTCACTCCATTGACACAAGCATACAAAAAAATTTAAATAAAAAAAGTCAACAGCATCCATCTAAACAGAATTCATATACAAAATCCACTGACATGCTTTCCAGTTGCTGCACAACAGCCAATAAAATGACATAAACGAATGTTAAAAGTGGTTATATTCTTAAAACAGCATCACTGATGTAAACCCACAATATCATTTACCATCACCTTGAGTAAACATTCCATCCTTTTTATTAATCCAGCATACTAAAAATTATCCATTTTACAAAATGTTTTAACCCCCCTCCTAAAATCAAGTAGAAAAAACAAGCATAATGCTTTAAATAAACAGAACCATTACAACAAATGAGAACTACACAGAAAACCATAAATATATTCATATAGGCATAGAGGATGATATGGCATATTAAAGGCCACTATTTGCAATAAACATCAACAAAATAAAGTAAAAAAGATAACTGACTTTCTCAGAAATACCAGTGCATCACTCGCTTTATGACACAACAACGATCTCTTTTTTCCAACCGTAAATTTACCAAATAATACACGCCAAGTATTCATACTTTTACTTTCTAATTTTGTAAAAATGTACAAAATCAAAAAAAGGTGACTAGGTTTTTATTTATTAGCACATTCTCATAATGGCACTTTGTTTTATACAGTGAAAGTATTGGGTAAGTAAATAGTTTGGCAACAGTTTTTGTAATACCATTCTTACTGTATAGACTGTGTATTAACAGCATGTTTGCAACTTTAAGGCCTAGCGAATTTGAGTGTATTCATTTCCGGCAAACTTCTTTGGTGCGGGTCTGATGCTTCATGTTGAATATAGTGATTGTTTCATGCACACATATTTTATCTGGTATAACATAAATATGCTGCTAACATGGAAACCCAAGTTATGAGAGTTTTCAATGCTCATACAGGGTAATATATAGCAAATGTTTGTGGCATTGAGGTTAGAATTTCAAAAATAAAAATTTCGTATATATATATTTTTTAATTAGATATGATTTGAAGAGCTGCTTAAATGCAAATTTAACTGTGGAAGTCTTATTTTGGAGCCTAGTTACAGTTGTCACGAGATTCAAAAGTACTATATCACACAAAAAATACTGGTAATAAATATAAACGTTACAAAATTCATAAAGAACTCAATTGAACAGCTTAACGATCAAAAATACTCTAGTAGTGCAACACCTGGTCTCTTAAAAAAACGATAATTTGTGTGAAAAATATATAAATAGAAATAAATAACTGACATCGGTGAAAAGAAAACTAAAAAGAAAGGAGCATAAAAGACTACGTCATCAAGACAGAGCAGTTCCTCACGTAGCCTACATGAATAAGGAGGAAGTTTTCACCAAAATAAAAAGAGAAAAAGTGAACAATCCTATAAGGAAACAGTGCCTTGGGACAGAAGGGGCCTCACACCTGGTCTTCGGAGGCTGGTCACACGTTGTATACCTTAGTTACTGCCCCTGTTGCCACGGTAGCACTATTGGATGTTGACGTCGCTGAAGGCCTCTCCCTCCTCACATATCTTGGCTTGCGAACTGCAGATAATGAAAAGGGAATAGTATAAAACATTTAATACTAAACAGAGCTGTTTCACTGCAAGTGTTTAATAATCGGACATTTCTAACAGATGTCGCATTAAGGAAATGGCCACAGTTGCAAATAATACTTGAAAATAATAGCAATTCTTAAAAGTCTCAAATTTAGACTGCTGTCAAAACAAACTCTGTTCACATGCTGTATAATGAATGTCCAGTCCAGTAGTTTGTGATGTCACTTTGTAAACATTGTTTATATGCCTGCACACATGCGGTCCCGGGGTCTGTTTTTCGTACGTGGATTACTCATTTAGCTGGATTTGGTTATTTACGATTTGACACGATCCAGGATCGTTTCATTCAAGACTCTGTTCTGGTAGCTCAGACTTGCTCGGGAGCAGGTTTATTTCATATAAACAGGATTAGATTGAGTCTTTTCAAGCAAAGGTAATACTGAAAGTATGTACCAAATTCTGATACTTTCTTACAGTAGTAGTTGTATTCACGTGGGGAAAAAAGTAAATAGCTAAATATATTTAATAAATAAATAATATATATATTGTAAATGTAATCTGCACTCCGAAATAAAAGCACAAAGTCAAGGGGCTCAAAGAGAACATTTATTAATATGGACTTTTTAGATACAAACGTGTACTTTTTTAAGGTACCAGCTTTAGTACAACTTGTGTATGATAATAGACATGCACAATATATAAAAAAAGTTTTCTTTTTTTTTTTGGAGTAATAATATTATGCAGCCTTGCACATGTTTTGACAGCTAATATGATATCAAAATGCATTTTGATGCAAAATTTATTTAAACAGCCAGTTATACTTTATGCAGATTATGAAACTTGAATAGTCTACTATAAAAAAGAAAATCTGCTCTAAATGCAAAACAAAAATAAATTGATAAATATTTGACACATGAAAGTGTAAAGCCTGCATCCCACAACAAAGGTGGAAAGTTATTGCGTATCATATTGAACAAACCGTTTATTACGAATTTTATGTAATTTTGCTCACATGGATAATTGAATATTGATTGGATGATGTCATTACGCTACTGTGCCGTCAGCAAATCGAATCAGCATTGCTGATCATTATTTTGAGGATATATAGATCAGTCCTTCACAACACACGCAGCGATCTCAGATCAGTTCATCCAGATATTTTTATCTGATTCGCAAACTTGTTTGAGGAACCAAATTAGCCAGAGATCAGTTATCAAGTTTAAAAGATCCAGGATCTGCCAAATCATCTAAGGTCATTTAAGCGAGGTATGGAGAACAGACCCCTGTAGTCCTATAATGTTGTTTTGGTTGTCAAGTAGATATGCATTCATACAGACTGAAAATGGGAAATATATGCACAAATTTGTGCTTTATACAGAAATTATGATGTACTTTTAAAGTCAGCCTTTTTTAGCCCTTTAAAACGTTTTTGTTGTGTAAATTAATGAGCAAAATTCATTCAAATTCATCAAAGTCTTTCCAATTTTAAGAGCAAACAGTGTTGTGTAAAAGGCCCCAATTTTTTATTAAATTGAAAATACAGATTAAAGGGAGTGTTTACCTAAAATTTAAAATATTGTCATCATTTAGTCATCTAGTTGCTCAAAACCTGTTTGAGTTTCATTGAAAACCAGTAGCCATTGACTTGCATAGTATTCCCGTAGTATTTTTTGTCAGTGGGTACCAGCATTCATCAACATTTTCAACAGAAAAAAGAAACTCATAAAGGTTTTGAGTCAATTGAGAGTTAGTAGATTTAAAATATTTCAAAATTCTCTTCAAGTTCAAATTCTTCTTACCTGAAGATGAAGCTTCGGGAATCATAACAGCCTTGATAGAAAAATAAACAAGTTAGTTCTTTTGTATCTTTTGTATCCATACAGTTATGTTTTAAAAACATAATAATACATCTTACCGTCTCACTTGGTTGGAATATAAAAGCTGATAAAGGAAAATGACACATAGATTACAAACCACAAAAAAACATGCAGAATAATTGCTTCCCCCCCACAACTTTCGGAAAACAAGGTCAACCAAACTATAGACCTCATTTCAAATAAAAATTGAACAGGTTCTTATGCTTGTATTTATAATATTGGCATGACTTTTGTTTCTTACCTTTATTGCGCCTGTAGAAGACTCCAGGGAGGCGGTTGGAACGCTTGAGGTAAAAGAAGGATGCAACAGAGAGGATGAGGCCAAGGCTAATGAGTAGAGTTCCCAGAAGCACAGAAGCTGCTACACCTGGACCACCTGCCATTACAGACATAATGTCCAAGAATAAATTCAATGAATGCACATAACAAAAAAAAAGCTTCAACGCATATTTTATATATAATTAATGTATCTTTATAATGTGAATAGCATTATTCATATGTAAACCTGGAATACAGAACCAATCATAAGGGTAATTTTTTGGAAATTGAGATTGATACATCATCTGAAAGATGCATAAAGTTTTCCGCTGATGTATGAATTGTTGGGATAGGACAATATTTGGTTGAGATACAACAATTTAAAAATCTGGAAAGTAAGGGTTAAAAAAATTTATACTGAAAACAAACTGCCTTTAAGTCGTCTAAATGAAGTCCTTATCAGTGCACATCAATCATGGGAATTTAGGTTTTTATACATTTCCAGAAGGACATTTACAAAATATCTTCATGATGGAACATGATCTTCACAAAACATATATTTTACCCATGTGACATAAAACCAGGTCCAGGGTCACATATATGAATAGAGGTAAAGTTGGTTTTATATTCACACATTCGTTCAGTGTCAACTTGCGACATGCTCACTATATTGTTTGCAATGGTACTTTGAATATCCGGCCTGAAATTGCATGCAAGTGTGACTTCAAAACAACATCAGCACTATTTATTTGACAGAATAATACTTTGATAGTCTTTGGCAGATAATATGATTTCACTTTTTAGAATTGGCAAAGAATCCTTTTCTGAAAATATAATATTAAGGAGAAAGTGAATGTGTGAATGTAAAACCAACTTAACCTCAATCCCATATGATAGTAATAACTTACCAATTACTGTGATTAAAGATACTGGAATTTGATTAGTTCTTGCTAAAAAGAGAATCAAAAATAAGCATTAAAATAAATAAAAAGATAAACAATATACTAAATAAAGCGAATTTCCTAGTGTTTAGTTTTATTCCCAAACTGTAAAGTAAATATCTAAACAAAACATAATGTGTGCAGCGAAGTCCATTGTATATGCAATCATCAATACTTTACAGCTAATGTCCACTTACTACTGTTAAGTGAAGTTGAATTCCCCTGGTCTGCTGAGGCACAGGGCACACAAAAAGTTGTACCATTTTCCTGAACATGACGGGGCCCTAGAGAATGATTCAACCACACAATCAATATAAATAGCGAAACTCTAGCTTTATCAGTCATATACAAAATTCCACAGAACTAGTTAACACAAAATGTACATAAACATATTAATCTGATTAGTTTGTATTTCCAAATATAAGGCACATTTATGAAACATACCAGGTTCACAGAGTGAAACATTTGCACAGGATTCATTCATTCTCTTTATTGTTTCACAGCAATCATTGGAGTTATCTAGCAGAGCCTGAAAAACACGACACATCAGAAACAAACTTAGCACATTATTATACATTCAATTCACAGCATGGAACTACATTAATGTTTTCACATTAATTACTGCTCTCACAAACTGAGTGAAATTAGACAAAAGATACCTTGGTCTCTGGAATTTTTAACACATAAAGAACAGCACTGATGATGTAGTAGGCTCTACTCATGATGAGATTACTCCTGTGGGTTAGATGGAGTCAATATGGATCTGAAGCCTGTTATCTTTATGGTCTAAAATACCACAGTTGGAGGTAAATCGTTCTGATAACGTCATTAAAATGTTTATATATTTGTGTATATGTAGAACAACATCAAGAGGGAGCCTTCACATTTTTTTTGAAGACATTGATTGCTTAACACGACTGGCCCCTAATTCCACAATGATAACGTTAACTGAGATTTCTGTTTAAGTCGATGGGCGTAACGTTATTAAAAATATATAGTTTTACCATTAAGATCACTAACGTTTTAGCCCCATTTATAAATCCATACAGTATGATAAACAAGCTATGATGACTACCCCGCCAAACAAGTTTTTCAACAGTCTGTTTACTGAGCAACGGGCTAATTATTGTAGCTTGCTATGAGAATTTCTAGGATGCTAATCACTCTCTTAATAAAACAGTAGCAATTATTGTTTCGTTTACCGACGACATAAGACGTTTTGTGACAATTAACACCTGCACTTACCCGTGAAAGCAAGTTTTGATGTGTCAAAAATCTGTTGACACGGGAGTTTACTTCCTGATTATTAAAACTCACTGCCATAATACGAGTCTTTCGCTGTTAAAGCTGTGCTATCAGATTTGCTTTTATTAGATAACCATCATTAAACTGATTTATAACTAACGTTAATTTATGTTCGTGCTGCGCTGCGAGTAACAAAACATTTAATTTAGAAACCAAAAGAAAGTTTATTGTATAGCAAGACATGTTCTAAATTATGACCTTTATTATGAAATGGTTTGGTTGCTAGGATACAGTTTAATAGCTCTACCATGATAGATTCAGGTCACCGTGGTGTGTATGTGGTGAACCACACAGACACAGCTGACGCATAAAGACAGAGCAGTATGTCGGTCAGAATGATTATCAAGATTAGTAAACTCTAGCGGGATTTAATCTATTTTTACAGTATGTAGATTTAAAACAGACCATTAAAACTACACTGTTTCACCACACTATTGTTTTAGATGTCACATTTATTGTCTCACGTGATCATACAGAATGTCCTGTTTTTTAATAAAGTTACCTAATTTAATAAACCACAGTGCTTATTAAGTTGCAATTCCCTAAATTGCTGAACAATTATTTACAAAATGCTAAAATAAACTTTGGGGTCACCCCTGAAGTTTCACATGATACTGATTACACAGTGCCATTCATAAATTCATTCATTTTCTTTTCGGTTTAGTGCCTTTATTAATATGGAGTCGCCACAGCGGAATGAACCGCTAATTTATCCAGCATATGTTTCACGCAGCGGATGAGGCCCTTCAAGCTGCAACTCAACAGTATCATGTTGTCATTAAAATGCACGTTAATCAAGACGTGTGAAGAACAATAATTTCCTGAATGGTTGAAATGCTTAACTTACATACAAAAATGACACATCAAAGATCAAAACCTAATAAACAAACAAACTATAATATTTTACTTTATATATTTTCTTCTGATTGAAAAAATAAATATATAAATAAAGAACCGCATATAAAATTTTACTATAAGATAAATAGATATACTTGCCAGGGGGAAAGAATAAATAAAATACATAAATTAAATATACAAAATGTACATATGTAATAATTAAATAAATGCATTCACAAAGTTCAGACATTCTTAAAGTGTGTAGGGCTTTCTTATTTAGAGAATGGCTGGTAATATACAAACATATTTCAGTCACCAATATTTTAAATTGGATTTCTTATTAGTAACTTTACATTTGTGAATGTAATATTAAGTTAACAAAATAAGTAAATTAAATAAACAAAAATTGGACATACAGTAAAGCCGAAAAGTATGTTTTCCCCAAAAAAATTAGAGATTTTGAACACTAAACGATTATTATTGATATTGAAATGTTTGTGCTTTATCACATAAATTGATCGAGTAGACTATGTACAATGCCAAAATATGTTTAAAGATGTGTAAAGTCTCCTCATATTCATTACAAAAAATCAATATCAGTCATATATATATAAATATATATATATATATATATATATATATATATATGATGCCATCTAGCGTTACAGATCTGTAATGCTTGGGGGGAAATCAGGAAACTGGTTTTACGTCACTTACAGCTGTTTAAATACTTTGAATTGTGCGTCCCGCCAAAATTGAACGGTAACGGTCATCAACAACGACACAGAATATTTTTATGTCGCCTCAGAATGATTGCTGCTTGTTAAACACGTAATTTCTGGTAAGCCTCTGTTTGTTTAAATGATTTAATTAATTGTAGTCTCGTGAAATGTTTGTGTTCTCGCTAGTTTACGAGAAAACGAGCACAGCTTTGATGACCTTGTGGCCGCGCGCGGGTTACTTGTTTACGACACCAACTGACGTTCGCTCAGATAAATTCTAGAGTACATTTAAACAAAATTCATTGTCTAAATTATTGTTTTGGTTTCTTGTGGATTATTTATAGTGAAAATAAGTGTGTTGACATTGAAAGCCTGGAAATGAAGCCCAGTGTCTGGAATATAAAGGAGATGTTGAGCATCCCCTCAACTTCTGGGTATGTTTCATGTCTGTGTTCTGTACTAGAGTTGATTTTTACTGTCACTTACATTTACCACGTAAAGCTGACATTACAATTTAGTGTTTATATGAGTGTTTATGCGAAACTGTTTGTTACAGAGGAATGAAAGCTAGTAAGGGCCCGGGAACCAGTGACTACTCCAGCCTGTCTGACTCTCAGTTGTTGCTGGGATCCCAAATGTGGCCTGACAATTCACAAGGGTTTTCTCTAGAGATGAGTGGACAGAGCAAAGGTTCACAACATACTTCACAGGAGGTAAACATATCGGTCCTGAACTATGGATTTATTTTGACTGTAGAACATGCCCTGTTTTACTTTGTGCAAAATGATGACTGCGTTCTGCATAGTTTTATTTTATTCATTCACACATTTAAGCAATGTGAAAGAGAAATGTATATTATTTTATTAAGTTATGCAAGTAATAATGAGTATTATCAATATTATTTTAATATTAAACTGTTTACATTTTTTTCAGATGAAGGAAATGACCGTGTCCAGCAGTTATAGTTCTAAGCCTTTTTTGTTTGGCAGTGATGGGAAATTCCCAAGCTTCACCAGTGGCAAATCTGTTGGCGTCTTGGACAGATTTGAGGAAGAGAAGAGAAAAGCCAAAGAAAAATATGAAAGGTATTTACTCTTGATCCTCACAGTGAAAAAAACTATCTTTTAATCAGATGACTGTTTTAAGTTTTCTAATGCAATTTTTACATAGCTTAGTTTCTGTGCTCACATGTTGTTATATAACTGTTTCTCTTTATAGGGAATTTCTTACTAATGGAATTCTAAAACTGCAGGAATATCTGGAAAATGTAAGTAAAACATGCATGTTTAATGGTTTCAGTATCACTAGACTTTCACTTACCTATTCCTTTTTAGACCAGAGAGACCTTATTAAACCGCTTTGATGGAAGTAATGACATTACCAGGAACATTTTGGTAGAGAGAATGGATCATTTTTCAAAAACAAGTATGTTTTTAGTTTTACTAAACAGATAATATTATATTAGATTTCAATAGCACCAATGTGCTTTAAAAATGTTTAAAAATTTTAAATGCAGTAGATATTCATAGCCTGTGATATTTTGTTCTCCATTGCAGTTGAAGGTTATTTAAACAGTTTGAAAATGGGTATAACATGTCAGTTTGAGACTCTGCAGAACCAAACACAAACAGAATTAACAGACAGGGAAGCCAAGGTAAGGGCTACAATTATAACTGAAACAATCTGTGTTAAAGGTATTATGAATGTACTCTGTGTTGATTTAGCCAGTTACGCCACATTTATTTTCTATCCAATTAGAGTGCTCTGGCTGCAAAAGAATTAAGCTCAAATATGCTTAACCTCCAACGAGATCTGGAAGCCCTGAAAGCAGAGCAAAGCAAAGAGCAGGGCATGCTGGGAAAAATTCTGTCTCAACTCTGCACTTTGATTTCTATACATAAGCCGACAGCAGGACCTGGCTCTGCCAGAATGATTGACAGTGAGGTTCAGACATCACCAAGACTGTTTGAAAGGTTCTGTGTAATGTTGGCTGAAAAACATGACGAGAAAAAGATGATATTTAGCAGGCCTGTCATTTATTCAGGAAAAGCTGTAGAACAGAACCAATGTCCTCTTACAACAGAAAAGACACAAAACAGAAATGCACATGCTCTGCCTGTACCAAGGCAGCAGACACTAGTCACTGAAGAGGTTTTCCTTGATGCTTCACAGGAATTTTGGTGCAAAAAGTTAGTTGAGAGCAGACCTTCTATCCCACTTGTGGATGATCAGTCCACTGCATCCACAGAGGACCACAGAAGAAAATTTGTAGATAGACCCCTGGAGTCTGAAAAACCAATGTTTGTGAGAGAGAATAAATTGGGCACTAATGCCATGCCACGACTTAAAGAACCTAAGAGGCGCCAAAAAGCACTGAACTACCGGGGAAAAAGGAGAGCCTTGGTTCTTCCACAAAGACAAGCAGTGAGAAAAAAAGGAGCAACAAAGTTCTCAGAAGACAGCCAAAGTGAAGACCTTCCATGTGAACAAAAAGACAGAGTACCACTCTCTTCTGTTGACAACTGGAAATTTGCAAAAAAAAATGTTGAAGAGGATCATCCAAGATTACCGAAGCAAGCCCCAGTTGCACCAGTCAGTAGGTGTGTGGCTAAACAATTATTAAATCCCTTAAACTTGTGGTCTGAGGACACAGACAGCTCCCAAATGATAGTGGAATACAAGATGGCTGAGTGGGAAAATGTTGCACCTGAACCTAAAGCTTGTGTCACTGAAGGAGAAGGAGGCCTCTGGCAGCTCTTTGACTTTACCAATGACTCAGAGTAAGATGGAGAATACTTAATTTTCTAGGAAGATAGAACTTCAGACTGCCTTTGAACAAGTGAAACTTATTCTTTAACCACTTTTCTATCCATGGATGTTACCTTCTGTTTCTGTGCTTTGGCAATATTTTTCTGTTTATTTAGCACATACTGATATAATATAAACCTATGTCATATTTTTTCACAAATCCTATTCCAGAAATGTGTAGCTTAACAAATGTCAGTATAACTTTAATAAGTACAAAATAGTTTTAAAATATATTCAACTTGGTTTGCAGTTATGACATATTTATCTAATTTAAGTTTGAAACTTTAACATGTTTAATAAATTGCAGTACATATATGTATTGTGTGACTCCATGCAATGTATTTTTACTATTATAGTTTAGTAAAATTACATTTTAGCATAACTTTGCTGAGTGTTACTTAATCTAACCTGTAAGAGTATTTCATACCATCACATATCCACAAATGTAAATCAAATCAAAGTAGGCACATACAGCATTACAAACCTAACTGATTTTAAAGTACAAATTCATATCTATTTTAGAAAGTTTTACACTCTCTAGATCTATCTAAATCCTCTTATCCTGTGAATGACATTAAAGGCATTATTTGTTTAATGCGAAATCTGTTGAAGAGTGTTATTCCTCTACCAAGTCAGCAGGAGGAGGCATGAGTCCACGGGGGTTCAGATTTGCCACCAAACACACATCATAACTGTCGTGCATCAGAGCCTGCTTTGCCACCACAGTCCATACATTTTCCCATGGATCCAACTGGAGGATGTCTTTAGTGATGGTATCATGACGATCTTGGGAAAGAGTGAAGTACTCACAATGTTATTACAAGTGTTCTCAAAGTTTAATTGAATATGTGTAGTTCATGGTGCTTGCATTAATTTGCCTGCAGGTTAAAGGCTAAACTAAGTAGACTGAATGTGAAATTGTACAATACATATTTACCTGCCCCTTTGTAGTATCCACAGACATAAAGTTTGCCATCAACAACACCAGCGTTTGATGCATTGCTCCGAAGTGTCAGGAGAGGCCATGGCAAAGGAGGACCATCTCTCCAGAAGTCACCATCGGGGTTGTAGATCTCCACTACATTAAGGCAGTAACGTGACTGGCCACGATCCACACCTTCACATCCAATACCTCCTGCAACAGGAGCACATTTTACAGTACAGTATTAACTTTAATTTGATTAAAATTTTTTTTTTGGGGGGGGGGTGACCCATTTAATGAAGATCATATATCATATCATGAACTTAAAAAAGCATTAATTATCAAAAAGTATCAAAGGCTTTCTTATGCCTTAGTGATGGTGCACAGAGCACTGTAATCATCACTATTGTCATAAGCTTCTTTTGGTAAGAAGTATCAGGTTAATATAGAGGTCTCACTCTATTGAAATGATATCCCATATGTTGCCATGCAGAATTGCGCAGATTTCCAGAGATTTTTAGCCCATCATTGATTCTGTTTATTTACTTGTGTAAATGTATATTTATTTAGTTTTTAAATAAATTTTTGCAGTATTATTGACTAATATGAAAATATTCATATGATTTATTTACAATACAGTTTGTAAAGTAATATTTTCTGTCTATTAGTAGATATATCATATGAGAGACTTGTTTTTTTTTACCAAGTAAAGTGTAATCTAATTGGATTTATATTGTAAACATTGAATAAAAGTTTAAAAAATATTACATTTTATTTCACATATTAAGGTTTTAGTTATGATACTCCCAAAATCATTCCACATAAATTCATAAATATGTTAAAAATCTGCGCAAAAATTGCAAAAAATGTCCTCAGATTGCATCTGGCCCTACCCATATGTCAAAAACTTCTTCTTTTTAAAATAATTCAACTAGTCCTGCTGTTGACATTCTCACCTAGGACGTAGATTTCTCCATTGAGTGCGACTGCGCTGCAACGGTATTTTGAAAATTTCATAGGACCAAGTTCATTCCACTTGTTGGTTTCTGGGTCATATTCAAGCAGGCGATTACTCATACGGTCAGGCTCGTCATCTGTGCGGAATGACTGTCGTTCATGAGACATGGCAGAGCAGGTGCATTACAGGGAAAGAGAGAAGGCAGTAAACAAACTGTCATGTCACTTGGCTGTACTTTCCAAATTGCAGTTATAAGTTTTGTTTTTGTCCATGCATCATTCTCACGACTCTTCTTGTGTGATATATTTGCAGATTGAACTATAATGACTTTAAAAATTTGGTAAATTACCTGAGGTGTTCGTCCTCCAAGCACATATAAGCGGCCCTTCATCCGAACTACACTATGATAAGCCAGTGGCATTGGCAGAGGAGCAGTACTACGCCAAGGCCCACCTTGTAGAGACCAGCGCTCAACACTATTGGTGATATGGTACTGGTTCTTCAACTTCATCTGGCCCCCAATCAGGTACAGATTTTCTCCCAAAGAGCTCAGTGCATAAGAATCACGATATTCCGCTGAGCTCAAGTGCTTCCAGGAGCCCTGGGCTTCCTTGTTGTACCTGAAAGAAACATAGCAATGCACTTTATGTACTTTTTAGTACACCCAGATATTAAAACTGACTCACCATTTATTCACTGTCAAATATTTACAAACCTTTATGAGTTTCCTTTTTCTGTTGAACACAAAATAAGATATTTTGGAAAATGTTAGAAACCTGTAACCATTGACTTTCATAGTAGGTAAAGAAAATACTTTGGTAGTCAATGGTTACAGGTTTCCAATATATTTCAAAATATCCTCTTTTGTGTTCAAACAGCTCCAACAGGTTTGTGACAAGTGAAGGTTGAGTAAATGATGACAGAATTGTCAGTATTTTGTGAACTATACTATATCCCTTTAAATATGTGACACATTTTTAGGTACTCTATTGAAGTGTTTCTCAACCATGTTCCTAAAGGACCACCAACACTGCACGCTTTGGATTTTTCCTTTGTCACACTCATAACAGGTCTGTCAGTCTCTGCTAATGAGCTGATGATCTGAACCAGGTGTGTTTGGTTAGGGAAATGTGCAGAGCTGGTGGTCCTCCAGGAATGTGGTTGAGAAGCACTGCCCTAATGAACTAATAATCAGATCAGTTTTAGTGCATGAAGTATTTCTGTTATTTCCTCCTCCAGAAACCTCACATGAAAATCTCCACGTTTTTGTCTTTATGCCTTGCCATCTTTCTGGCTCCTAGCTCTCCTGACACCACAATTTCATTCTTCTCAGTCACCACCCCAGCAAAGACATATCCAAGCGCTTCACCGTATCGTGGGGAGGTGATAAAAAGTGTCCGACCAGTGGTGGGAGCATAACAGAAGCTGCGCTCAGTGTAGCTTCCATAACGTGAGCGTATCCCTCCGCCCTCATTACCAATGCAGAGCAGCAGGTCCGTAGTCTCCATACCGTAGCGCAGCTTCAGTCGTCGAGGTGGAGCATCTGAATCCAAGCTTGCTGCTTCAATTGCCTCCTCCATTATCTGAAGACACTCAGCATCAACTAGCAGTGCTGTGTTACGCTTCATTGTCCCTTTCAAGTAATCCACACCCACAAGTGGAAGACGTACTTTCTTTAGTAGCTCTGGAAGGTGCCTGGCCCGGTTCTCTTCCTCTGACCCAACATCTCCGGGACAGTACTTCACCCAGCGCATCACCACATCCAAAATGCTCTCTTCTCGTGAAACGTTGAGGTCGTCTGAGCTCAATAACGCCCCGAGCTGGTGTGCCTCTAACTCCAGCACTTCCTCCCCATAACACACTTCAGTGAAATGCTGCCGCAGGTAGCGCTGAGCCTGGTCGGCCAACTCCTCTGCTCCTAGATCCCGGGCATAATAGTAGATTCCCAAGCAATTTGTAGTATCCATGTTGTCAATCATGTAGATCTGACAACGACTGAACACATCGTCCATCTGTAGAAGAAAAGCCGCAACAGAGATGCCCTGCACATTGTCTGCAGTGAGCGGAAGATTGGAGCTGTACATGTATTCCAGCAGGAGAGCCAGGCTTGGGGCCGGCATGTCTCTTAACACCACCTGACGGTTGGAACATTCACGCAGGCCACAGGTGAACATTACGCGAAAGTAAGGGCTGAAGGCAGAAAGCACTGCACGGTGACATGGGAAGCTTACACCTTCAGCAACTAAAACCACGTCTGTTAACTGCTCGGCATCCCGCATTCGGTTGAGCTGTTCCAACAGCGTTAAACCATGCTTGGCTCTCAGATCCATTTTAGTTCTGTGTTTAGATAGCTTAAAACTTAGCGAAGTGTTACACGTTGTCTAAATACATCCTGGAGGTCTTTAAAAAGGGGTCAATGATATCTGAAGAGAGAAAAAACAAACAATTAGCTAACGCTAGTGGAAAGTATACAGAAAGTTAATTTTGTATGCACAAGTCATTTTTATCTCGCCCAAGGGTCAGTGCTTAACAGGTCAATGCTTTGACACGTCAACAGAAAGATAGTTATTGTTTTATCAGTCACAGGCTAGTCACATAGCATTATATTAGCACATGCATCAGTAAATCGTACCAGATCTCTGGCTTCCTGTGGTGTCTGCCTTCAGGCAACAGTTCGTCCATTACCTCGACACAAACAGGCTGGCTGCTTCGCGTCTGACTGTAAACACTGGGGGAGAGAGCATGCTCTGTCAACTCAGCCTTCCATGGCCATTCCAGCTAAGCAACAGAGCTAATTATAGACCATGATTTGTCAAACTAGCAAAGGGGGAGACATGAAAACATATTTCACATGTTTCTTGAACTCTCAATGTTATTAAATACTACAGTAGGTGCAGAAAGTTTTTATCATCATTTTGCACAGCAACCATAGTGATTTTGTAATACTTTTTTTCCCCAGCTTGAAATGCAGGGAAAGGCTTTCAGTACTGGCCAAGAGAGCGGGGTCAAATTTCATACCATCATGCTCTCTACATGATCTATGCTTTAGCATTTGTTGCTTAATGCAAGCTTAATGTTAACTGTAACATTTGGCACAACAGCCAATGCTAATGCATTCAGTGTTATTATTAAATTTAATAACATTCATTCATTCATTCATTCATTCATTTTCTTTTCAGCTTAGTCCCTTTATTAATCAGGGGTCGCCAAAGCGGAACGAACCACCAACTTATCCAGCATAGGTTTTATGCAGTGAATGCCCTTCCAGCTGCAACCCATCACTAGGAAACACCCATACCCTCACACTCACGTTGAATTAAATAAGCATAATTGGCCAAAGTGTATGAGTGTGAACGAGAGTGTATGGATGTTTTTGCTGCGTAAAACGTGCTGGATAAGTTGGTGGTTCATTTCACTGTGGCAACCCCTGATTAAAGGCGAATAAGCATATAAATAATATAAATAGCAAGAATATAAATGATATAAAAATATAAATAAATAAATAGGAATCATGCATAGGCCTAAAAATTATTATTAGCTATTTAATTATTAATAAATGAACCGCAGAAAAAAACAAAATAGCTATAAGCTCTAAAGCTCCATTTTCCAAACCCATTTATTTAAAGGTTTTGCAGGATGAAGGTAACAGGATGAACTAAGTAAAGTATCTCTTCCTGTCGTCTCTGTCATCAGTTCATAATATACTGAATGTCATAATGGAAATTTCTACCGGATCAGAAAAAAGTTTCCATGCGGTTCACCCTAGAGTGCAAAAACTAACAACTAATGAACACAGGAAGAAAGTCTGAGTCAGCATAAGCACTCAAATAAGACAATAGTTTAGAGATAAAATCACTTAGTTACAATTGTGTTTTATTTATGGCAGACACATTTGCGGTTTTATTTGTTAACTTGATTTGTTCATTTAATGTTTCTGTAAATGTATGTATTTATTAAAATATTATAAGTTAGAACTTGCTCTAAAGTTAATCATTGCTAGAAAGCACAGCTTTAACCAGCCCCGTTTATCTCCCCTATTAAGTATCCCTCACAGGTTTAGAGGTATTTAAGAGATCTCTGGCATTGCAGAAAGTCCTATGAATATTTTTTCAGACAATGAAGTGTGATAGTGTGGTTTACATTTGAGTCTTAAAGATCATTTATAGGAGCTAAATAGCACAAAATAGAGAGAATGGATTCAAGACATGAAGGGTATCATGTGAAGAGAGAGGTTATTAATGAACAGAGGCTGAAAGAGCGATCTCAGAGAATGAACCCTTCCCAGATCAACCTTCCTATCTCCCATCGGCTGAAGACATCATTCAGGTAAGATGATGCAGCCAAAAAACAACGTGTGTGACATGACTTGGCAGCATTTTTTAAACAGCTTTTTATCTGTTTAGCTGCTCTGTACCCAGAATCAAACGAAGCATAGTTGGTTTCTTGCCTGTTCTGTCCTGGTTGCCCCGTTACTCCATCTGGGATTATGGGATGCCAGATCTCATCTCTGGCATCAGTGTTGGGATTATGCATCTTCCACAAGGTAAAAAGTGTTTTTTTTTATCATTAAAAAACGGAGTATAATCTTTGTACATGGTGTTTGAGGTAATTTTATGTTTTAGGAATGGCATATGCTTTGCTGGCCTCACTGCCTCCAGTATTTGGACTCTACACATCCCTCTATCCTTCATTAATTTATTTTATTTTTGGGACTTCTAGACACATCTCTGTAGGTAGGGGATATTAATGAAAATTATTATTATTATTAGTGTTGTTTTTGACCCTGTAATGTAAAAATGGACTTTAATATTCACTTTAAATGCATTTGTGTGTGTGTTTCAATGTACAGGCACATTTACTATCCTCAGTATTATGATTGGTAGTGTGACTGAGAGACTGGCCCCTGATACAGATTTTCTCATTTACAATGGGACTAATGTGACTGGGGAGGTGGATATTGCATCTAGAGATTTGTACAGGGTACAAGTTGCAGCTGCTGCCACTGTACTGGGAGGTCTCATTCAGGTGATGAAAAACAAACATACAAAATGTGCATATGCATACCTAAATCCATGGTTAAACCATTTGAATGTATGTAATAAGCAGAATCTCATATTCCATTTGGACACAAATATATTATTTATTTTCATTATAGTCTGAAAAACAAGTTCTCAATATTACAGGTGGAATTAACTAGAATCTTGTATTGTGATCCTTAGGTTGTATTAGGCTTGGTGCAGTTTGGATTTGTTGGTACGTATCTCTCAGAGCCTCTGGTTAGAGGTTATACCACAGCTGCCTCTGCTCATGCCGTAGTGGCCCAGTTGAAGTACATACTTGGAGTCTCACCCAAGCGCTTCAATGGACCTCTGTCTATTGTCTACGTGAGTACAATCACAGCACATAACTGAAAGAAACATGTTAAAGTTATGTTATTAAACATTACTCTGTTGTTTTTCTTTGCAGACTCTTGTAGACTTATTCACACTCTTGCCAGAAACTCACCTCCCAACTCTTGTGGCCAGTGTTGTGTCCATCGTGGTTCTTATCACAGCCAAGGAGCTTAACAATGCACTTAAGAAAAAAATGATTATACCCATACCAGTGGAGCTCTGCACTGTATGTAACCAAGGAGGAAAATTCAGTCCTACCAATATGCTGTTTTAGTATTACATTTATTGTATTAGATTTGTTAAATCCTTAACAGAGTTTCTCTGTCTTTGGTTGTTTATCAGTACATCCTGTCCTCTCTGTTTATTAATCTGTTTAGTCAGCATTTCGACTCTGCATCATATCTTCTAGTAATAACTAATGACAACTAGACTGGCTTATTATTCACTACACAAGGAATCATTAACATCATTTTACCCTCGGCACGTGAAATTCATAAAAGTTTGTGTATGCTTTTTTTTGCAAGATTGTAGTGGCGACAGTTATATCGTTCTATACTCGGCTGAATGAGAGCTATAAGATATCAGTCGTTGGCGACATCCCAAGTGGGTGAGTTTTTCAAATCTGAGATATTTAGCAATGCAATTTTATTTTGGGGACTATCCAGAGCTAAACTCTTTCAGCAAATAAAAGAAAAAAGCTAGTTACTATGCATAACAGCATATTGTAAAAATAGTCATTCATTTTAGTGTTCATTCTGATGTGCTTTCTCAGACTTCAGCCTCCCAGCGTGCCAAATGTCTACATCTTCTCTGAGGTGGTGTTAGATGCTTTTGCTATGGCCATTGTGGGTTATGCAATTTCTATCTCTTTGGGCAAAACCTTCGCTCTAAAACATGGTTACAAAGTGGAAAGCAACCAGGTTGGAAAATCACCTAAAGATCATGCATATAAACACTAGAAAACTCTATTAAACAGCTGATATCTGTCTTTCTCATGCTGTGTTACAGGAGCTGGTGGCTTTAGGTCTCAGTAATACAGTTGGAGGTTTTTTCCAGTGTTTTTCAGTTTGTTCTTCTATGTCTCGCAGTCTCATACAGGAGAGCACAGGAGGAAAGACACAGGCAAGATTAACATACTTCTACAGATTTTGCATGCTTCAAGGCTACACCCAGCATGCAATCTAAATGTAGACAGCTTGGCTAAAACATGGATAAAATAGGGCTGTCTGTAAAAATCTGATAGACGTCTAAGAATAGGACTAGTTGTCAAATAGAAAGATTAGACAGATTTTATTTGTGTAGTCATTCATTTCTGTTTATTTATTAGACATCTATTAGATTTTCACTGACAGCCCAAATTTAGCCTTGTTTTAGCCAAGACGACTGTTTAGATGACTATTAGAAATCCTTTAAAAACAAAAAATGCTTGCTGGGTACATTTATTCATCACATTGTGTTTTTTAGATTGCAGGAGTAGTGTCTGGAGTTATAGTACTGGTGACAGTACTAAAGTTAGGCTCACTTTTTCAAGAGCTGCCCAAGGTATGTGTAAACAATCCTCTGTGAGCACTGTGCATCAGATTACCAACCTATTTGTACTTTATATAGATTCATTGTGCTAGTATGAACTATAAATAGAGTGTGACTAGAATGTCCATTCTTTGTATGTCTGTCTAGGCAGTTCTTTCCGCTATTGTATTTGTGAATCTGAAGGGAATGTTCAAGCAGTACTATGACATAGTCACATTGTGGCGTAGTAACAAGATTGATCTGGTAAGTTACAGTTATATGACTGTAATATGTTGTATATCACCAATGAAAATAAAAATAATAAAATCACAAAGCAATGTAATAAAATATATATAGAAAACATACTTAGCATCAGCCACCTTAGCATAGTTCATCACTAACATTACAAAAAATGAAATCTAGTTTAAAGTTAACAGTTAAAATTGTTGATTATTTTCCATAAGTGTTTGTTCGTAAGTGCTTCATCTGTTCTCTCTGTTTTGTGTGTTTGTAGTTGATATGGTTGGTGACGTTTGTGTCCACTGTGCTTTTTAATTTGGATATGGGTCTGGGAGCCTCTATGGGTTTCGCTCTGCTCACTGTTATTTTCAGGACTCAACGGTTGGAGTTTTTCCCTTTTTCTAATCTTTCAGTAGTGTTTCTCTCTCCTGTCATCTGCTTCATCATGTCTGACCTTCTCACATGACTTCTTACTGTCTCACAGGCCCAGTTACTCACTGCTGGGACATCTGCCCGGCACTGAGCTCTATCTAGATATGGAGACACACAAAGAGGTCAAGTTTTCAATTGATATGTATTCATTTAGCAGATAGAACGGCACTGGAAATCTGGCGTTTTTTATTTTTTGTCTATTTTTTGCAGTTATTTGTGGTTATTTATTTAGAAATATCAGGAAAATTGCACAGCAAACTAGCCTTCATCACTCTTATCTGACCAGTCTATTTTGAGTGTATCTACCAAGCAGACCTAACACAAACATGCATCATGCTTTGCAGGTGAGGGAGGTACCTGGTATCACCATATTTCGCTCTTCTGCCACCATGTACTTTGCTAATGCTGAACTTTATCTTGAGGCCCTTAAAAAAAAGGTACAATTATTTGAATGTAACCTGATGATAACAGAGTATGAATGTCTTTTTCAGTGCTTATAAACATTTCTGAAAAAAGATAAGTGGTTCTCAATCAGGGGCTCAGGAGTTATCAATAATCATATCAATAGTTAATATTCATATTTTTAAAAGGGAAACTAACAGTAGTACTGCTGATACAGACAGTAAAAATAACAGTGATTGCTTCCTTACGGACGGCTTATGCTTTAAAAATAGTAAGGTATTTAAATGTATAGGTCACCCAAAAATGAAAATTTCCTTATCATTTTCACACTCTCAAGTGGTTCTAAACTTCTGTTCTATCAATGTCTTTTGTTGTGTTAACCACAAAACAAGATATTCTGAAGAATGTTGGATGAAAGCAGTCCTTGACATCAATTGTAGGAACAAGAAATACTATGGACATCCAGGGCTGTTCTTTCCACAAGATACTTTAGTTCATTTGTGTTTAGCAAAATAAACTCAAACAGGTATGGAACACATGGAGGGTGAGTAAAGTATGGCAGAATATCCATTTTGGGGTAAATTACCCCACAAATATAATGTGCATTTCACTTGTTATGTCCCAACGTTGTTGTTGAGTGCACATTATGATAATGTTAATCACCTTATAGATTTCTGGAATGTGAGACTCATTCATTCATTAATTTTCCTTCAGCTTAGTCCATTATTTATCAGGGGTCGCCACAGCGGAATTAACCCCCAACTATTCCGGCATACGTTTTACACAGCGAATGCTCTTCCACCTGCAACACAGTACTGGGAAACACCCATATAGTCACATTTACACACACGCTATGGCTAGTTTAGTTAATCCAGTTCACTTTTTGCACGTCTTTGGACTGTGGGGGAAACCAAAGCACCCGCAGGAAATCCACTTGAACATAAGGAGAACATGCAAACTCCACACAGAAGTGCCAGCTACATTAACATTCATATACATATAACATCCAGAAACATTAGTGTTGCCAGATCACTGAGTCAATATATTGTTTTTATTACTTAAACACAAATTTAATACATTTTAAAAACATAACTATGATTAGTGCGCCTTTGAATCTTGTTTTAAACAATCTGAGCTCTTCATAAATTTTGAGAACCACTGTCTTTAAAGATATATTATACTTATATTGTTTTCACTTATGCAAATTATTTGCTGATGTTTACTCAAAGAGTGGCCTGGATATCGGGAAGATGCTCACTTACAAGCGCAGACAGGAGGCCAAGCAGAAACGCAGAGAGAGGAGAGCAGAGCGAAGAGCCCGAAGAGAAGCTAAAAGACAGGTAGATGATCTGATGAGCTAGTCTTAATCATGTACTATAGATGTGCCATGTAAAGGTTTTTACAAATATACACCATTTAGCTGCCACTTAAAATACCAAAATTGATCCAAATTATAAGGAAACACTAAATGCTAACTTTTCTGAGAAGGCATTCTCAGAATAAATTTTGAAAAATATACTGTTAAGAAACTAGAAAAAATAATTAGGAAAACAGTACCAAATGCATAATGATAATACTACAGAACACAACAGGGCAGACACATTCATAGTTTAAGTAAAGAAATTCAATTCTCCTATATATAATGTTCCTTATGATCGCCATTCATTTTAGCTAACATTTTTTCATATGACACATTCTCAATCATGAATTCCATCCATAATTTATGTGTAGGGTATTGAATGTCTTTGCAAAACTTCAGTATTTTAAGTGCTGCTGTAGTTCTACCAAGTTATAAGAGAGAACTCATCATTCGTAATATGTGGAACTGGAAACTTTATCTTTATCACCTAAAAGACATATCCTGTGTGAAAGAGGAATATTAAACCCCATACATCCACCTAAATGTCTTAAAACAGATTACCAAAAAGGTTGAATCTTTGTACATTGCCATAAAGCATGGAAGTATGTGCAAATCTCTTCACATTTCCAGTCGAAAATGGAGTTTAGTAATACCTTTAAAGTATCTTATAGTTTACAAATTTAACTCTTGCTTATTTATATATCTTCCACTATAGGAAAGAATCCCTTTCCAAGTATCTTTAGCTATATCATTATTAAAATCTATTTGCCAAATTAATTTTACATTTTTTAGTTTTTATCATTAATTTTTGAACTACATTTGTAATTACTTCTTTTTTAACCCTTTGTTCGCATAAGTACAAAATCTTTTTTGTATATTTTTGCAGAATTTGGCATTTCCATCACTTGTTTCACATGCAATACTTTTTAATGTGCATTAAAACAGGGTGATGGAAACCCAGCTACTCTGTCATTAAGCTAATATCAATTGTTTACAGTGCAGAAGGTTTATAGTCCCTTATAAAAGTAATTTCATGATGATTATAATTAAGCAGCAAGCAAGGCATCATGTCTGCGATCGAACACTTGCAGCTTCCATAATAGGCCTTTAGTGAACTCCTAATAAATTGATCTACTACAGATCTGAAAACTGTCATTTCATTCTTTACAGAAAAAAGCTTTCAGAGAAGCCTCTCAGCGATCCAAACATGCTGTATTCTCAGTGGAAGAGGAGGCAGGGCAGTTGAGTGATATGAATGGAGACTTACACAGAGAGGCAGAGATAGGTTGGAAAGAGCGGGAAAACAATACAGTGTTCGTAATACCTGAGACAGCACGGACATCTGATGGCCAGCACACCTGGATGTACCTTAAAGGCACTGACCCTGACACAGCCACCCTGGGATCAGTGTCCGATCTGCATGACGCCGATGTTACCACCATTGACTCCAGCAGTGAGGACACTTTAAGCCGAGACCTGGAGAGAGTCTCTCTGGGATCTCTGGGCAAGTGGACATGGGACATTCATTCCATCATCTTAGATTTGTCCACCGCCAACTTTATTGATACCGTGGCCATTAAGACATTGAGGAATGTAGGTGATGCAAAACTATTTTCTATGGAACAAAAATGTTACTGTGTTGCAACTGAGTTTACGCTAACACTTTCATTATTGCCTCTTATTGCAGATATTTCATGATTTTGGGGAGATCGATGTGCATATCTATATGGCAGGCTGTCAAGGTAAGTTTCTGAAGTGCCCAAAATAAATGAAAATTCTATTATCATTACTCATTCTTCACTTGTTCCAAACCCAGGGTGTCTGTGGGATCTTAAAAAGTCTTAAAATGTCTTAAATTTAAAACTAAATTTTAAGCCTTAAAAAGTCCTAAGTGAAGTTTATTTCTAAACTAATTTCAAGAAAATCACATGCTTATGATTGCTTGCAGCCGGCCCTACATTATTCAGTTTGTGATTCACCAATCAGATGATTCCTAAGCCACTATAAATACTCCAAATTCCATATGACAGCCATCTTCGTTTTGAAGAATTCCCCCTTCCACACCTACTTCTCCACCTTTCCTAGATGGGTGAGACGGTGGCCCAGTGGTTAGCACTATTGCCTCACAGCAAGAACGTCACTGGTTCTAGTCCTTACCAAGCCAGCTGATGTTTCTGTGCGGAGTTTACACATTCTCCCCATGCTCACATGGGTTTCCCCTGGGTCATCCGGTTTCCTCCTACCGTCTAAAAATATGCAACCTAAGTTAAGTGACTAATCCAAATCGGCATCATAGACATGCTTCTAGTAAGTAGTTATCTCTAAGGGCAATCACTATCTGTTCATTTGCTACTACAGCAAGAGAGTTCTCGAGATCTACCTGAGCTCAAACTCCCCTCTCGCCTTGCAAACAGGAGGGAGCCCCGGGCTCGAGGATCTTATGAGCTCTTGGCTCTCTCCCGGGACAGCAAGCCAAACAAGCTTTATAAAGAATCATCAGCTAAGTGTGAACTCTTGAAATTTTCTGTAACATTGTCTTGTAGGTCTTAAATCATTTTAAACTGGTCTTAATTTTTTTTTGTCCATGTAAAAATACCCAATCAGGCCAACACACATTCAACCACCAACAATACATCTCAATAAAACTTTTATGTATAACTCTCTTTACCAATATGGTTTAATTATCTTCCTTACAATAACATTTGTTTAAAAAGTTCTCCATGTTTTTATAGACCATAATATGTGAGGACACTGACCCAGACAAACTGTTGTACTGTACATTTAATTTATTGTAATTTTTAAAGCTTGTCGATCTTTTTTACAGAAAAGTTTCTGTTTGTTGAAAAGCATTTGCTTATTGGGCCTTTAGAAAATATCCTTAAAATTTAGCCCTGGATAAGTCTGAAATTTCATTCATAATCATCTTAAAAAGTCTTACATTTGACTTGATGAAACCTGCAGAAACCCTGCAAACCTGTTGTACAAACCCTTTCTTCTAAAAACATTTCAATTCAAATGGGATGTTGCAAATAAAAAAATACAACCTAAAATATGGCATATTCTCCTTTTTTCAGTTATTTAGTTTAATTAGTTTCAGTTTAGACTTTGGTACTGACTAATCTAATGTAAAATTAATGTAAACTTCATCTGATGTTAATCTGAACTGCATTGTTTTTACTCAAGAATTAGTGATGAAACAGCTGGAGCGTGGCGGCTTCTTCTCTGATGTCATCACTGAGGCCTGTGTCTTTGCTACTGTACATGATGCAGTTCTGTATTGTGTAAAGCATCATGGAGCTGCAACCATCAACGGCCATGAGAACGCTCTGGTAAGTTCTGTAATTGTTTACTAAGACCAGTATCACACACATATATATATTGAATATGATCATGTAAATGACTTCAATCTTCTCATTTCAGGATATGAGTGGCACTCGGCTATAAGAGAAGATTTGTACTGCATGCTCATTTGCAGTGTATTTAAGATTCACACGACAAAAACTTTTCATAGGATATCAAACAGCATTTGACTCAACTGTTGACTGTAGCAATGCATCAGTGTTGGGGAAAAAAATTATATATATATATATATATATATATATATATATATATATATATATATATATATATATATATATATACATATCTTAAGTCTATCTTAATCTTTAAAATGAAAAAGCTAAAATAACACTTTTACATATGTAATGGAAAAAGAAATATAATACTTCTTTTACCCAACACTGCAAAGCATGTCTTACCTCTTGTTTTCCAGTATGTCATTGTCATTTAAATGTACTTAAAATGTTTGTATTTTATTTTCTATCCACTTGTTAACTCTGTCATGACGCAATGCAGCTTCCGGGTCCACTGTACAGGGAGCCTCAACAAATGGTACTAATAAATGTTTACAAAGTGCTGTAATACTTTTGAAAATCATGATCATAATATATATATATATTTGCGCCTAATATCAGATGGTCAGTGAGTGATGATTGAGTTATGATTAGTGTCTGTGATGCAGCAAGTCTGACTGCTATTTCTAGTACTACTATTGACTGCTGTGTGCGCCATGATTTTTGTAAGAAATTCACTTTTATGTGTGATACGACTAAACAGTGGCTATTAATAAATGACCATTTTTTAAATTAAAATAAGTGGACCTGGAAACCGTATTCCATACGTCACGACCTAAAAAGAGGATGGACTTTATGAGTCAAATAAAATCTGTGGTAAAGATAACTGGTTTTTTTAACAGCTGTGCACATTCACAATGGACCCTTTTTACAACTGTTATGACGGGTTTAACAGTCATCATAATCTAAAAACCTTGAAAGTTTTTAATATTTAGATGTTTTTTTTAAACGTATGAACATTTAAACGCCTGTATGTATGTAGTATATCCTACTTCCGTTGTTTGTAATGCAGTCTATGGGGCTGAGAGTAAATTTGACTCCACTGATTCTATCTGCTGGCTGACATCATCAGTCTCAAATATTTTTTTTTCTTTTTTCTGAAAGTTTTGAACACCATAGAAGAGTTATTTCTTTTATTTTTTCAGCACATAGAATTATTAAAAAAATGATTTGTTGTACTCTCCCATTCACTACTCTCTAAGGTTACCCAACTATGAAGCTTTCTGCTACTGAGAATCCCAGAAATGTGAAAAGGGTCTATTTAAATATTCCTGTCTAGTTATCAATTAGAACAAAATAAGCAAATTAACAATCATGTTTTTGATATGGTTGTGTAATTAACTATAGAGCAAAATGTATTTTGCATGATTTTTTATGTATTTTCAAGTTGTGCTTACCACAGGCTTTGTTTTACTCAAATTGAAGCACCTGGTTCTAAATCCAATGGCTACATCCTAAGGAAACCAGCAGTGATTTAGTGTGTTCATAGTTGTAGTTCAGTTCATATTTAATCCAGATTAGCTTTGTGTTTTCACAGTCATTTTTTAAAAAAGTAACCCTGAATATTAAAAAAAGCTTTTACAATGTATATACTGCAATGGAATTTGTCCATTTACACTTATTCAAATAACCCACACTATTAAAGCAATCATATTTAAATAATAATATCAACTTTTCTAGTGTGAACACACTCTTTCGGGTCTTTCAAAGGTTTTGACCACCTCTCTGGATCCCTTTTATGTTGATTAATGGACATTTAATTTCAAATCCAGCTGGACTTCATACCTTTTTATGCCAATTTGTATGCATAGTAAATCATAAATGAATTTTTACTTTTGAAAAAGAAAATGTAGTAGAATAACAAATGTTTTCATGTCTTTAAAATGTTTTTAATAACAAAAACTGGTCTTTACAGTTTATTTTAATCATTTATTCAACAAAGTGATTCTGTGCATTTTAAGGGCAACAAATGTGATTCAGTTCCAACATATAATAAATAAAATAAGTTAACTTCAGGTAGTCTTTGGATGCATTGCAAATAACAGAAAAAAACAATAATATATTACAAAATAAATAATTAAAATTCAAACTAATATTACAAGATTGTGCAAGTTCAACATGCTTCAAGAATATCTTAGAAGAAACAAGTGTAAGAAACATCCTGGCAGAGATGGAGGCTGACTAGGTTAAACAATCTTTATATTACAACTAGTGAATGCTGAATGCCCCTGCAGATAACGTTCCTCAAGTGTTTGCTGATTCAAATGTCAGTGTAAGTAAAAGTATTTTTAACACTCTCCGGCCATGTACTGTACATTTAAAATCCTCCGGCAGTTATTTTAGCACTGACAGAAAGCTGTTTTAGGAGGCCGCCAGAGTAAAAAACAAATCCTACCCATGCCATCACCATCTATTGCTTCAAATGACTATCACTGCATTAATGATTAGCTGCGGTGTGTACAGCCTTTGGAAGGTACAGTAGAGTGTCAATCAGTATGTAAACAAAGTTGTCCAATATGGCTGCATTCCCATGAAAAAATAAATAACACCTTCAAATATCTACATTAGGAACAGTAGCATTGTCTTTCACATTTGCATAAAGCTCAGGCTGCGTATCCCTGAATCCAACCCAACCCTGGAGGCTGAGTAAAGCTTTCAATTCTGAATGCAAGGAAATGTTGCTAGGGCTACATTTCTATACTGTGCATTTGTGTGTGTGTGTGTATGCCAGGAAGTGCAAGCCAGGATCAATGTGTTTTTGGTGGTTTGAGGTCAGTGCTTCAGGGTGTGTGTGTGTGTGTACTGGTTTTGATGGTTTACAAGGACAGAAATATGTATAATGACATGGGAATTTGACCTAGTTGTACTCTATGGAGGTAGTTAATGACATACACTGTGTCCTCATAATTCAAAATGTGATAAAATTGTACTGAAGTCTTTTGACAAGTCAATTTTTACAGTATAAAATATAATACACCTAAAAAGTGTCCTCGGAAACCACCAATACCAATGTGTATAGTGATTTTCTGCTGGTAATGAACTGTATCTGGATGTGAAGAAGAAAGTGGATGACTATATATATTGTAGTAGATCATAACATGGAAGTTAATGTGTACATATGTGCACTGCCGTACCTGGATTTGCGTGTGTTTGTGTGTGTTTACAGGTCTTGGTGAGCTTCTATGTGCTGGTCTGAGTTCGGTTCTTCTTGCTCTTGTGACTCTTGTTGAGAAACGAGCAGTTGGTAGCGTGCCTGCCGCTGGTAGTCTGGATCCACATTGATCCAATTATTGGCAACCCACTTAGTCCCTTGTGTCACCACACAGCCACCATGAAGAGAATACTCATCCTGCTCACCCACCCAACCTACAGAGGGCAGCATAGCACAATGATTACAGGCCATCGACAACTGTCCAGATAAGTTTTACTTTTTATTTTATTTAAAGAGCAGCATAACTTTTTAAATAAAATACAGAAATACAAAATGTGCATATGAAATAATTGAATAAACACATTATAGAGTTCACAAATGTTTAAAGTGTGTATGGCTTTCTTGTTTAGAGCCTTCGATACTGGTAATATACAAGCATATTACAGCCAAACGAAACCTTAAAATTAAGTTTCTTATTAGGAAATTTGCATTTATGAATGTAAAATTTAGGTAACAATATATGTAAATTGTAAAAATGACAAGGTGGCTCAGTGGTTAGCACTGTCGCCTCACAGTAAGACGGTCACTGGTTCGAGTCCCTGCTGGGTCAGTTGGCATTCCTGTGTGGAGTTTGCATGTTTTCCCCATGTTCACATGGGTTTCCTCCGGGTTAGAGATCTGGACTAAATTTTGAAACCCGCTCCCGCCAGGTTTTAGTCCGAACCCGACCACTCACGCTTATGTTCAGCATTCGTTGTCCTGCTCCCCGACCTGCCCTGTTTTCTACTCGCAGCGCCGTTCCCACTCCCGGGGGGTCTATACAGAGTCCAGACAGCCTATAACAAGCTGTCTGTATAAACACACATAGACATATAGCACCAAGCAAGTGACACAGTCAGCATCACGCTCTCTCTCATTCACAGACATACACAGCACTAAGCTCTCTTTCTCATTCACACACATACACAAACACTTAGACAGCAACACACAAGCAGCATCACTCTCTCTCATTCACACACATACATACGCGTGCTCGCTCGCTCGGCAGTCAGGAGCGATAGTGTTAGACCTCCCAGTCCCATTCAAAATACACCAGTTACCAACCGCTCCCACGTTTGCTTCGAAAATTTATTCCCACGCATCAAGAAATCTGGTCAGGCCCCGCGGCTCCTGTGGTATAATGCAGACCTCTACTCCAGTTGTTCTGGTTTCCCCCACAGTCTAAACACACGCGCTATAGGTGAATTGAAACAATTGAATAAACTGGGTAATGGGTTGCAGCTGGAAGGGCATCCAATGTGTAAAACATATGCTGGATGAGTTGGCGTTCATTCCGCTGTGGCGACCCCTGATGAATAAAGGGACTAGGCCAAAGGAAAATACATGAATGAATAAGTAAGTAAATGAATTAAATAAATGTGTCCAGGTAAGTGAACAGTAGGATCCAAAAGTGTGTGACAACATAAAACATAATTTTAACAAATTTGTGATCAGTGTAACACAGGATTTTACTATCTATCTTTAATAAAATCATATCATAAACTTGTCAAAAAAGAAAGTTGATTTGATGTCTTGACTACATTGATACCTAACTGATATCAAACTGACATTTATCATTGGCGTCAAAAAATTTAATACAGGAGACTAATCATTTGTTTTTACCCCAATGTCACATGTCATTTTGATGTTGTTTTGACATCATTTTGCATGCAGTGTAGGGATTCAAAATCCAGGGAAAATTTGTAATGAACCTGATGAATAAAACTTTTCTTTTAATATGATACTTCTCGTGTCGTTATTAAGGTCAATAGGGCATCAATGTGTGGATGTAAAATGAACTTAAAGGTTTTTCTTCAATCAATTAGCAGTTTTTTATGTCATTTTGTCATTAAGGCGACTGCTGGTTAATTTCAGTATTTACAAATTTAAAAATATAAATATCTATTAATCACATTTAAGGTACTAACATGAACTAGCACTGACTGGCTGTATTTTTGCGTGTAAACACATGGTTAACAAATACAGTAACAAATGAATAGTTAATTTTAAATTAATGTAACATATTACAACAAACTTTATTTATTCATTTAAGCAAATAAAAATGAAAGTAGTATTCATTACAAATTCACAATTGAGTATATTCAGCATTTTACTGTACTCAGGTCTCAACAATAAACACAGATAATATGATAAAATAAACTCTGATGAAACAGAATAGGATGCTATATGAATACATTTATTCATTTTCCTTCAGCCTAGTCCCTTATTTATCACGATTTGCCACAGCGTAACCGACAACTATTCCGACATATGTTTTACGCAGCAGATGCCCTTTCAACCGCAACCCAGTAATGGGAAACACCCATACACTCTCACAATTACACACACTCATACACTACAGGCAATTTAGTTCATTTAATTCACTTATAGAGTATGTCTTTGGACTGTTGGGCAAACCGGAGCATGCAGAGAAATCCCACACAAACACATAAAGAACATGCAAACGCCACACAGAAATGCCAACTGGTCCAGCCGGGACTTGAACCAGCGACCTTCCTGTTGTGAGCCGACAGTGCTAACCACTGAACCACTGCCCCTCCAGTATATGAATAACAGCTGCAATTAATTCATCAATTAACTTTACAATTAATTCTGCTTCATTTACATTGTCATTTAGCAGACACTCATTTTTAATTATTCCAAAGGGTCAGAATAATACACTACAAAACAACAGCTATAACAACACTTCATTACCTCTACCATCGGAGAGATAGTTGTACCAGAAAACCGCCGTCCCCTTTACAGGCTTCACTCTCAGGTTGCCTTTATCACAATGTTTCCTGGTGTCCAATAGATCCACATCATTCTGTATTAGAGACTGGGAAATACACACACACACACACACACACGCCTCTCATTATGTGCTTAAATTGAACACAACTCATGTATTTGACATATATGCAAAAACATTTTATGAACAAAACACACCGCTTCTTCATAAGTTCTGTTGTCTGCAACTGGAAAGGTGGTCTCGCCTCCTTCCTGAACATTATTAAGGTAAAACAGAACTGTGATGTACCTGTGAAAAACACAAATGTTTTAAACTTTAGAGAAAGGAAACTTACTGTTGCTATGAGATTGAAAATTGCATGTTCAAAAAAAAAAAAAACCTTAAATGAACACCACATTGTCTGAGTTTGCATGCATGCATTATTGTTTTATTAGCCATTTACCAGTTTAAGCTCAAATTAAGGATTTGAGCGGTTCATGTGAAAAACTAAGCAAAGTCTTATGACATAAAAGATGCAAAGGCTATTTAAAGGGATAGTTCACCCAAAAATGAAAATTTACTCATATAATTTATTTATTTATTATGATTCTTTTACTAAAATAGATTTTTTTTTTTTTACTTTTGGATGACGTCAGACTGTAACATCTAAACTGCAGGCTTAGAATTTGCAGTTCTGGTAAAAAAAAGGCTTAATCGAGATGACAAAGTTTGGTATCAGTTTGGATGTTTTGTTAAATATTTAACAAAAACCAAGTGTGTGTACCTAAGGTGTCTTATTAGTTGTTAGGCATTTGCATTTGTGCATATGGGATGGTTATTGGACAGTTTGGGCTGGAAACATTCAAGTGTATCTGGTGGTGCATTTTTTCATTGAAACGTTGTGGTGTGGTCAACCCAGGCTTATGTACCCCTTTATACATTTCAGCAGAGCACCAAATACGTCCCAGAAGCTACGTTTTTTTTTTAGTTTTTGTTTTCACGAATCCACCAGAGGCCGCTGTGTACGCTTTTACAAATGTCAAGTTTCTTTCAAGAGTGCCATTCACGGCTGCTGTTCTTACGTAAATTCACCAGAGGGCATTGTTGACTGACCGATCCACCACCCTCCCCCTTTTCTAAACCCAACCAATAGTGTTTTAAAAGCATTGATTTACCTGATCACACACTTCCCTAAACCTAACTGCAGTGTTTTAAAAATCACTCCAAAAAAAGAAAAGCGTCCAGACATTTACCACATTCTCACCCTGTTGTTTACTTGTTTTATTTATACTTGTTTTATTTATTTTTTTTTAGCTTTTGTTTTGTCTTACCCATTTCCTGGTACCGTCCTTTACCAGACTCGGACCTAGCTGTCGCAGTGTCTCAATTCTGTTGACATATGTGTCGAGCTACCGGTCAAACTGGTAACAGCAAAAAAAGCCATTTATATGGAGGTAAGCGGTCAGCTGGTAAGCAAGAAAAGAAACGGCATCATACCGCCCTGAATTGTTTGTTTTAAAGAACAAATGCAGCCATACATAGCTCTGGCTACATAATCCGCAATCTCCAGAAATGTATATTGGGCTACGTTTTCAGAATGAGTCTATGTTTGGTGTGTTTGTATGAGGTGCTTCCGGTTTCGTGTGAATTGAAAAAACAAAATTGGCCATAGTGTGTGTGTGAACTAAGCAGTCAACTTCAATATTTAAGTTCACTAAACCTAAACCATGTCCTTTACACTTGAGTTATAAAGTCCTATCAACATCATTCTTAATTACAACATCTTATCTAAGGTAACTAATCTTAGACCACATCCATAACAGTTATATTGTCAAGTCCTGTCAACTTCAACCTGAGTTAAGACAACTTAACTCTCTAACAACTTAAAATGTTAAATCAGCACAAACACTTACTTTTTAAGTTGAAATAAGAACAAAAAATTTTACAGTGTGGTTTTAAACCTTCAAGATTTTTTTTGAACACAAAAGAAGATATTTTAAAGAATGTTGGTTGCTTTTTTCCAAAATAACTCATTTTTGGGTGAAATATCCCTTTAAGATAGTATTGATTTGACAACACCAAATGCTAACTCAGTGAATTTTTTCACGTTTTTAACTATACTTCGTGACATAAATCAATAATACTCTTAATCTCTGGCTGACCTGCAGGACGTCTGGAATGGAGAAGTGGTATTGGCAGCAAGGCGAGTGTGTGTGCAGGCAGTTTCAGGATACACAGGTCCGCTGTCATGATGAGCGTGGTAATGACCGCCCTGCTCATAGCGGACCACCTGAAGCGGCTCACTTAACTCCACCAGAGAGGATGGCAGTCGAGTTAAAAGAGTTACTCTTGATAGACAGAAAGACGCCGCATTATTAAAAAACAGAAGAAAAGTGTGGCATGAAGAAAGCATATACAAGAGAGCAGATAAACCTTTTGCGGAGGTCTTGAAGAACCTGATGTGCTCCCTGACCCTGATAGAGCCAAGTATGTCTGCTGTTTCTCACCAGCTGACTCCTCTCCACCCCGCGCTGAAGCAGAAAACGCTGAAAAGCATCACTTCTCAGACGCCCAAACTCCTCTAAACTCAGGAGACCTGGAGAGGCATGCATAAAGAGGTATGAATCTGGACACTCTTATATCTTCTAAAGTTATGATGTGAAGTTTAAATAATATCTCCAGCTTGGGTCTTTACCATTTCCATCCAGATCAGCTTTCAGGCCGTCATAAATTTCCTTAAGATTCTCAGAAGTTAACCAGATTCCATCTCTTACTCGAGAATGTGTCAATATCTGCAGCAGAAAATATGATCGTTACAGATTACATGTAACATATGTAAACAAACAAACATGTGACATTTCCAAGCATTATATTTCTCAGCAGTGGGATTCAAATGACTCACTATTTACTTATCCTCAAGGAGTTCCAAATAACTTTTTTTTTTGTTAGTTCTGTTAGAAGATATTTTGATGAAGACTGAAAACTTGTATTGACATCCATAGTAAGAAGGAAGAACAAATACTATGGAAGTACATGGTTACAGGTGTCCAGCTTTTTTTCAAAAATCTTCTTTTGTGTTCAACAGAATAAAGAAAGTCAAACATGCTTATGACAAGTAAAGGGTCAAAAAATGATGACAGAAATTTCATTTTTGGGTGATCTATCTTGTTAATCGCAAGGCTCAATAGTAACAGGCAATTGCTGATAGACCTCATGAGGTTGCAGCTGGCCATCTTGGTTGAGGTCAAGAAAATTGAAGATTTCCTCAGGACTGAGGTTGAGCTGCTGATCGAGTTCTTCTTGACCTTCGGGGACCATGACTTGACTCTCCATCAAACCCTTGAGCTGAGCCAAACGCACAACTACAGCACACTCCTCCTCCGACAGGAAGTCAGGGATCTCTGCAGAGATGCACAAACAAACAGAACCACAAAGAGAATCAACAAAACACTGACTAAGACTAACCATTTTATGTCAAAAGATCACCCCAAAAAATTAACTCGAGGTGCTATATCTCAATCATGCTTTTTCATTCATCTTCATGTATTGTGTCATTGGGGAATTATTAAAGAGCCCCTATCATGGGTTTTTGAAAATGACCTTCCATGCAGTGTAACACAGCTCCCAGTGAAGTGGCATATCCAGCTAAGGCTTAAATCTGAAAGAGTGGCGTGGTTAAAACTATTGATTCATCTATAAAAGAGTCGACTCATAGTGCTTTGAATGAATCGCCACTATAATGACTCTTTAGCTGTGTCATATGATGTCGATATGAAACTCAAGCTAAGCCCATTTGTTGCGAGCGCAGACCTGAAAAATTCAAACCCCTGGCCCGCCCCCAAACACTGGAAAGAAAAAGAGGAAGACAAACACTGTAGCAGATCCCGGTTGAATCATGTTGTGATGACTGTGCTCTGAAGTGTGAGGGAAAGTTATTGTTATTTCCCCTACCCAAAGATGAGGCTGTAAAGAGTCAGTGGTTGAGTTTTATTACTGCAAAAATACCTCAGCATTATAGCCCCTGCCTTGTGCTGTGTTCCCGTCAAATTTCCTGACAAGTGCTTCAGCAATCTACATGCATACAAAGGGGGATTCGTTGGCTGTCTGTTAAAGGAAGGATCAGAAAAGACTACTGATGTATGGGACTTTGTCAGAGCTTGACAGGAACTTTACAGTACTCAGTTCATGGATCAGTTCCTTCCTCCATTTCACAAGTGTAAGTAACTTAAGTAAAATTAAAATGGCTGCCTCCTTGTTTTCTCTATAGCTTGCAAATTATTTATTTACATAATTATTTATTTAATTATTACTTATTTGTGTTTTGTTACTTGTAACCACTTGTACTGTATCTGGGTAACTTTATATTCTCATATCATGTCTAAAGCCACGTTGAAATATGGATTTAAATGCGTTTGTGAGCTCGCAATCCACTGCCGTTTGTCGTTGCTATGGCCATCGTCAGCTGTTCCTACGCTGGTAAAGTTTTTAAAAACTTACATTACATTACATTACATTAAATTAATATGCTGGTGTTAAACCGCATTGCTTTAATGCACTCCTGCATTGGACTCACACATATACTCTACACTCTGACTAGTTGATTAGCCGTGCTGGACATTTCTCTCTGTCTCACGCTGAACGCAGACGCAACCAATCACAACAGACTGGATCATCGAACCAATCAGCGCAGATTAGCATAGTGCTAAGAAGGGGTTTGGGAACAAATGAATAACTGAAAAAATCATATGGGAGTCGCTGGGATAAGTAGGTAAAAATAAATGCATATTATAAGACAATGAAAGTGTTCTTTTTGACCTTGCCTGCATATCAGACTGTTGTTGGAGACCCCCAAAACCAAAATATGACCTAATTAAATGTATTATAGGGGCTCTTTAATGAAAACTCTGGCTCCCAGAACGTTCACTGTTGTTTAGCCAGGAAATTTTTTATTATGTAAATAAAAATCTGTCTATGTTAGTCATGGGTAAAATAAGTTTTTAAAAGTAATAAAGTACAATCTTAAAACATTTTTTAACTCTTGTTTGCTGTTGGGGATGTTTTCATCCACTCTGGGGTGATTTTGAGTCTTTTTGGCCACAACTTTTGCTTTGTTTGAGCAAATACAATGCTTTTTAGTGACATCTTATTTTGACATATTTTGGGAAAATGCTGTAAAAACATTTTTTTTTTTAAATCAACAGAACACCGGCAAAAACGAAGGGGCAAAACAGCCATGAACACAACGAAAGGGTAATAAATGTGAACTGTACACAAGTGTTAAAAACCTTAATTTGTTACAGTTACTTTTTAAGGAAAGTGTTAAGAAAGCATGTGTTGTTATTTTTGTGCCTTTTTAAAGATTAAGATGTGCTTAAGATTGTAATATATTACTTTTTTATCTGACACAACAAAATAGAAACCAACAAAACCCAAATAGGGATTTTAGGGAAAGTTCTGTGTTTGCTGGGATGGAATGAAAATGAAAAGCTTTGGTGAACTGTTCAGAAATTCATCTTTACCAAACAGCAGAGGCTTTAGACTGAGGGTCTTCATCTCGTGGACTTTGCCTGACACCAGTGACACTTTTTGGACATGGCCCACCTAAAAATGAAGAAATACTATGGAAGATCAAAGACTATGACAATACTCAGAGCTCCAATCATCTAACACTTTTTACCCGTATTCCTTCGATGCGGGGAAGAAACATATTTCGAGGGAAGCCCGAGTCGGCAGTGGCCTGCGCGTCTGACGCTCCGGTAACTTTGTGACTGCTGCTGTCACTGCTTGTGAAATCCCGGTTTGCGGAGATCGCGTTAGAGCCGTTGTTATAATGAACATACAGCAGCAGTGCAATGACATTTATGATGTAAACGTGGAAGAAAACCATCACCACCATGAAGTAAGAGCGAGAGCAGACGCTGCTCTTCTGCAGTGAGGTGCGCTGACGGGGCAGAGCTCGGGGTGGTGGAGAGGATGACGGTGATGGTGATGATGATGGTGGTGCTGATGCTGATGGGCTGTCATCCTCCTCAATGTCGTCCTGGGGTTCCATCATTTTGCCAGACAACATTTAGTAATCTGTTTAGGATACACTAGTTAAGGTTCTTTTATACAAGCTGGTATTCAACCGATGCACATAACGCATTACACCCAGATGGTGAACTGTCATGGCTAATCTACTAGAGGGCTACATTTGTAACAAGATGAGTAACGACACGAATAAAAGAGACTCATTAAAACTAGCTGCTTTAATATACGGATGATATTTTATGACTTTTATTTGTATAAACGTACGTACCTCCGGCTTGCAATAGCATGACAGTCTGTGGCTCACTCAGCACTTTCAGTTGTCACTCTCTTGTTTACATCGAGACGCGTGATTATAGCAACTGCGCAGCTTCTGCTATCATACGAGCGGTTGTGTCGGAACACCATTTTGAAATTCATTCTCTTTAAAATCCCAGTTTGTATGATCTTGTAGTGTCCGCTTATAATAATTAGGTTTTATTTGTAAGCCTGGTTATACTCCTCGAAGTGGTTGGACTTTCGAGGGACGCCATTCCCCTGACAACTGCATCTCCGACGCACTGCTCCTGCACCCGCGACGTCCGATTCGTCAATGAGCCGTTCTTTAGAATCGAATCTTTTTAAGGTGTCGATTGAACAGTTTACCAAATTTTTTGAATGAACGGTTGTTGAACAGAGCTCTGAAAATCCTATTCAAATCCTATCCGGAAATCCTATTTAAAGGCAAACTTATTCAAAACAACTGATATCTTATATGATCTATAATATATATATATATATATATATATATATATATATATATATATATATATATATATATATATATATATTCCTATGAAATCGAAATATCAATATTATCTGATGAATCAACATGTTTTGACTATTCATACTCAAATTAAGCAGTTTAATTATTACAAATTTATAAAAGGTTTAGAATAAAAACCTCTCCGAAATTCTTCAAAGATTTTAACAAGTGCATGTAAAAATCTCAATAACTGTTAAGTTTGTTTGTGTTTATTTTTGTTGTTAATAAAATTAATCTTGAATAATCAATTACTTATTGAAAAAATACGTAATTGTGACATTACTACATGAAAGCGTATGATAAAGGCGAATCAGTTTTTGAACCGGTTCCTTGAAATTGAACTGTTCAAAAGATTCGAATCTGATCTTCTAATAGCGCAACTGACAGAATTATAAGAAACCATAGCGACCTCTGTTGGTCAGATATATGGTGTATAGTAAATATTTACTAAAAATAATTTTGGAAGACGTATGCCTTTCCTAATATTTAGTACGGCGTTTTAAAGTCTCTCTAATAATTGGTGGTTTGGGGATAATGTTTGTCATTTCCTGGATGCTAATATGGATTTCAGGTAAGTAGAGCTAGGTCTGTCAGAAACAACATTGTGATTAATTTACCACATTTTAAGCTGTTATGCTAAACTGTCTCACAAAAAGGCTTCTTATGTTTCGACACATCATGTACACATTATTGACAGAAATGTAACAAAATATTCAGTACACAAACACCTCAGGTCATATCATTTTATTAGCTACTTCTTGTGGACATTTGACAAGGATTTCATATTGTATGAGTTCTTGTTTCTTTGCCCAGTTTCCTACTCAGAGAGTTTACTCCTCAGCCTCTTTACCCTGCAAATACAAAAGATTAATAAATTGAGAACAAGACTGTACTATTTATCGATGCCACATGTAATTGTGTAAACAATATTTGTGCACAAATAATATAATTAATAAAATTGTGATATTTACCTTTCCAAATTCACGGCTTTTAGCTCTGAGCTTGTTGACCTGGGACTCGGCGATGTCAGCTCTCTCCTGAGCCTCCTCCAGCTCATGCTGCACCTTCCTGAATCTGGTCAGGTGAGTATTGGCTTGTTCCTCCTGTCAGTGAAATCATTTATGTTTAGGTTGATCAAATCAAGAATAATGTTGCATGACACTCATCAAAACCCAAAGTAACTCACAGCATCTTCACTCTGTCGCTTGTAGGCCTTGACTTTCAGTTGAAGTTTGTCCACAAGGTCTTGCAGTCTAATAATATTCTTCTTATCTTCCTCAGTCTGTCAGAAAACATTTTAAAAGATAACCATTTTGATTTGACTGTATTTGACTTATAACACCTATATACGTTTATTTGTGTGATTATTATTACCTGATAAGTCAGTTCCTTCACTCTTCTTTCATATTTGCGGACTCCTTTCACAGCATCAGCACCACGTCTCTGTTCAGCTTCGACTTCACTCTCCAGTTCACGAACCTGACGCACAAGTTTAACTGAGGTTATTCCTGACTTACGGTGAGGTAAATCAATGAACAGTGTGAGCAGTCACATACTCTGGCCTCCAGCTTCTGGAGCTGCTTCTTTCCACCCTTCATAGCCAGACTCTCAGCCTCATCCAGACGGTGCTGCAGGTCTTTGACTGTAACCTCCAGATTCTTCTTCATCCTCTCAAGGTGAGCGCTTGTGTCCTGCTCCTTCTTCAGCTCCTCTGCCATCATGGCGGCCTGATATATTTTTTTAACCCAGTTTTTAGTTTACATGCAACATCTTGAAAACTTAATTATCCATGAACAGATTTACTTACATCAGTTATAGCTTTCTTTGCCTTCTCTTCAGCATTTCGAGCTTCCTGGACCACGTCCTCCATCTCACCTTGAATCTGAACAAGATCTGCTTCCAGCTTTTTCTTGGTGTTAATAAGACTGGTGTTCTGCGGACATTGAGATCAAGTTAAAGGTAATGTTGTTTAACAGTTATTCTTTAAAACATTCTTCAAAATAAATCATTCTTCTTACTTGGGAGTGTAAGAGAGTCACTCGCTCACTGGCATCCACCAGTTCCTGCTCAGCCACTTTGCGGCCTCTCTCGGTCTGCTCCAGAGCAACTCTCAGCTCCTCGATCTCTGCCTGCATCAGGTTATTCCTGCGTTCAACCATTGCAACTTGTTCTTTCATGTCCTCTTGAGCCCTCAGAGCCTCATCAAGATGGAGTTGAGCATCCTGAAGCAATCAAGTTTCAATTAGATTGTTTGATCTAGTTAGTCAAATCAAGATATACTGCTATACTACTCTAAAGGAACAAACCTTGAGTTGCCCTTGGACGTTCCTGAGCTGCTTCTGAGCTTCAGCTGCCTGCCGGTTTGCATGGCTTAGCTGAATCTCCATCTCGTTCAGGTCTCCTTCCATCTTCTTTTTGATTCTCAGAGCATCGTTTCTGCTTCTGACTTCCGCATCCAGAGTGCTCTGCATAGAGTCGATGATCCTCTGGCTGTTTCGCTTAATCTGTTCAATCTCCTCATCCTTCTCGGCCAATTTCCGATCAATCTCTCCTTTCACTTGGTTCAGTTCAAGCTGAACGCGAAGAATCTTGGATTCCTCATGCTCTAAGGTGGCCTGAAAAATAGGATGGTGTGTAGTGTATTGTTCGCTGGAAGTTTAGTGGTGATATTGGGAATAAAAAAAAAACTTTAAGCACTAGGGCCTAGGTGTTACCTCAGCTTCTTCAAGAGCAGCTTGGATTTCAGATTTTTCGATTTCTGCAGTTTTCTTTCCTTTTTCCAGCTCATGGATGGTCTTTCCAGTCTCGCCAAGCTGTTCGGTTAAATCTGTGATTTCCTCTGTATATGCAAAAACATGACCAACAATTGGGTGAAATGCACTATTTACGTCTAAAAAGCAAAAAAAAAAACAACAACATATAGTTCTGCACTTAATTGTACATACGCTGAAGGTTCTTGTTCTCTCTCTTAAGAGTTTCTAGATGATCCAAAGTCTCCTCATAAGAATTTTTCATTTTGAAAAGTTCCGTGCTAAGTGAGCGAGCCTCCTTCTGGGCTCCTTCCAGCTCTGCTTGGGTCTCCTCATACTTCTGCTTCCATTCGGCCAAGACCTTTATGAAATCGAACAATAAACCTCTGGTGAGGTGCATCACAAAAATATTATGTGCATATGAAGTAATGTACAAAAAACACGGTTGCTTTACCTTGTCAAAGTTCCTTTGTTTCTTGTCAAGGTTTGCAGCCAAAGCATTAGCTCTTTCAACGTCAATCATGAGATCTTCTACTTCATTTTGCAGTCGCTGCTTAGTCTTTTCCAAAGAGGCACATTTGGCATTCACAGCCTCAATGGACTCCTCTGCATCCTGCAAACGCTGAGCAAGCTTTTTCCTGAGCAAGCAACAATAAAATATTAGTCATTGCTTTTACTTCATTTCTTGTTGTGAAGACTTATAAACAGTTGATTTCATTTACTTTGCTTCCTCGAGTTCTTCAGTACGCTGAATAGCATCGGTCTCATATTTGGTTCTCCATTGAGCTACTTCACTGTTGGCCTTTGACATGCTTCGCTGAAGTTCAGCTTTGGCCTCCTGTTCCTCCTCGTACTGCTCTCTGAGCAGATCACAGTCATGTCGTGATGATTGGACAGCATGTGCCAGGGAATTTTTGGCCTTAAACATACAAATTTCCAGAGTTATTCAATAGATTAGTTCATGAACTTGTTCTATAAAAATTGTTAATTTCTCACCTTGACTTCTTCCTCAATTTGCCTCTTCAGCTCCTCAATCTGTTGAGTGTAAGCCTGTTTGCTTCGAGTCAGCTGAGAAACTAAAGACTCTTTTTCCTCTAGTTGACGACCCATTTCACCTATTGTGAATTTAATGATTTAGTATTGTATATGCTGTTTATGAAGAATGTCATTTTTAATATCGTTCCTGTAAACCAGGGGTTTCCAAACATGGTTATGGAGCGCCGGTGTCCTGCAGAGTTTAGCTCCAATTGCTTCAACACGCTTTCCTGGAAGTTTTCACTATGACTAGTAAGAGCTTGATTAGCTGGTTCAGCTGTGTCTACTTGGGATTGGAGCTGAACTTTGCAGGATACCGACCCTCCAGGATCAAGTTTGGGCACCCCTGGCGTATAGTAAAGCTACTTACCGTTTTCAGTCTGAAGCCTTGCCTTTTGAGCACTTAGGTCATTGATGTGGCGAACATGTTCGTCATGTTTCGACTTAAACTCACTCAGCTGATCTTCCAGTGTACGACACATCTTTTCAAGATTTGTCTGCCAAATACAACATGATTTTAATGGATTTTATTGTTTAGGACTGAGTTTCACAAAGAGTGCTTCATAAATATGCTAAAACTTGCCTTGGATTTGGCAACAGCCTCCATACTGCTTGACACATCATCTACCTCCATTTTAAGCTCACTTTTCTCCTTTTCTAGCTTTTGTTTCACACGCTGGAGGTTGTCGATCTGCTCTCCCAGCTCTGCCACACTGTCAGCCTGTTTCTTGCGGAGTGCCGCAGCCGTGGCTTCGTGCTGTAAGGTGGACTCCTCCAGATCGCGGCGCAGTTTCTGGAACTCAGCCTCACGTTTCTTGTTCATCTCAATCTGGGCAGAGGTGGCACCACCTGCTTCTTCAAGCCTCTCACTGATCTCCTCAAGTTCCCTGGCGAGATCAGATCGCTGCTTCTCGACCTTAGCACGAGCTGCTCGCTCTGCCTCGATTTCTTCCTCCAGCTCCTCAATGCGAGCCTGTGGTACCAAAACTTGATAAGTT